TATTTAATCAAATTCATATCTGCAAAGAGTAAAAATATGACAAATTGTAATATCAATTGACGTAATTGAAAAATCTGAATGAATTCCGAAAAAAATGTTGAAAATAAAATTATCTGAGAAACAGATAAAATATCATTTACTAAAATAGTTTAATCGAAAATGTTATATTTGAGTGACTAAATTTTTAAAACGTTGAAATAAATTTTTACTGAAATAGAGAGGAATTTATTTTTATGCAAACAACTAAAGTTTTATATTTAACTAATTATTTTCAATTAACAAAAATAATAATAACAGTAATAAGAATGTAATTTTGAAAAAAAAAATTATATAAATCAAGGAAAAATTTATCGAAAAGGTTAAAAAACTTTTAAGTAAGATCAGATGGAAGTTTAACTGGCCAGAAATAGTATCTACTTCTCAAGAATTTTGTAAAGTGCATACGTTGCAACTAAATGACACAAGACTAAAATTAATAATATAATAATGTGAAGGTTAATCCTTTATGCTCGTTATATTTATTTAAGTTGAATTTAATTATACAATATCAATCATCGTTAGTTGACTAAATCTAATGATTAAAATAGATTAGGACGAGATTTTTTTAAAATTATTATTGCTCCATCATATTTATCTAAAAATATCAACAAAATTCGTACAATAAAATTATTTTTCACTAAAAAATATCTAAATAATGTACTGGTATATTTTAACATATACTTAATTTTACATTTATTTCAATTCTACTTGCTATTCATTCATAGGTAAGTGTTTGAATAATTGTGTTTATTCTATAAAATACGTTTCCTTATCATCAGTTCATATTTACAAAAGATAAAGTCATTTAATACAAAGTACCCTGAATTACCAAAACTTTCAACTCCAAGACATTTATAATTTTTTCCAAAATAGCACATCGTTTTTATTTTTTAATAATTTAAAATTGATAAAAAGTACTCACTTTTGGGGACCAATAGCCGGCCAAATATCCTTTTCTAGTTACAAGGTTCTCCTCGTAAAAGTGATCCTCCTCGTCGTAGTCATAGAGCGAGGATTCGATGTCCATGTTATTTCTAAAAAGACAAATAAGAATAATATTATATTTGTTTATAAACATCTTTTTTGTTTATACACACTATTGCACTGAAGAAATAAATTCTTGTTAAACATAATATTCTCCAGACTCTATAGATGTATACATTAATCCACATGTACATACTAGCTAAGAAGTCTCCGGAAACATCCGTAAAACACATGTGCCATAAAAGCCAACTCCAAAAAAATCGGATATCCTAACACTAATATAACGTTTTAGACACATTTTAAAGGCCTCCTGCCAGGAACTAGGGACGACTGTGGTCATCATCACTGAAGTCGTTGAAATTTAAGGAATTTTTACTAGACAAACTTTCTATTTCTTATAGAAATGTGTGTTTAAAAAAAATTATTTACAGAAACATAAAACTTTTTTAGTAATAAATTGTTTAATAATTAAATAATATTTAGAATAGATGGTGGTATTGAAAAAATTCAAATGGCGAATATGACCGAAAATCAAGTCTTGAAGCAGTTACGAAGTAAGATCAGGTTACTCTGACCGCTTAAACGACAGGTGGTGAGTGTAAAAGTGCTTGGATGGAAAGGACCAGACACCCAGCTATATACTTTTAACCATCAATTCTCTCACGGTTTAACAGAAGAGCCCGGTCCTAAACTTATATGGAGTATTATGTATATTGAAGTGGAGGGAAAGGATCAAATCACACACTCATGTTGTTTTCTACTTTTTGTACAATTTTAAAACTCAACTAACTTTTCTCATGTATTCTACAGTCACAAAATAATTATACAATGTAAGAGAATGTATATAATTAGCTTATACGTAAATGATTGAGTGTTGGAAAAAAAAGAAAACCAGTTGAAAACTATTGGCAATGAAAATGATTTTTCAAGTCCATTAATGACACCAAAAGTGGTAAAATAAGAGGTTAAGACCTCAATAATCTGAGCTTACCGTTATCACACATACCCCATCGAGATCATTTATAAAAACTCGATGGTACTAAATCCATATAAGATCATGTAAGATCACGTTCAGGCTTCCAAGAACATTTACCACAGAATGAATATATATCGTAAGATTGCACTAATTTTTTGTTACCTATTTCATTCGAGATAACTCAGTGAATCCCCAGCTGCGTTTTATCTGATTGGTAAAATCAATACAGTCGTCTATTATCGGCTAAAAATAATCGAGTCATTTATCAGAACAAATCTAACCACGCAATTAATTATTTTATCCGTATGATTTAATTATCATAATGTAAGCAACTTCTATTTTCATTTATTGATTGTCGGTCCATTGAGAAAGTTCATATTCCTATTAAGCCTAAATGGATATTTCTTCAACTGTGTTGACTTTGTAAATTAGGAAAATTGACCATAGTTATAATTAAAAAAATTTCCAGGAGATTCTTAACCAGTAATTTGGTACCTTCTAACCAAAATCTATTAGAGATTTTCTTTTAAAAATATTTAGACTAGCATAGAATGATTTTTTAAAAAACCTCGAAAAATGAAGTAAAATGTAAGCACATCTTCTGATGGCATGGTCATGGCAACACAACAGTTAAAATGGGTCCTAAGATTCAAGAGGCAGATCGAACAAAGAAAAATGGGTGTTTACTAAAAAGAAAAAAAGATCTAGATTGTATTAAAAATTTTCTACAGCAAAAACATTAAAAAAAGAAGAAAATGGTGGCTTTATGTCAAATACAAAATTACCTAAGCCAAATGTTTGAAATGATTTTATACAGTAACTATGGTCTAATAAGATACTAAGTATACATAAAATATGAAGTATGTAGCAAGATGAACAAGGCCATACAAAATGAGAAAATTGGCTCAAGATTCGAACTGAAGAGACTCAAGAAGCTAGAATAACCACCCGCATCCAAGTTTATATAATATATGATGATGATACATGAGTCTCCAACAACTTGGGTGGTTAAAACAATTGTTATCGAGCTTGAAAATTTTTTTTTATAGCTCAGATTATTTCCAATGTAAAATCATTTTTTCACTTGTTCCTTCTTCATGCCTTGCTGTCTTGATTATCAGAGTATTTAAAAGAAATTCACTCTTTTCCATTTTAGCTTAATTCCCAAGTTTATCTAATGAAATAGTTCTACTGTATTTAAAGAGTGAAAGATGTAAAAAAATGAAAGAGACAAAGAGAAGGCTTGGAAGCATCTTTTCTTGATATTCTTTCGTCAGTTTAGTTTCTACCACGCTTTCGTCTTCCCCTACTCTCACTTTAAATCCTATGGGACTTTAGCTTTAGCTTTGGTAAAACGTTGAGTGTATCAGACACAAGTGAGAGAGAATGAGAAATAGAGAAAGAAGTGAATTATCGCGACGTTGCCATGCCAGAAGGTCCAAGTGATCCTAAGAAACTTTACAAAAACTCAACCTACTACAATTCAATATTCTTTTACTTCATTTTTCTCTCCTTTCAACTTTACTTCTTACTTCAATAAAAATAAACGAATAAACAACGATATTAACCAAGCCAATATTTGTATATGCTTAGTAAACATTCAATGAAATAAAAAAAAATAATAAATATACTAAATAAATGCTCCGAATGTAAACTGATTTTTTAAATTGTTTTAGTTCGAATAATTCGTTGTTAAAATAGTATGAAAATATATCACAAACGATTTGTATGTAAGATTTATGATTCTATTTCTAACGAATTAAAAACACGCGATTTACAGATCAGGGTGTGTGTTATTATACCGTCTTCCAAGTTTTGTTTTTATAAAAATGTATGGTATCTTTCAACCGGTTAATAAAATCAATCTTTTAACTTGGATACTTGTAAATACGATAATTAGTTAATTAACTCATCTAGTGTTACGTAACAATAACAGTCGAAATAAAATAATACATAAAAATTAGTTCTCATAATGTGAATCATAATTCATAGAATAAAAAACGAATTTTGAATAGTGTATTTTTTATTAATGACTCTTTTCGTCATGCCTGACTAATCATTACAATCACTAGCAAAGATAGATACTGTCCGCGAGGTAAGTATAATAAAAAAATGTATAATTATTCAAACTGTATATATATATATAGGTATGTTACCTTTAAAAAATAATTGATCTAAAAATATCAATCCACGTTTCAGTATTCAATAGTATAATTGAAATTTTTACTTGAATATCAAAAGTCAACTTGATAATGAGATTTAAAAACGTTTTTAAAAAATTATTCTTATTTTTACACTAAAATTTTTATGTCTATTTAATAGTAAAAATTATTTGTTACTTCTAATAATCACAATCACGTGTAAATCACATTAGTACGGATCACTCTACACTTTGAGTCGTTTTTTTTTCTTTTTTGACTTACACTATAAAGACGCTTTATTATTATAAAATGACTTTCTATAGCGTCTTGACAGCCTCAGTACGTTCATGCGTTCATGAATGAAACTGAGAATGAAACGAATGAAGCAGCCTAGCCTTTACCGACTCGACAAAACTTTGCCCCCGCCAATTGACTCAATTCTGTTGCCGCGCTAACCAACCGATTTGTCTACTATACTCTTAGCATTACTATTCACTTGTGTGTCGATATATGTGTTTGTGTTTTACTTTGAAACTGTACCGGAAGTTAAGGAGGGTCAAGGTGGGGGATTACTTCACTGATTGGTCGATAATGTTATTTCCAGTTTTTAAATTGTCAAAATTTCTTATTCTGTATATAATCGAAAATTTTCGAAATATAAAGAATAAACAACTGAATAATTATTTTTGGAAAATACAATCGCTAATTTCGAATTAAATTATCACGGAATAATTAAAGTACACATTAATTTGTCCATGATTAGAAATGTTTTATCAATTGTAGGTTAATAAAATTGCTACAATGATTTTTATAATGAAATAAAATATTATTTACTTGATTTTATGTCATTGAATATTTGTAATATATTATTTATGTATTATTAAAAAATATAGTTAATAATTTGATGGCTGTTAAAAATACTTTATGAATTTTATTTCGAATTTACCACAAGTATACCGCTCTGCATTTATATGTTCGTCGCCATATTGACGAAAGCAGCTGATTCTTGAGAAGTCAGTATCACGGTAAAAATTTTCATATTAAATAACAATTTTTACTTAATTTTATGTATTAAAAAACTAGTAACATTATAATATATAGAGCAATATTAATTATTTAATAGAGTTATTCATTAATTGATAGTTGTACTATTAAATATAACCTCTTTTATCATTACGTAAGATAATCAGTGTTTCAGACAGTTTTGTGAATTAATATCAAATAAAATTGCAACAAAATTTTCAGAATTCATCATGCTTACTCCACGGGCTATTGGCATTCCAAAATTAGTAAAAAGAAATATTGGAATAATGGCACCTGCTATGCAGAAAGTAGCAGATCCAATTCAACAATTATTTTTGGATAAAATTAGAGAATACAAAGCAAAAAGCGTGTAAGTAATAATAGAAAATATTATTTTGATAAATTTTGAAAATAAAGAAATAATAATGTTTCGTATATTAGTATGATTGAAAATAAAAATACTTTTGTCATGTTTATTAATCAATCGAATATAACTTTGTTCATCAAGAGGAGGAAAAATGGTTGATCCTTCACCTGAACTTGAAAGAGAATTAAAAAATGATTTAGATCGAATTGCTACACAATACGGAGGTGGTCCAGGAGTAGATATGACAAAGTTTCCAACATTTAAATTCGAAGGTAAACTTTAATCATATAGTTTGATATTTTTTTTGTCAATGAAAACTGTAATATTATTTTTTACATATTCTTTCAGAACCTAAAGTTGATTATTCTGCACAATCATCAGCAAAGTAATTCCAATCTAATTCTATTTAATATCTAGTAAAATCATCAAAAATTAATTATACATAATGTCTATACTATTTTAGAAGGAATAAATTTCCAAAAATAATGAAATAACTTCTTTTTTTATTGTATAACAGTCTCCATATTAAATATTTGTGTACTTTCAATTAAATCATTTAAAATAACCATTTGACATTTTTTAGCAATTGATCTTAACACTTTAACAGTTTTTATAATTTCTTCTTTAGTTACAGTATTTTTAAATTCTCCTGAACACGTGCAGTATTCTCTAACATTATCTCTTTGAACTTCACCGCATTTTTTACATTGTAAATCTTGCAGAATGAATCCCATAGCCTTTCTACAAATAGTATCAATAAGAAGAAATTCAACCTCAGAATTATCATAGTTTGTTCTGCAAAGAGGACAATTCCAAACATGGATACCTGCCTCAATTGTATGGTAGATATCTTTACACAAATCAATATCTCTAGTATGATTACACGCCTTACAAATTATTTCTGGTAATACAAAGGAGATACATGGGTCTTTCCATTCAGCTTTATCACTAAAACTTCCAACACCAATTAATCTTAAGAGATTTTTCTTTAAATCATAAACTTCGTCTTCAACTTCTTTGTCTAATGATAAAACTTTACAAATAGCTTTAATTAACTCTAATGCTGGATTAATTTTCATAACTCCATTAATCCCAAGATCAAGATTAGGATATTCATTAATAGTTAAAACTTTTTCTGGCAACTTTTTATGAATTTTCTGCACAATTTGGAATAATTTTTGCGACATTTCACCAGCTATAATTTTTTTTGCAAATTCTGCTGCATTTTCCAATGATCCTAATCCCAATTGACACATAGTTTGACTAAGAGAACTATTTTTTCGCCTTCGTACTCTTGGTGTAGATGGAACTTCCATTTCTGTTATAAACTGATAAACTGCTGTGATATATCCAGCAATAACAGTATTAAAACTGGCTTGACATGAGGCTTCTTGAGGAAGAATCTCCATTAAATTCCAATTCATATAAATTTCTGGTGTATCATCATCATCATCACTGTTATTTTCTTCATCTTTATCGTCATCTTCATCATTCTCAGAATTTTTCTTCCTATCTTCTATCGTGGATTTTTCTTTCACTCCAGCAAAATTAGCTAAATCTAACCAAATCAAATACTCCCAACTGTTATTAAAAGTAATTTCAATAGAATGGAATAATTCTTTGTTTCTAATAGTTTGTACAACAAACTCAATGTATCCCAAAGCATCATTCAATGTTCTTTTTTTAGTACAAATAATTATCTTATTAAAGTTAGCAAACACAACAATAGATCCTAGTCTTTTGAATTCTGCAATCAATTGAATAAATAATTTTTTCATGTATGTATGAAGAGTTCTTCGTAATGCTGGATCATAAAGTAGAGCATTTGGAGTTTTTAACCAACGATAGAAATGAATTATTTGATAATCAGCGAATACACTTCTTTGCAGAGTTACAGCTCTTAACCAACTATTTACCATACTTCTAAGAATTTTAAAAGCTGCACTACATAATGCTGTTTCATCATAACTAGGAATTACAGTTTTCCCGTCACCAGAAACCATATCTTGAAGTGAGGCTTGAGGTGCTACATGGAATGCTACAAACGAACTGGTTCCATCAATATCATTGACACGATTTGATTGAAGAAGAGTATTTATTGCTAAACTTTCAACTTCTAATTCTACACAAACACTCGAGTAAGTTCCAGATTTATTGGCTGTACAACTAGAGCTTTCTTCGAAATCTGTTAAAAGTCGATTATCATCATGTTCACTGCCTCCTAAATCTGGTCTTTCAGTTGGTGAACACCAAAGAACGAAATTATTCTTTTGTAAATTTCGTGCATAAAATAAATCAGCTCCAAAGAGAGTAGCATCGGCAGGAATGTTGCCAAGAGGTGCAGCAAAAAAGCGACATTGTTCGATCATCAATTGTAAAATTCGTACACTTTTTAAAAAATTTTTTATTAAAATTTTAGCTCCAACTCTTTGCCAATCTAAAGTATTGAAAAGATTTTCAACAATTTGATTAGAAATGTTAACAATAGGAAAATCAATTAAGCCTGGCATTTCACTTGTCAACGATGATATCTCCATTGGAGAATCAACCAGCAGTATTGTTGCACCTTTCATTTCATTTTTATAAGCTTTCAAAGCATTTTGAATTTGCTTGTAAATTTGTTGAAGACTTGTCTCAATTCTTACTTCAAAACTCATTTCTATAGGAGTAGAAGAAACACCTGCATCATCTTTTACAGCATTTCGTTCAATTTGATAGACAGAATTCATATTTGGCATTTGATTGGTTTTGACTGAGTCATAAACAAAAATATGAGATCGTTTACTTGGACCTAAAAATAATCCCCACATTGACCGCTGACGGTTTGGAGCCCAATAATGATAAAGACAGACATACTTAAAACTTTCTTGTTTGTTTAAATAATTTTCAAATAAATTAGGTTTTATTTCAAGTTGATTTAAAGTAAAAGTATCGACACTGTCAGCCATATTTCTTGCGGATGTAGCATTTACAACACATACGCATCCTAAATTAAGAATAGCTCGAAATATTAAGGGCATTTGTGTTTCATAAATACCTTCATTTTCAGGTTGAGTCACATTTTCCATTAAACTTTGAGAGTGTTGTTGATAAAGATCTTCAGGAACTGTATACTCATATAAATGATATACCGGTCGTGATCTAGGGAGAATTTTATGACATTTTCGCCATAAATCATTCGGTCCAGGTTCACTACGCTCTTTTCTTGAGTTTACATAAAAAATTCTTGGTACCACCAGCCTTAATTGATGCAGTTCTTGATCAACTAATGCCCAAAGTCTAAATAAACCCGGTTCATTTGTTTCAACTATCTGAATGATTTGCCAAGGATTATCTAATAATTTTCTTTGAGCTTTCTTGAAAAATCCTGATATAGTTGAAGTATTCGTATTTCTTACTATTCCACGAGGTCCTTCATCAGCTTGACCAACCATTCTGATTCTCTTACGTCGCCTATCACCTCTTTGTTGAGCTTGATAACTCCACTTTTTCTTATGAAATGTTAGCCAAGCCTGTAATTCTTCTTTAGTTTTACCAGGTGATGGTGGAGGGCCAAAAACTTCACGCCAACTTTTTTTTAAATTAATTTCTTCATCTTCTGAAACTGTTCGTTTTCTTTTAGTTACTTGTGGTCGTTTAAAAACTCCTTGATTACTAGTTGATGGTCTGACATCTTCAATATCATCAATATCGATTGATTTATCATTATTAGAATCACTTTCATCGCTATTTTGTTCTTCACAAGGTTTTTTTGGAAGAAATTGAAATATTTCTGTTATTTTTGTTTGTTTCGTTGTGGCATTTTTATCCATTAGTTTTTTATGTAGCCAATCAGGATGATGAACCCGTGGAACTGGATTTGGAATACCTTGCATAGCAGCTGGAATAGTAATGATTTTTTGAATAGCATTTCCGAGACGTTCTATATAATAACTCCAATCTAATATATCTCTTATATCAAAGTCTTGCATTCCTGGATCTTTTAACCATTTTCGAAGGTAATGTCGTGTTACACTAGGTTCAGATTGAAATATAGCCATTGGAATTGCTCGCTCTGTTACTGGAGCACCATGAGGTTTTTTAGCAATAATATATTTACACGCTAAACCTGCATCTTTTAACATTTGATCTCCCAAAAATTCTGCAAGTCTTTTTGCCGTAGAAATGGAAGTTGATTTTTGTGCACCATAGTCTTCTAATTTTTTTGACATTGATTTATTTTCACAAATCAGCTCAAACAATTCTGAATCTGGAAGACTTGTACCTTTACTATATAAAACATCAAGCCAATAATCTGCAACTTCTGCCACTGCTTTGTAACATTCTTCTAAAGTTTTACCTTTTAAAAAAGATTCAAAAACAGCAGATTGAAAAATTTTTATCAATTGTAATTCTCCTCTTCTCTTGACTTCAAAGCCTTTTAGTTCTGCTAGTGATCCATCAAAATTAAAAACAGCGTATCTTTTTTTCAGTTTCTTACCTTCTTCTTTAGCGGCAGGAAGTACCATTGCTAGATATGGTCCATCAACTTCGAAGAAAATTGAATTTTCACTTCGAATTTCGTAAATACCATTTTCTTTATCTACTAATTCGTGATATACATCATTAGTAAACTCATCTTTGACCATAAAATTCAAAACAGCATTAGGATAAGATATTGTTAATTTACTTTTTTTAGGATGTCTAGTTTTAATCAAAAAATTATCTGGAAAAGTTCCAGGTAAAATACACCAAATTCCATCTGTATCTAACTCTAATGGTCGACCAATTTTTTCAATAATTTCTCTGGCTTTCATGATAATATGAGCTCCAGTATAACATACAATTCCACCCATTTCCATACTAAACCAACGGGATCCTCCTCTCATCACATAACCATAAAATGAATTTAAAATACATTTATGTGCCAATTGTAAAGAATCATAAAGAACTTCTCGATTTTTTGCCGATTTTATTGCAGCAGCATCATTTTTGGCAATAGCTGCTGACACTTGCTGTTTTGCTACCTTAGTTAATCCTTTATACTCGTATCTACGATCTCGGAATGCTCTGACAGTATCAACATAAAAAGAATTTTCTTTTTGACAAACAGTCTGACTCTTTTCTTCCATTCTTGTAACTTTAACTTTTTTATAAACTTTTTTACAATATTGAGTTAAACGTTTTTTTTCAATTGCTGCACGTTCTTGAGATGAAAGTTGATGAAATGCACGTTTTGGTCCACCAGGAAAAACTGGGGGAAATTTTTCAGTCTCCAATTGTTGTTGAATACGTTGATATTCACTTAAATCAGCTGGTAAAAATTCTCCACGCCACATCCACTTCATTTCTCGTTTACATAATGCACCAGATCGATTAAAATCACAAGCAGCACATGCAGTTTCATCTACCATAGCTGATGGTTGGAGACGATTAGTTAAAATGATATTCGGATACATTGCACCAACATCAAGATGATATATTATTGGCTTTTCTAATCTCAATGGTTGTTCTTTTAAATTAATTAATTTTTCTTTAATTTGTTGAGCAACTTCATCGAAATTTTCGACCAGGTCAAGAGGTATTTTTTCTTCTTCTTGAATAGCATGTTTTAAAGCATCATTTACTCCATTTATCAATTCTTCTACTGCACTAGGAATGATTTTAAATCGATAAGGAATATCAGCACGAAAAACACCAGACTCTAAAGCTTCTACATGACCACCAACGTAAGTTTCCAAATTCAATAAATGCCCATCATTAGTAAATTTATTTAATTCACTTTCTTTTTTATTTGGAAATATAATATTAGCTCTAAATGCTTCAACCATTAATAATGATTCACAAAGTGTTCCAGAGCCTTTGCGCAAAACTTCATCTGGACTCATCGGAATAATAGTACAAAGAGCAAAAATAAATGGATGAACATATTTTTGATAGAGATAATACGTAGCAACAGCATCAGATACTGAGTAATTGGCGAGTGTTTCTGGCTGCTCAGCAGCAAATTTACACATTTCTTCAGGATCTATTTCAATAGGATTATAACGAAGTTTTGCTTTAGTTACTGCTTTCAAGCCTTGAGAACCAACAGGCAAATATGAATCTCTTTTTACCCAAGATAAACAATCGAGATGACTAGCAGGTCTACTAGTAAAAAATCCATCTCTGTTTTTAGAAAATCCAATTAAATCTTTCATATTCATTCCATGAATTGCTGCACGAGTTTCCACATATGGCCAATCGAAAAAATCTCCGTTGTATGACACAAAAATATGCGGTTTGACATCACGAATATGATCGAAGAATCGTCTGATTGTTGCTTTTTCATTAGGTTCATTGTAAACATGAAAGATTCCCTCGAATTCAGGTGTTGGAGTATATTCAAAATCTTCGATATCCATTGAAATGATTTCTCTGTTAGTTATTAAATATCCATTTCCATCAATCATGTAAGAGATCATCATAATTTGATCTGTATTAGCATCCGGAAATTTTAAAGGAAGTTTTGTTGTCTCAATATCATAAGCAAGAACAATTGGATCTATTGTTTCTAATATATCAGTACGTCTGGTAATTATTGGAGGGTCAGTTCCACGAGTTTTTATAGAATACCAACAACCCACGAAGATGTTCATATCAATAGATACACGAACATGATGTGGAACATCATGTTCTCTGAGATCAATAATATTATCCATGTGATCCGTATTCTTTCTTGATGATGTTACTTTTTCAGAATCTAGAGCATCAACTAATAATTCTGAGTAAAATGTTTGATTTTTTTCTCTTTCCTGATTAATTTTTACAGCTTGTCTAACATCTTTTCGAACTTTTTGTAAATCAACAAGATTTAAAAATGATAATTTTAAATACTTTTGTAACAATCCTGACAAATGATTAGGTAAATCTAAGTCTTCTTTTTTGCAAAGTTCAACTTTACTTACGATTCCATTGTACTTTTTTAATAAATATGTTGATACTTCTTGCTCTGTGTCTTTACGGCACAAAACATAAAAATAAGGATGAAAAGGCATAGATATTTTAAAACGAGTGCAATCCTCTTCAAGAAAATAATAATCTACACCACTTACTAATCGTTTATCTTCTTCAACAATTTCTGTTATCTGCATGTTAATCAAGTAACCAGTTCGTTCTTTGATGTCACTGACTCGATGAAAACCATATATATTGTCAATGTGGATATTTTCATTGACCTTTAATAAACGATTATCTGCTGCATTTTCACGTGATCTTGTTTCAAATGATCCTTGAAACGAATTTTTTTTAGGATTTTCCGATTTATCTGGTCGATATTTTCCAGTATTTGTTGCCATATTTAACAATCAATTAAAATATACTTTTACTAGTTGAATCTTTCAAACTTATTGTTTACTGTTTCAAAAAATAAATATATGTATTAGTTTTATTTATATTTACAGAGATTGAAAGAATGTAATGTTTAAAATGAAACTTTTTTTATAACAATAAATGAAAAGTCGAACGAACGATTTACGCCATATTGTTTACTCATTGGCGCGCGCCAAAATTTTCTTTATTTTGAGGTGCAATTTATTAGCAAACGATAAACGTTTTACTAGCTATAGATGTCACTGGTGAGAATTCCAATGCGCTTTATTTAATTTTGATTATTTCGTTTTCTTGGTTTTCTTCTTTTTCTTGGACTGAATTTCTGGAAGTATTTCTTTAATAGATTCAGTAATATCATTTTGATATACTAATGTATCAACATCACGAGTATCAACTTTTTTTTGATATCTCGTAGTTGCTGCGGGTGGAGAAAATTCAATTTCCATATCAGATGCGGTAGAGCTGGAGTCATCCGAAAAATCAAGATTTTTATTTTTTCTTATATGAAAGTGTAAAGGTTTTATTGTTTGTTGTTCTTCAGGTTTGTTTATTAGTTCTTTATTGATTGGATAAAAAGTTACATAGTAATCTCCAGTTTTTCGATGAATATGAAGAGTTGGAGGTAATTGATATTCATCGTCTCTAGCTCTTTGACCCCAATAATGTTTGCTGGGAAAAAATAAATGTTTTCTCTTTGTTCCTTTAGCTCTCTTTCCACGAACTGGTGTCGACGGACGATCTCTCATATCTTCAGAAGTTCTCTCTATTTTGGCGTCTTCTAATGAGTTCCAAGCATTACGAGATATAGCACCTGGTTTCCATCCAACTTGAGGTTTTAATTTACCAATGGTCTCTCGTGTATTCCAAAGCCATCCCATATTACCTGGCACACGCATTCTTACATCAACACAACTCTTATGACCATAATAGAATCGTGGTCTAGTTGAATTTACTAATTTCATAATTTTTTTACTTATGTGAACATAATTGGGTCTTAGATCAAGACTTTGACTCTTAGACACTGTTTTAGAGTGTTTTTTTGAGCTTTTAGATTTATTTTTCTGTAATTTTGTCTTTTTTATGTTTTTCAACGATGAATTTTGAGTAGATGACAAATCAGGAAATTGTAAGACATCATCTTCAAAATTTGCCTTTTTCGACATACAAGTTACTTTGCCACAGGGTCCATATTTAACTTCTTTCTTTTCTATTGGAACAGATTCATCATCTTTTTTTTCAATTTTTTCATCTTTTCGTAATTTTTTTACAGGTGTTGATAGTAATTTTTCATTAAATTTAACTGTACATTCCTGATCATCAAGAAAATTATGTATTTTCTTATTATCGTGAAACTTTTTTTGAGTTTTTACTACAAGATTAGATTGTTTTTGTTCATTTGACAAAGACAACTGTTTGTTAGTATAAGTTGTATCTAAATTTTGACAATTTCTATTAAAATAAGGACTGTCAGCAGGATCCATTAAACCTAATCCTTGTATTCCTGGTACTTTACCCAGAGAGTTTACAAACTCTTGAGCTTCTTTCAATTTCTGTATCAAACAATCTATATCAATACATGGTGTATTTATACATCCAAGTCCACTTTTCATGGTTATTGCCTCAGACTTTCCATAACATCCACATCCAGGCTGATTTTCTTCATGATTTGGTTTACAAAAATCTTTTATAGATATTTTTGTTGGCGATATTGGTGAAATAGATAATTTTTCTAGTTCTTTATTAACTCCACCACCTCTCATTCTTTCACATATATTATTTTCAAATACGTCTCTATTGTTGTCATCAACTGAATATTTCTCTTTTTCCATTGTATTACACGTGACATATTTTGTAAATGATGATTCATCTTCTAGTTTGACGGAATTTCTACGTATCAATGGTAATCTTTGTATAATTTTTGCTTTTAAATCTTGATTTTTTCGTTTATAATAATTATCAGGTAAACAAATTTCTTCTTTGTATTCTTCTAGCATTTTTTCTTTTTCATTCATCAACTTTAAACATTCAAAAACTTTCATAGAATTGGAATTCTTGAGAACTAATTTGTTATTGTTCGTATGGAACTGTGTCACAAGGTATTGTCCTAAATAAGTTATTCTAATGAATATATCAATAGTACCTGAGACACCATTATTTTTATCAGAAAGTCAAAAAATATTACTAAATACTAAGGATTTTCTAATATTAAAAATAAAAATACCAAAATTATTTTTTGTACCAGCTGCTTAAGTAACGAGCTCATCGCTGTTTATAGCTAATACTGAAAAGTTTAAGAATTTTATATGAATTTATAAATAATCCGATTGTACATTTTCTATAATATTTAAATTTATGTTAAGCCGATGAATGAAAAATTCTATCATATACAGTAATGTTTCATTCTTATTTATGAGTGATTCGGATAACATGATTAATTTAAATAGCCATTCTAACTCAAACAATTAGTTTATAAAATTACGTTTAAATTTAAGGTTCAAATTTAAGGTTACTATCATAATGATAACATATATAAAGCATGAAGTTGTATATTTTTGTAAAAAATTACAAAAAACCCTTATATACTATACAATGTCGTATTTTATTCTTATTTATAAAAAAAAACAAAATACTTTATTAGCCTATAGCATCAAGCTCTTCCAAAAACGATCGACATTTACCTTTTAAAATTTTTACCGCTTCTAAGAACAATAAAGCAGGGGATAAGGCTCCAAGTGATTCAATTGTAACTGTATCAAATAAATTAGAATATTTATAAATTAAAATTTTTCATTGAAAAAAAAAATTATCATTCAAGACTTTTCTCAATACTCACAAATAAAATGATCCGGAATACGTCCTAACTGAACTACATTCTTAAGACTTTCATGACGAAAGACATTTCGTGAACAACTATCATAACGTGGATCTTTCACTTTAGCTTCAATTTCTCCCTTGGAGTTTTCAACTAATTCTATAACACCAGGACTAAAACAAGATTTCAATAGTTCAGCTTGATCACCTTTAATGGGCCTCAATAACTGTATTTCTGGCATCAGTCTATAAGTTGCAGTTGCTGCATAACATAAAAAAATTATTAATTAAATAAATCGATTCGTTTTTACACAGCTAAATGTGTTAAAAAAAATACGAGTTTGAAAATCAATATTCGCAGTGTACTTTATCTAAATACTTACCAACAGGTGAAAATTTTGCATGATCTTTTCCTATTCCTTTAACAGCATGCATAAATGCATGGATTTCTTGACCTGGTCGCATTTTACAAAGTAAAATATCAGGTTCTAACATTCCAAATTGATCTTCACCTTGAGGATATAATTCTGCTTGTCTTCCAATTGGTACCCACTTTATATCTCGACTATAAACTATGAGAAAAAAATTGTAATAATATGTAATTGTAATCTTTTCTGATCAACTAGATTAAATAAATTATCAATTACCATTATTATTGCGATAAATATCATCTGGTCGACGAGAATCTTTAGGAGCTTGAGTATTCCACGTGCAATTTATTTTCATCTCATATCTTAGTGTATCTTGATCACTAACTTCTTCTTCTTCATTACTACTGCTTGTTGGATAATCAAACAATCTTGGATCTGCTTTCAATGGTACCAATCCTAATCTATTGAATAAAATTTATTTATTTATTTTGTTGTATTAATATTTTGAATAAATAAATTATAATTTAAATCATAATACCGATGAGCTAATACTTCATCTTGAATTAAACTTGTGTTATTTAGTATGTAAACTTTTTCAATTGCCATCGATGGAACTTCACTCAGCAAAATCCTTCGGAATGTATTCGCTAATGCTGCTGAACATCCGATCAAATCAAATTCCAGTTCTCTTTTATCATCTGATTGTCGAACAATATCTATTCTAAAATTCTAAAAAAATATAATTATATCACCATACATTATTATTAATAATAATCACATTTTATCTAAGTTTCCAAACCTTTTTAAAGTTATCCCATTCTGTTGTGTAGAGGTTAGAAAATTCTGCCGACTGTAAAATTTGATTGAAATTAAGTTTTATAAATGAAAACACTTATTATAATAATTGAATTTAATAACTTACATTTGGTATTCCATATTCACCTAAAATTACTTTAGGACTTGGCATTCTATCCATCTTTTTATTTACTTTTATTGATATCTAAAATCACTTCAAATTTCTTGAATCACCAGAGAAGAACTTGTCACGTGCTCATAACATTGTTGTTTGTCGTTTCATGTAAACGACTCGGAAGTGGCTATGCGCATGCGCACAACACCGTAGACGGTTTTAACTCATGTCATTTTCTACGAGTAAATTTAACTGCAAGTCTTTTACTGTGAGTTAATAAGTTAAAAATGGTATTAAAAAAGATAGATAATCGTATCCGAGTGTTAATTGAAAATGGAATTGCAGAAAATTATCGATCAATGTTTGTTGTTATTGGCGAAAAAGCTAGAGATCAGGTAAAATCTTAATTCAATTTTAGTAAACAAATTTATGAGGTTATGTTCTTCAACCATGTGGCATATCATGATTAAGTTATTTTAATAATTCATTAATTTCAGTCATATAATTATCAATAAAGATTATTTTATTTTCAACTTTTAGGTTGTATTACTTCATCACATGCTTTCAAAATCTGTAGTCAAATCCAGACCATCAGTTTTATGGTGCTACAAAAAGGATCTCGGTTTCAGTAGTCATCGTAAAAAACGAATGAAATCTATTAAAAAGAAAGTGAAATCGGGGAAATTAAACGTTGATGAAGATGATCCATTTGAACATTTCGTTGTATCAACAGATATACGCTACTGTTATTATAATGAGACTCATAATATTTTAGGAAAAACATATGGGATGTGTATTCTTCAGGATTTTGAAGCCTTAACTCCTAATTTATTAGCTCGAACCATTGAAACTGTAGAAGGTGGAGGATTGGTTGTTTTCCTCCTTCAATCAGTCAACTCATTGAAACAATTATACACGATGAATATGGATGTTCACAGACGATTTCGTACAGAAGCACACAAGGATGTTGTCTGTAGATTCAATGAACGATTTCTTTTATCACTTACATCTTGCAACCGATGTTTAGTGGTAGATGATCAATTACGAATAATTCCAATCTCTTCACAAACGTTGAAAATTGAACCTGTAGTGAAATCTGCTATTGTTAATGAACAAACTCAAGAATTAAATGAATTAAAGAATAGCTTTCAAGATACTCAACCAGTATCATCATTACTAAATTGTTGCAAAACAGCTGATCAGGCTAAAGCATTGTTGAAATTTATTGAAGCTATTTCAGAAAAAACTTTGAGATCAACAGTCTCTTTAACAGCAGCCCGAGGACGTGGAAAATCAGCAACATTAGGTCTTGCGATTGCAGGAGCAGTAGCGTTTAGTTACTCTAACATTTATATCACAAGTCCAAGTCCAGAGAATTTAACTACTCTTTTTGAATTTATATTCAAAGGATTTGATGCATTAGCATATCAAGAACATCTCGATTATGAACTTCATCAATCTGATAATCCAGAATTCAATAAAGCCATAGTTCGAGTGAATATCTTTCGACATCATCGACAAACCATCCAATACATTCATCCAACTGATGCGCATAAATTGAGCCAAGCTGAATTATTGGTGATAGACGAAGCCGCTGCTATTCCTCTACCCTATGTTAAATCTATGTTAGGACCATATTTAGTATTTTTATCATCGACAATTAATGGTTATGAAGGTACTGGACGTTCTTTATCATTAAAACTACTTCAACAACTGAGAGCACAAACAGCAACTTCAAATAGTAATGATAAGTCTCTCAAAAAAATTAATGAAAATAGTGTGATTGGACGTCAATTGCATGAAATTACTCTGGAAGAATCCATTCGTTATAAATCTGGTGATAAAGTAGAAGAATGGTTGACTAATTTACTTTGTCTTGATGCCACAAAACATGCTCCAATTCTATCAGGGTGTCCACTTCCAGATCTTTGCCAACTTTATTATATAAACCGTGATACTCTTTTTTCATATCACAAAGCTTCAGAGCTTTTTTTACAGAGATTAGTTTCTTTGTACGTTTCTTCACATTACAAAAATAGTCCTAATGATCTACAAATGATGTCTGATGCACCGGCTCATCATTTGTTTTGCCTTCTAGGACCTGTTGACCCAAATCGCAAAACATTGCCTGAAATTCTAGTAGTAATTCAAGTCTGTCTAGAAGGAGAAATTAGTAAATCTAGTGTAAAAGAAAATTTAGGAAGAGGAAAAAGACCTTCTGGTGATCTCATTCCTTGGACGATATCTCAACAATTCAATGACAACAGCTTTCCAAAATTAGCCGGAGCTCGAATTGTTCGAATTGCGACTCATCCCGACTATCAGAGCATGGGTTATGGAAAGAGAGCTATGAAATTACTCAAACAGTATTATGAAATGAAAATTCCAAATATTGATGAGACAACAGAAGAAGACTCGAAAAAAACTAACGATGATGAAGATAACGAAATAGATATGTCTACAGAAATTATACAACCAAGAACTTCACTGCCTTCTCTTTTATTAAAACTGAGTGAAAGACGACCAGAAAGATTAGATTATATTGGAGTATCCTATGGGCTAACAGAACCTCTTTTGAAATTTTGGAAAAAGCTGGACTTTGTTCCTGTTTATGTTGGTCAAACTACCAATGATATTACTGGAGAACACTCTTGTATAATGTTATCTAAAGTAATAATTGATGAAGACCAAGACTTCAGTTGGTTGGATGAATACTGGGCAGACTTTCGTAGACGATTTGTTAATTTATTATCTGATACATTTGCAAAGTATCCAACTTCTTTAGCACTTAGCATGCTCGTTAATGACTCGGTCACTTTAAAAAAAACATTCATGAATAAAGAAACTCTTGATGTATATTTTATTCCAGGTGATTTAAAGAGACTAGAATTATACAAAAATAATATGATTGATTATCGATTGATTAAAGATCTAGTTTCAACAGTAGCAAAAATATACTTCTTTAATATGATGGGTAATGTAGAATTATCAGCTCTGCGTGTAGCAATTTTGCTGGGAATTGGTTTACAGCATAAAACGATAGACGATTTATCACAAGAATTGAAACTTCCACAATCGCAATTACTTGGATATTTTAATAAAATGATTATAGAATCCGTTAAATATTTTAATGGCATTGTTGAAGAGTCTATTGAGAAGACATTGAGCATTAATAAGAACGTTAATGAAAATATCATTGTTGATGCAGAACAAGGAGAGGCTTTACAAAAAGAATTAGAAGATGCAGCTCGTAAATTGGAAATTCAACAGAAAAAAGAATTAGAGAAGTTGAAGAAGTTAAATTTAGAGCAGTATGCAATCAAAGGAACTGAAGAAGAGTGGAACAGTGTGCTCAAAGATAAAGGATCTAAATCATTAATATCTGTAAAAACTGGTGAAAAGCGTTTGGGTGAAGGTGATCTTTCTTTAAATTTGGAAAAAAATAATGAACTTAAAAAAAGGAAGAAAAAAAGGTTTTCTAAGTAGATCTAAAAATATGTACAGCATTTACTAAAAATAAATTTTATTATAAAAAAAATATTCATGACGTTTTATTTTCAAAAAAATTATTATCTACAATATATTTAATACATTGACAAATGAAATTTCTTTCATGAGTAATAGACCTAGAAAGTAGTTGCTGTAATAACATAGGTCTTTTGCGTTTTTTTGATTCCCTTTTCTTCATTTCTTCTATACTGTCTTTTCTAGTGTTGTTTTCATTTTCTAATTTTCGCTTACGTTTTAAACGATTTTCTTTTAATACTGTTGCAATTTGATCAGTTTTTGTTTCTACAATTTCGATATTATCCATTGTTGCAACTGTTGAATGATCCATTTCTGTCTGTTGTTCTAAATCTTCTATTTTATGGACTTGTGTTTTTGTTATAGGAATTTCGTCAGGAGGTTCTATCAATAAATAATACAATTATTAATTTCTTGATTTCTATTAAATTTAGAAATTTGAATAAAAATAATTTACCATTGTCCGAGTCACTTGCATAGTCAGCAACTAAGCTACAACTTATGGTAATTGGTTTAGAATTTTCAATTTTAGGTAGGGAAATTTCTTCTTCTTCTTCTTCTTCTTCCTCTTCTTCATCGTCTGTTATTTTATATTCATCAATAATATCTTGTTTATTTGATTCATTGTTTATGTCAGGATAATCGTCTTTCAAGTATTCTAGAAAGATAATTTATTGATGAAATTTGCAATTATGTAGAGAAATATTGTCAATTTATAATTTGTAAATTGTATCAAAAATGAAATACTTACTGGTTCCTCTAAATGGTGCTATTCCTCTATACATTTCTACAACCGGTTCTACTTCTTTTATTTCTGTTTCAGAGAGTTTCTTAAATTTTTTGGCTTTTCGGCGTCTATTTTTTACAGATTTTTTCGCTAATTTAGGTTTTTTAGTATCATTGATTACTTCACCTCGTTCTTTTTTTTCTATCGCTTCAGAATTTTTTGACTCAATATTAGCACGTGTGGGATATTTTCTGTAAATAATAAATTAACGAGTGCATGTAGAAAAAAATAAGAGAAATAAATGAATATTGTGCACATACCGTTTTCTTTCATTTCTCCACTTTTCAATGTCTTCTGGTTGTGATAAATTTTTTAATCTATGATAAAGACCAGATTGATGTTGCATTTGAATATGTTTTTCAACTAATTTCGGATGCGCTGAAAAAGTACATCCATCTATACCACACTCACGATGAGTTTGTTTATGTGCATCAAACAATTGTTCAGTGTGATATTCACGATCACACATTTCGCAGTAGAAAATATTTTCTTCTTCTTCGCAACTTTCATCGTTTTCATCTCTTCCATCACAATACTCTGGATCATCTTGGTACAAGGCTGCCTAAAAATTTTAGCTTAAAATGTGGTTTTAAGAATAATTTTTAAAGTGCATTCACATAGAATTAATTGAAGTTAAGTGTAAATGCTCAGGAAACTTGAGATTGGGCTGACAGTAGTCTTCGAGTACAAATCAACAGTAAAAACAATAGACTTTCACTACAAGATACTTAACCATTTTTATCAAAGTTAATGAGTTTTTTCTAATAACAAATAAATATAAACAATAGTTTGTTTAAAAATGGGAAACACCACATATAGAACTGTAGAAATATTATTTATTCTTACATTAGGAATATTAAATACAAATTTTCTCTTTATCAATACGTTAATTATTACTGAGTAAAATATTGATAACTAATACAACTAGTTAGCGCCTTTGATTGCGCTGTTACAAATAAATTACAAATATTAAGAAGAAAAACTCAATACGACTAAAATTTGGACACTTCTTAGTGATTTTCAAAAAACTAAAAAACATTAATAAAGTGTCTTAATTGAATTGATTATATTGACTCTACAATTTTCAATTGATAAACGGTATAACAGTGAAGCATGAATTCACTCAATATTTTTATCCGTATTTTAGCTGTAAATAATGCAATATAATTCTCGTAATGAGGAATGTTACGGCTTGAAGCACTGTACACTGGTCACACAACAAAATCTATGAGCTAAATTTGCTCAAAACATACCACCAGTCTTTAGATATGTATTTACAAAAGTATTTATTTAATTCATTAATGCCAAGAATCAATGCAATACGTCTATTTGAATAGAAGTACGCGAGTAAATCAAATTAAAAACATTAATTCATTCGTAAAACAAGAGCTCATTGACGTTATATTTTCTGCAGTTTTAACATAAAGTGAGATATAAATATTATCGACCACTGCAAATTAATGTTAGTAATGTTTTTTGATTTAAAATGAAATTTTGTATAGTTTCTGAATACGGAGGAGTAGCCTGAAGCTTTAAGACTGAGCCTGTTCGCTGGAAGGCCGCGACTCCTCCGTTACTTCCATTTTTACGGGTTCAGGTTGAATTTCTGTTTTTTCAGTTTCCTGAACACTCTCGATCTCAATTGCATTAGTATCACCTGATTTTTGACCACCCTGTAAGGAAAGTTGTTCATCAACTGATGTTTTTATTATAATCAATTTTCAATTAAGAGATGAGTGATAAGTTTGATAACTGAATCAATTCACTCAAGCTAATGATTTTTCAAAATATTTGAAACAAAATCGATGATAAAAATGGTAAAGAAAAAAAACTATACCAAATAATCGCTGACTCCCACAGTACTTAAATTCCACCAGTTTTTTTTTTTCATTTTACAAAGTACACTTGAAAATATTTTTACTCGTATTTTTTTTAGAGCAGTAATTAATAATATTATTATTATTATTATTCATTGAAATTAATTTATTTACGTTATACATACCTGGTCGGGATTTTTAGAAAGATACTCATTCTTTGCGTCTCTGATCATTCTTGTGACTTTATTCCTCAGATCTTTGAATTCTTCCCATTCTATCGCGTCTTTATTTTTTTTAGCTTTCGCATATAATTTATTTTTTTTCTGAATTTCACTACGTATTTCATCTGTCATCCATGGCTTCTTCAATTCGAGTTCCTGAAAGGAATAAAAAATTTAAAAATGATTAAAATATAAAAAATACAAAGACAATTTACATTTTATTTTAATGAGAGACAAATTACTTGAGAATATTTTTTTAATAAAATTGAAATTTTCGAAAACAATATAAAGAAATCTGTATTTACCTCAAGTTTACTTGCTTTCTTGGCATTATTCATAACTTTGGCCTTAAGAGTTCCATTTCCTGGAGGGAATCGAGGCCTCATGTGTGGTATACCTGGTGGTGGTAAAATTCCTCGTGGTCCAGGTCTCATAGGTGGTCCTCTAGGTCCTACTCCTCTCATTCCCATCATGGGCATCATCAGAGGTGGAGGGCCACGGTTCCTTGGTCCAAATAATGGAGGTGGACCACCTGGTCCTGGTCTTATTGCACTTCCCGGACGTGGTAATGGCATTCGTTGACGCATAGGGCCAAATACACCACCCATGGGGGGTGGTGGTGCCATTCTTGGAGGAATGGATGGCATTGGAAGTCTACCAAAACGTGGAGGCGGTGGCCGAATACCAACCGGCGGCATTCGGGGGCCCAAAAGAGGTCCTCTGTTTAATGGACTCATTTTTTTGCTAGGAGACAAATTTTATTACTTTTACAATATGATACCGGTCTATATCATTATGGATATTTGAGGTTATGCATTTTGTTCGCTCGAAGTCTTGTGTAGAAATTTCTCGAACAATTTTCTATTTTTAACTTATAAATATTTACCTGAATTTTTGTATAACAATGATAAATGACGAAGTTTTTAACTTAAATATAACACTTTTTACACCACTTAACGAATATGAAAGTTTAATCAAAACTTTTCTATCGGCGTTTCCAAAATGGCGTGTTTACACAATAGCGTATGGGAGTGTTTGCAACGACACGCTGTGATTTCAATTGAAAGGTCTCTCTCTCTTCCAAACATCGATGGTTACGCCCTCAAGTTTAAAACTCGATTGGAAATTTACCGACTGAAACAAAGTCGTAAACAAAGAATACTACATTATCTAGACACTTTTGAATTAAAAATTTTATTCATCAATCATTATCTGAATTCATAACTGAGTATGAAAATTCTATTGTATCATTACTTTCCAAATCGATTATTTGTATGGATTCTTCACTAATAATAATAAAATCATCAAGTATTTAAATCAATTAAATTTACATTGAAAGTATTAAAAAATACTATTATTTAATCATTACTCAATATTTATAAATATTTTTAAAGTCAGATTCTTTCTCTCCCAAAACATATCCTTCATTTAAATAGTAATTACTATAAATTAAAAACAATAGGGTTAGGAAGGTGCGAAAAGTTACTTGTAACTGATTCCACCTAACGGAGAGATTCGAATTAAATGAGCAGGTGGCAGGAGTACAGTTTCATCGGTCTTCAGTTTAGTATCTGGCGGATTCAGGACGTCTATAGTAGTGAGGAAGTTTCAGTTAGAATTAATTTTTTAAAACAACTATAAAGTGACGCGTTAATTAAATTAATGTAAATAAAAATTAATTATAAACATTTTATGAATATATTTAATACAGTAAAAACTGTGGATTAATTTACGATATTTTGACCTTTGAAAATTTCAGTTTATTGTTTGAAATTCAAACAGAATTCTAGAATTATTATCGGATGTTAGTGTAATCCTTGATGCTCATCGAGTTAACTCATCAGACAAAAAAATTTTTTCTCAGAAAGAATATCAAAAATAAAGTTGAAACTTCAACATAATAATAATAAACAAATAAGTAAGTCAAGACATTTTATTTATTACTGTTATTGCTACATCATTGACTTATTTGACCTTTTGTCATATGATTCATCAAAATTGGTACACTTTTGTGGGTTTTTCATCTGTTCCAACTTATTTATTTTTGGGTCAGTTTATTTTCTAATCTGTAACATTAATAATTGATTATAAATTAAAACGACTTTACAGGAATTGATACTTGTATTAAATCATTAATACAACAATAAATTAATGCATTTAAAATTTATTATCGATACCGAAAATAATTCAAAAAAGAACCGTTGTACGAACCGACTTCATAATCGAGGATGAAACTAGAACGCAAGCGTGTAACTGTTCGGATAATGCATCTGCTTCTTGATCATCACAAAGAATCTTTAAATTACTCAATTTCACGGATGTATCCTGCAAAATTTAATCATCATATTCCGAGTTTATTTCCACTAACCAATTTTTAAAGTTCTAGAAAAATTCTTCAGCTATTCAATTAATTCCCAAATTAATTAAAAATAAGTTATTGTTTATATAATGGAAAGTTCTCTCAATATAATCTCAGCTTGCATAAAGTTAAGTTAAACTTTAATACATACATTTATGTGTAATCGATTTTATTAGTAAACATAACGATTATTAAAAATAATTTTTCTATGAAGATAAAATATGAAATGAAATCGAATGAAAGTTGCGTCACAAGGAAACGTTATAAAAGAGACGAAATGACCGAATAGCTGGGGTGGACTTAAACCGGTTGTAATCTTTGCCTGCAGGCGGAATTTGCTTGTTCTCTATATACCATTATATTTATTACCTATCACCTGAACATACTTGAACTATATATACACATATGCATGCATTGTGGAGTGAACCATGAACAACGGTTTGCAGGGGAAAAAAATTTAATTGTATACCTTATTTCCATTTTAATTTGTAATATTTATTAATAATCATTATCTCATTGTTTGAATATTTCATTTATTATAGCCATCATGATCACAGATAATTCTAAATTTAATATTTTTTTCCCCGTATAAATATTTGGTCTTTCCAAGCATCTGTGTTACTTACTGCAAAACCTTTCTCTTCCTTTAGTTTAAGTCTTCAATCATGTTTCTTGTACGTTGCTCGAGGGCCAAGGTTAACCCAACGGATTTAACATCCTTTTTATATCCGTTCTCAATCCTCTTCATTCGTTAGCTGATGATTAATTTTAACTTATTGAAAATAGTGGATTTTATTATTTATATTTCATTTTTTTATCATCAATATTAAGAATTCTACGTGTGTCTTTCATTTGGAATAATACTTTTGAGATTCGCTTAGATTTCATTTAAGGAGATTATACGCCAGAGAATGTATAAATAAAAAATTATTGGAATGCAGGAAAGAGAAAGAGATCTAGCAAAATGCCGTTATAAAATTTTTATTTAAAATGCATAGATGTATAAGTAGTTGAAAAATCTTTAAGACAAGGAGATAAATATTTTTTTCACTCAATATCATATCTTGGTTTCGTATTTCAATTAGAATGTTTCAGTTGAAAATTTAGTTGCATAGGAAAGGCTAATAAAAACATCTCCTATATATCTTTTTATCTTTGAGAATGATTCAATGAAGAAATTATTTATTAAAAAGAATTTGTTGAATAATTTATAATAAATGTCGCTAAGTCTAATAATTATGCTTGGAATTATACTTTAAAATTCACTATTAATGTATTTTTATTTTTACAGAATGTTGATGGAGAGAAACGAATGTGATTCAGACATCGAAGATTAATTCCGCACATATGAGGCATCTACTTTCTATAATAAGTAAAAAAAGAAGTGTTGAGGAAGAGACGATTTTCTATCGAAAAGTAAATAGCTGGAATCAGAAGTTGACATTTGAACAAATGTCAGATGTTCCATCGTAAAAAAGCACGTTATAAAAACAGTAAATTAGTAATTATTGAATGCTTAGGTGATTCAATTGGCCAACAAAGAACAGAAATATAGAAAGGCTGGGAATAACAATTCCCAGCGAATAAACAAGAATCGTGGAAGGCTCACGGAAGTCAATTAGCTATTACGGGCCTTATCAAAATTCATACAGCTGTAGCAACGGTCCGGCAAGCATTTACGGATATCCAACGAATCATCCCACTCATTTGCCACATCAACTTCATGAAGATTACCGACCAATTTATTTTTATGTAGCTCAACCATATACTATACCATATACTTTTGCTAAAAGGCCTAAAATATCATCTATACAAAAATCAATAAAACATCGGCCTAACTATCGTGTCAAGTTTCAAAAAAAACTCAGCAGTGCAGAATTTTCACAGAAAGTTAAGCAAGGAGAATTTTCCAGAAGTCTGAATCAAGTACAATTTGTTAACGATTCTTTTCCAGGTGAGTTGTCTCAATTTTCACATCTCACAGTATATAATTTAATGTTGTATTTCTGTGTAGCGCAGTTATGTTTATTAAATGCTTTTTATAAAGTTTCTATTGTAATTAATTCAATTATTTAATGGGTAGAAATTAACTACTATTGAATAATATTAAAATTTTATCAAGAATATAATCGGAAACCGGTTATTTGTTGTTTTTAATATTCTTAATACTTTAAGTAATTGTTGAATGATTATTTCATAAAACGTGAAAAGTGTTCTTTTAATTCTTTTTTAAAAAGTAAAAACATCATATTTAAGAAAAAGCATTAAATTTAGCTTTCTAATTGAAATAACCTGAAAACTATCTTTAAATAGTTTATATGACCTACATACAGAATTTTGCAAAAAAATTGTCAAAAATTATTTAAATTCTCTCAAGAAATAAGGACGCGATTTCATAATTTTTTTTACTGATTACTTTATATTGTTATGGAAAAAAGTGCTGACGAAACATTAACAAATCCTAGAATATTTTTTTATATTGAATTATTATAATAGATCTTAATATTGAATAACATTATATTGTGTTTAATATAATAATTACAGAGTAATGTGAAAGATCCAACCAAACAATGGATGTAATTACCTTGCACTTCCATATTGATGGTGTATCAATATTAGTATTTTAAAGCTTTAGTCCATTAATTTTTTAAAATTTATTATTAGTTCAAGAAATTTACTAATAAATTATTAATTATTTTTGAAACAGTTCTTTCAAAGTGACCGTCGTGTGCTTTACACATTTTTTAATGAGTAAAACTAACTATACTACACCATTGTTTGGTCAGATAATAGAAATTAAATTATACCACACTATTCATATGAAAATAACATGTAAGAGACACCATAACGACGAGACAACATCATCAACCGTAGTAAAAAGTATCGAGGCATGACCAATATCTACTTTCCATGATGATTAACAGAAGTATCTTTCTGTTTTCTCTGCAAAAGTGACAAGTTTTCCGAAGACTGCACACATTCATCCAGACCCCAAAATGACATCGATGTTCCGAAGAGGCACTATTTTTGCTACTTTTTTTTTGTCATTACTTGGCGGTGGTTTAGTTTGTGCGGCATTAGTTACACAGCATTGGATTGAAGCCAAGCCTTGGAGAACACCAAATCCTGAAGAAAGTGCTGGGAAAATTCATTTTGGATTGCTACAAGGAAAGAAAGAGTTAAATGTCGCATATGGTTGGAGAACCTATCCTATATCAGGTAAGATGAGTACATATATTATTTTTATAGAAGCTAACCATTATTATTAATTTAAAATTTCAATTAACAATTACAGAATCATTGGTTAGAATACTTATCTCTGAAAAAATTTCTTATTATTCTTTCGATGTTTGTTGTTTTCATTTGTAATCATTGCTATGAGCTCCAATATGGTTACAACGTTTCGATTTCGAAACATTAGCAATTGTAAACAATAAAGTAGAAATCTTCATCATACTAATTGATCATTAAATTGAATAGTCAAGTCTATAATTTAAAATACTGGTTATGATATTTTGTTCGCAGAAATATAATCTTCATGATCAAAAAATAGAATTTAATTAGATCAGTTTCTCGTACTTGTTATATAAGAAAGCTGTAGGCGTCAAAGAAGTCCAAGTATTTTTCAGTTGACTGCCCTTAGTACCATCCTTAGCAACGCCATGTTGATTACTACTTCCACCATAGTTTTTCTTATTTTTCAAATAATATAATAATTGCTTTCTTAGACGAACAAGGTAATCATGGTTTAATATATTATAACAGTAATTTAGTATGCTGCTTGCTTATTTATTTATAAATACGTTTTCATAAGGTCTTAACATCTTTACATTTGTTGTGATTGTCGAGTTTTATTTTCAATGGGAATATATTATATTTTAAAATCGAGTTTACGTAATAAGCAACACATAAATATATTTATTGGAATTAAAAACCTAGTCACGTCGTAATCTTGTCGTGTGCCTTATTACGCCTAGTCTTTGTAATACAATTGATCCTCTAGAATTTAAGTCGACTTTTGCAATTATTATTCCAAGCAGTCACCCATAGTTTTATGCTCACTCGAAGCCAGAATGAGTTTATTGCAGTCTACTTGGAATACAATATATTTGAAACAGGATTATTGATGGAGTTGTTGATTTTAAATTAGTTTTTTGTAATTGTATCACATTTTATCTTATTTCATTATCATAAATAGAAAACTTAGTCCTTGAAATAGTTAAAATTTATTTAATTTTCTACATTCATCAACTATTTCTTATGATTATTATTATTGAATTTGATTTATGTTAATAACTTTTTTTAGATAATTTTTATTAACTTACGTTTTTTTTTTAGTTGCTCAAATGATTAAATCGGACCCTTCTGTAATGAATTGGGGTCTTTGGATAGCGACTCTAGTTACAACTTCCTTAGCATTAGTTGCTGCTGCACTTTCTGCACTTTTGGCTGTTTTAAATACCGCTACAACTCCGAGAACTAAATTATTTTCTGTACCTGGTGTTTATTCCATAAATATTCTCACGAGTAAGTTCTTTTTTTTTACAATGCATTCAAATAAATTCAATTTTCAACGATGTAAGTTTAATGAAATTCGGTCAATCTAAAGATCTAATTAAACTCAATTAAATTACATTCTATAATTAATTAAAGCCGATGTTGTAATGATAATAACGTCCACGTATTGGTCTGCTTATCTAATACAAGTAAAGAAAGGTAACCATAACTGATTAACAATTCCTCATAATAATTGATTTCAGTGATTTTCTGTATAACAAGCGTAGCAACATGGTTAGCACAATTCTTTATAAAATTATACAATAATGTATTACCGAAAGAAGATATAGACAACATGTGGACTAGTGAAGGTTCTGCAGAATTAGGTTATTCATTTTGGTAAGTATTTCATTACAACTACTTAATTAATATTCAAATGTATTCACAACTGTCATGTATTCATAAATATTCTCATATTTCAAGATTGAAATCTTTCCATTATCTATCAATTATTATAATAAAATTAAAATGAACGTAAACAACAAATAGAATGAATTATGGTATTACAATTTATGGTAAATATGAGAAAGTAGTATAATGAAAGAAAAATTAGTTAAATTTGTAATTTATTTGAATAGTAAGCAAATCTAAACAGTGATGTAAGGGTAATTATCTTCTGAAGATTTTGTCCAAACTTTCTACGGATTTGATGAAAGTAATTCAGTCTCACTTTTCGGTACTATCTTAAATCTTTCGTTTGGAATTTTCGATACGCCTCAAGTATAACAATGAAACATGAAAAAAACAATCGTTAGATAAAGGTGAGATGGATAGCGAAAGTAGATATAAACCAGGTCTTGGTATAGTTTAAGTTCCGGGTTAGATATATGTATACTATTAGGGATTAGAATATTTAAAAGAAATAAAGTATAAATAAAGATCATTTATACTTGATAAAATATTAAGTATCTATTATGAACAAACTGATATATATTTCCTTGATTTAAATTCAACTTGTGTTCTTGACCAACTTTGAATAACATGTAAACTTATTATGATTGGCTCAAGTTCTTGATTTCTAATTTTTGCAATCATTAGAATCATTATATAAATTTTAATTCAATGAGTTTGAATTTTTGAATTTTAATAATGACTCTTATTTTCTTTTTTTAATTGAATTAGGTTGGTTGTAAGCGCTGGAATTGTTCACTTGATCAGCATTGCTCTAGTGGGTTGGGGATCTGGGAGAACCAAGAATGATAGGCTCGAGCCTATTCCTGCTTTGGAAGAAAAAACAGCTGCGGCCATAATGCTATATTGAAATTTGCAGTATGAAAAATATTTATGCTTTCGGAGCCATTATTTAGGAGTGCTTGAGAAATCAAACTTTATCAACAAATTGCCAGATAATTTAATTTAAGATTTTTTTCATCAAATTTAATCTTAAAACTTTTAGTCAGATTAGTAATAAGATTCGCAATTGTATTATAATTTTTTCTTTATGGAAATTAATTAACTTGTAAATAGACAGAAGTTTCAATGAAACTTTGCAGCTTCCTTAGAAAGTAACTATTTATTGAAAGATGGACATTTGTAGATATTTGATAAAAATTTTACTATTGTAATGGTACTAAACTTTTATAAAATATAAAAAAAAATTCATGTAATGATCAAAATAGTAAGTGATAAAATTCAAAAATAAGCAAAAATTTTTTGAATTGAAAATATATGTTTTATATGATATTTTTTATAAACAAATACAAGTGAAATTTGCATTTTTATTAAAAAGTGATGACAATGTTTAAATAAGTGACCATTATATATTTTATTTATTTACCAACAGTTTATTAAAAAATGTGATATTCAATATCCTAATACACTGTGTTTGTTGACTTGTTCCTTATTTTTTCCTGATTTTAATTATAACCAGATAATTTCAAGAGTTTATTGTAATTGATGAATTATTCAAAATTTAGCAAAAACTTTATTTTATTTATATCCTTTTACACATAATTCTTGAAAATGAAAGATAAATTTAGAGAAAGTCGCCTTTTAATTTATATGTCTTGTATTGACATTTTTCATCTTTTACGTAATTTAAATCTCGACTTTTCTCCATTAGTTGCTATCTAAAAAATGTGACATCTAGTAATTAAACACGTAATGACAGAGGTGTTTCTATTCACATGAGAATGTAAGAGATGCGTTGTGTAGTAATACACATCTGGAAAGGTATGACACATGAAAGTGTGTATCTATTCTGAGAGTGTTGCCCAACTAAAGTAGAATAGAGCAAAAAAATTAATAATTCCATAATTATGTTTCTGATATTGTTAAAGGTATAATTTTTTGAGATTTTCTAAATAAAATAATATATTATTTAACATCTGCATTTTATAATCAGCTCTATATATATATATATATATGCAGAAAATCCAAGTTGAAATTTATATCATTATAATGAGAATAAAAAACATCTCAAAGATATTCATTAGTACAAGAAAATATAAATTATCAATATTTTTAGAGTGAAATTTAAAAACTTATCTTTCAATATTTCCACAAAAAGGGTGTTACAGTTATAGATAATCTTACAATACAACAGGATATACAAGTAGCAATTACTTACGTCATAGAATTATCTAGTTATCTGCATTAATTGAGAAACTGACTCTAACAATGTTAATGGTCATAATTAAAAAAATAATACGCGAGATTTTTGAAAATAGACAATTTATTACTAAATTATTATGAAGTGATAGTAACTATTTTATTCGCACATTTACCGAACTATAAAAGTATTTATTAGCTTGCAAGAAATAGTTTATGGGAAATACATAACTGGTTTTTAACAATGAAAAAAAGTATTTAGACTTTGTGATGATTTTATTTATTATGTCATTGGAGACATTTATCCTTGATCCTGTTATGTAGCAATTAATCACTACTATCTAATTCTTATTTATTTTATTGTTCTCATTTGATATTTAAATATTCATTTTTTTTCATTGCATAATAAATAGTGTATTTAATATGCATCAAATTTTTTAAAATGATTTTTCGAGTAAAAATGAAAATAATTTCATAATATATATAAGTCAATAAATGTTGTAGTACGAACATTTTTGTTATCAATTCGAGACCAAATGAATTTAGAAAAAAATAAACCGGCTCAACTATGAGCTCGTAAAATATTTGAACAAGTAACTACAGCTTTTCATAATGGATCGTAAACAACACGCATAAATTACTGTCATCATTTTACCATCAGACTTCTACTTGATCTACTCTTCAATATATTTCCATAAAGTGGCAATTACTCAAAGTATCTACTTAAGAAACTCAACTTCTTATGAAATTGTCTTTGACAACTGAACTACTATTTTGTTCCAATAATATTTTCTATAATTCAACAGTAATTATGCGACAATTGATATAATTTTCCTATTTCGACTTTCATTCTATAATTTTCCTGTAAGATAATTACCTTGCATAGAGCATAGAATTCTTAATTGAAGGGGCTGAGTTGTTTTTTTTTCTGTGTTCCTTAATCGAACTTAATGTAGTCTCTTTCTGTTGAAACAATTATCCGATCAATATGCCTATTCTATCAGAAAGCTTTTTCATTCTGACGTGTGTTGGCTTATGGAGACCATTAAGATGGGAAAATTGGAAAGGCAAACTTTATTACATTTATACATTATTTCTTATCTACATCAGCACTACCTTCATCATTTCAGAATCTATAGAACTGATATTTTTCAATCGTGGGATTTTTGATTTTTTTAATAACTCTTCAATGCTTATTACTGTTATTGGTATGTGTGGGAAAATCTTGACGATAATTTATAATCGTAGAATGATTATAGATGTAACACATGATTTAGAAAATATTTCATCTCAGCCACGAGATGCTGAAGAGAAAAAAATTTTGAATGAGTTCAGTCAATCTATCAGGTAACTTTTTAACTATTGTAAGAAGAGTAGATGTACTTTCAGGTGTTTGTTAAACAAATTTAATATCTTTGCATCCTATTATTTATTTTTAAAAACCATTTGAAGTAATTTTACTCCAAAATTTGAAATGAATCAATAAACACTCCAAATAGTAAATCTACTCTTCTTTAAGTTGATAAAAAATGAATCAAATAGTTGAATATAAAAGTGTCAGATTTTATACCTTATGTTATGCAGTGTTTTTTGATCTATCAGTATCAGTATTTGTCATTGGTAAGATCTTTGAAAATAGACCAATAGGTGTATTACCGTGCAGAGCTTGGCTACCATATGATTATTCCAACTACATGGCTTATTGGCTTACTTCTTCTCAGCAACTCATTACCATCTTCATGAGTGCTAATGTTGACATAGCACATGATACACTATTTCCTGGTATGTTATTACAAATCTGTGCTCAACTGAATATTTTAAAACATAGGTTCAAAGTTATGCTAAATACATTGCAAAAAATTCATATTCGTGATCAAATAAAGCAATTCGAAACTTTGAAAGCAATAGAGAAAAAATTATTTGCCGATTGTGTTGAACATCATGTTACTATACTAAGGTGAGTATTAAATCATTTTTTCAATTTTCTTTTGAATTTCAACTTTTCAAGAAAATATTTTTTATTACTCAGATTGACTGATGATGTGATTTCGATTTTCTCAAAAATGATATTCATTCAATACTCTTGTAGTTCTATTATTTTATGCAGTAGCGTCTATGCTCTTTCCCAAATGAAACCATTCTCTCCAGAATTTATAGCATGTGCTGTTTATATTCTATGCATGTTCTTCCAAATATTTTATATCTGTATGTCTGGAAATCGTGTAACTCTTGAGGTAGTTTTTTATTTCTATTAAATATGCTTAAAACATAATTTTTACCAAAACTTAAAGTTTTCAGAGTTAAGTGCTGCAATGTATGACACTAATTGGTATACACTTACTAATGCTGGAAGAAAAAATATGTTTATAATGATGATGAGATCATTAAAACCAATAGTTATAGCTAGTGGACACTTTGTTACTTTATCTCTAGATTCATTTAAGAATGTAAGTTAAATTTTTGATTTTCAAAAAATCAAGTAAATGAATTCAGAATTATTTAATTAATTCAACGAATTTTATAACTACCGTGACATTATATAATTTTAGCTTCTTAAATTATCTTATACAATCTACAACGTATTCCAACAGTCCTCTTGAACTTACACATTCTAATATGTAACATTGAATATTTGATAATTTATTAAATAAAATTAAAAATAGTTTAATTAATTTTAATTTTTAACGGCAGTTATTTATTATTCACCCTAGATAAATTGTTTTAAAATAATTACAGCAATTTGTAGTATTTCTTATTGATTGTTAATCGACGTTTGTGCTCACATACATATACTCAAATATCGATTTAATAATGCAAAACTACTTATCGGATGTAAACGATAGAAAAAAATATATTTAGTTTTTTGAGGAAGTAGGCATAATTGTTTAAAATATTTTAAAAATAATAATTAAATTTTGTATGATTAATAATTGTTTTATTTCTAAAGTTTTAATCGTACATAAAAAGAAAAAACCATAATATCAATTTTATCATATAATAAAAAGAATTATTTGAATAAAGAAAAAATCTTAATCTATTTGAAAATCATGATGTTTATTAGATTTTCATGCTTAATACTTAAGATGACATAATTAATTTTTTGATGATGAACATAATTCATTTTTCTATCCTTACCACATTGACTTCAACTTTCTCGGCATTTTAATTAATTTATTTTTCTTAATTTTTATTATTAATAATATGAATATACAAAAATGTAATAATTCATTTTCCTAATGAAAGGTGAAATAGAAAAAGAATGTTTGTTTATAATTCAAGGAATTGGTTTTAATCACCAATAATAATTAAAAGACATCTTCATTTATAAAACCAATTATAAAATTGTTTGCACAATGTCGAAAAAATCGAAGTATTAATTATTTTTACAAATACTAGTAAAAAATAATATTATAAATACACCAACCTTAAAGCCGAATTTTTCAAAATTCTAATTTTATTCAATTTTAACGTTTACTGCTCACTTTTGACCATCCTTCTTCTTCTGGAGCTTCACTTTTATCTTCTCGTTTAAATTTATCTTCTCTACGTTCATCTCTGCGATCACGTTCATCTCTCCTACAAAAAAAAGTAATTATTAATTTCATTAAAGTTAAATCATATGATAGATTACTATAATGACAACAAATGGCTCAACAATTATCAGCTATTATAAATGATAGATAATTTAATACTTACTCATCACGTTTCGAGGAATCTCTAGCTGAATCTTCAACATTTCGATTACGCCAATCGTTAGAGCCTGAGGAACGTTGGAATCTAGGTCTTTCATCATCACGAGATCTTGGACCATCAATTCGCCGTGGACCACGGTCTGCTAATCTATCATCTCTCTTATCATCTTTACGATCATCTGGGCCTTTCCTCCAACTTCCAGTTGGCATACCTCTAGTCGACGGTTTATCAAATCTCGTATCGCGTTCTTTATCTTTAGCAAAACGGTCTCCCCACCTTCGATCATCATCTTTTTCAATTCTTCGTTTGCCACGATCTTCGTCACGATCTTCACGAGATTTTGGCTCGTCTCTTGGTTCACTTCTCCAAGACGTAAGTTCAACTTTTGTGCCTTCTCGATCACGTTCACGATCAACTCCTCGTTCACGATCTCTATCAACTCCTCGTTCACGATCTCTATCGACGCCCCGTTCACGATCTCTATCAATTCCTCGTTCACGCTCGCGATCGGCTCCTCTATCTCTATCACGGAAGCTACGATCACCTCCTCGACGCCAAGTATCAACATCAGTCTCTCGTTTCTTTTCTTCCTCCAATTTTCTTTCAATTTCTGCTTCCCTGGCACGTGTAATTTCTGCTTGTTTTTCTAACTTGGCGAGTCTCTCAGCTTCTTTAGCTGCCTCTTCAGCTTTCTTAGCCTTCTCTTCTTCTTCGCGTTTGGCGCGTTCTTCTTCCAATCGTTTTCGTTCTTCTTCTTGTTTTATTCTTAATTCTTCGATTCGTTTACGTTCAGCTGCTTCAGCACGTTCTTGTTCCCATTTAGACTTTCTTTCAGCTTTTCTTTGGACCTTACGCTCCAGTAATCGTTTAGCTCGTTCTTCATTTAACTTCGACTCAAATTCTTTCAATTTTTCAAGGTATGCACTTTTACGTTCAGCTAAAATTTTAGATAAGAATATATCGGCATCTTCTTTCATTCGAGCCATCCTCTCACGAGTTGCTACTGCTTGATTACGTTCCTCAATAGCGGCACATATTCTCTCTTGTTCTTGTTGTTCCCATTGCTGCTTAGCAAGTTCTTGTTTTTCTTCTACCGCCTTTTCTAATAAAGGAATTTCTTCGATCCGTTTTGCACGTTCCAAGTAATCAACTTTCTTCTCTTGTGATTTTAATTTCTGTTGCATTTCACGACGTTCTTTCTGCAACTCTTCAGCTTCACGGGCAGCAATTTGTTCAGCATCTAATTTCTTAATTTCATCTTCGTCTAATTTTTTAAGAACTTTCTGACCATGACTGGTTCTCGATATTTGTTGCATTTTCTCCTTCAAATGACGATCTTTAATCTGTTGTATCTCACTTTGTTGACGTTTACGTTCTCGTTCTTCACGTTCTTGCTCTAAACGTTTTTGTTCAGCCAACATTTGTTGACGATGTAATTCCTCTTGACGGCGCATTTCTTCTTCTTCTCGAATCGTATTAACACGTTCAATATATTCTTTACGCTGTTCAATAATCATTTGACGTTCAAGAACTCTGTGATGTTCTTTATTTTTCGTTTCATGATACATAGCAACCATAGCAGCTCGTATTTTTTCACGTTCTTGTTTACGTTTATTAGGATTAATAACATTAATAGAACGGTGCAGCACTGTTGCCATATTAACTAGTTGACAACGAATCTGTTCGGAAGGCATAGCTTGAAGAAGTGGACCATCAGGATGATCTTCTCGTTGTGCTTCACTTAAATCTACTCCAAAGTGAATACATTTTTTTCCATGATCTATTCGAATTTGCATATCATTATAACGAACACAATCAACTAAAAGACGTTCTAAATGAAAATTTGTTGAAAATTTGGCTAATTCAAGAAGACGAGCGAATTGAATTGTTTGGTAGACTTGGGATACTTGATGAATTAAACGTACTAATGTTACATCTTGTAATGCCGGAACATATTGAGCTAGTGCACTTGATTCATCTGATTGAAGTGTTGTAATTACTGATTGTACTCGGATACATAATTCTAAAGGGTGAAATTCTACTTCCAACCATGAGTATAAATCTTGAAGCTGAGGTGATGCTAAATTGACTACGTTCAAACGTACAATATCACGTAACAAAGATGCACGTGTTGGTGGTTGATTTAAACCCAGTAAAATTGCTAACTTTTGAGCTTTTTCTAGAGGGCTTTTGTCAGTCTCAATAAAACGATCAAATTCTGGATGTGCTGATGGTAGTGGAATAGATAAAGTTGCTAATAAAACACGATTAGCCATACGTTGTTGTTCTTCGGCTGACATATTTTTCTTCATTTCTCGTGAAAGTTGAAGAAGTTTGAATAATGCAGCTGCATGGAATAAATAATTGCCAGCTTTCCAAAATACCATAGCAAGTTTTTGGTAATAATTTGCCATTGTTTTAGGAACTGGAAGCTTCTTAGAAAGATTCATCAAACCGTGAATGTCTTCAGTTGCTTTATAAGCTTCTTGCCATAATTCCATTTGAATCGCAGAATCTAATTGAATTAAACGAGTCTCTAAATTTAACTGTTGAGTTTCAGCTTTGTTCATTGAAACATTAGATACTAATTGTGGGAGTTTGCAGATTTCTTCAAGATGTTTACGTAATTTTTCACACAATTTTCGAAATTCTGTTTTACGATTATATTCGAGACAGAATTGGAATGCCATACGAGCAATATCGTGATACAATGTTTCAACATGAGCATTTGTTCGAAGAAGTTCAAGACATTGGCAATAAGATTCCCATAAAAATTTAACCCATGGAGTCAAAATTGTACGATCACTACGATCTTGAGCATCTTCACCACTTACCGCTGATAGTAATATACTTTCGGGTGTGGCTAAATTATCTAAATCGTCGATATCAATGACTGCTTGTTGGCTCTGCTTTCTTGCAGCTTCAGTTTTTTCTTCAGCCATACGGAGATATCCACGGATTACATTCTCCAGACTGCCTACATTCACTGACTGGAACATATTCCGATATTGGAATAACCCTTCTTTTGCTATGTGTGATTTTTTCAATTCCACACATAGGTCCAAGTATTTGAACATAATTGGCTCCAAAACCGATTCTGACCAACTGTACGTCCATTTTTTGTTTCGGAATACTTCTTGCAGGGTATCCAGTGCCCGCGCTGGCTTACCAACTTCAATAAATTCTGAAAAATAATTATTTTGCACGTTAAAACTCATTTTGTATTATTTAGATTATTAAAAAATTAACAATATTTTACACTCTAAATTATATAGTAAATTGGTTGACACATTGGAGCTATTTCAACCAGATAAATGCCATATGAATGTTAAAAACTGTTAGCAAGCAAAAGTGAGATAAAAATAAATTTGTATTACATTTAGTCATAGAAAATTTGTCCGAGACAAATCTATAAAATATTTTTTAATTAATGAGATCATTTGATTGATAAATTACATAATAATAATATATAACATAAGTGGGATATTAATGTATGAATAATGCGGCCATGTTGCAGAATTAAAATTGGACAAAAAGCCGAATGTCAACTCACCATTAGCTCTTTTGAGAGCATTTTCGGGACGTTGCCCATATCGCGCCATTTTTATTAGTTTGTCAGTACACTTTTTTTACATTCAACACTTGAAAAATTGTATTAACGTTTTTTAAACGCTTTTGAAAATTAACCGTGTATGATGCTAGGTAAAATAGGTGCTTGGACCGCGTGTACCGGATGAAAAGCAGCCATTGGAAAAAATTGATTTCCTGTAATACGTAGATAAAGTTCAGGCTCAATAAATATTTATATTAAAAAATTTTTCTCATTTTTTATAATTTATTTTATATAAAAAATAGTTTTTTTAATTAAATTAATTTTTAAATGTAAAAAATATTTATTATTATTAATATATTTATATTTTGATAAATTATTATTGTTGTCATGACTCAGAGGTTACTATTTCAAATAAAGTCACTAGAGGGCGACAATCTAAAGTTGATACGCCGCTGAGCTACACCGGTGAAAACACAAAGAGTGAGGGTAGCTGAGAATTTAAAGTGATTTCAGGTGATTTTAATGAATACATTGTTAATATTTTTATCTGATCGTCAAGCTGTAATATCAATTGGCAGAAGGGTAAGTTTTTACCATCTATTTTACTGTAATATTTGTAATTTCTGTCATTGGGACAAATACGAAATTTCGTATTCAAAAAAACTGATGCGTAGCGTCTAATTTTTTAAATTTTGATTTAAAAAAATAGTTTCAGTCTTTTATATATTATTACGCTACTTATTATAAATATTATTTTTATATTTTCTTAATTATATCACTCAATTGGTATTTAATGCAATATTTAAATACTTATTTAAAGTTTCAAATAACGCGCGTCATAATGTTCAGTAACGTATTTAAGAAAATGGTGCCCTCAATTCTTATATTTGTATAATTTCCCACGTGATGGCGCTGTCAATATCGAAAATGCTGCCATCTCGTTGACATTTTCAAAACAAATGAGATTAAAAATTAGTCTACTCTTTAGATAATGTCTTTTTGAATATACATATTATTATAAATGAAATTTATAAACATATTATAACATAATAATTAAAAAAATGAAGTGTAAATAATTATTAGTATAGCAAGTACAGCTGTCAATAATGGATAATTATTTGAAGAGCATTTATTCTTGATAAATAAAGAAAATAACCTAAAATAACCAAATGGCTCCTCTTACTGATCTTATATCTTGCAATATAATAGGTAATTTTAGTAGTTAATATTATTAAATTAATATTTTTTTTAATAATAAATGCATTGGAAAATGATTTTTATATATATATTATAGAAAAAGACTGTAATGGTGATGTTTTATGGGCATGGATTTATCCTACTGTTTCCGAAGCTCAGAAATCACTGATAACTCGTAAATGTGGATTATCATCTGAAAATAATAATTCACAACCATTCACTTTTTCTCGATTTAATAATGAATGGTTTTATATTAATTGCTGTGAAGTTTTTGACACGGATAAATTACCTAGGGTATTCATTCAAAACTATCATTTTCAGTTTACAATTATCTCTGTTATTTTCTGACAGAGATAAGAATTTTTAAAACCAATTATTAGATAGATAATTATTTTTAGGTCAAGCAATTCGCTCTTGTATTATTTACAAAAGATTTCAATCCACAAAAATATGAAATGCTAAGCCGAGTGTTGAGTAAAATGTATTCTAAGACTGGCGATCCAATTGAAATACTGAAACTTTATTTATCAGTTTCTATTAATGGATCATGCACAACACAAGAAAATGGAATATTTAAAGCTGATCATTATGATATTAATCCTAATCATGATACGAATGTGAGAGATCTTATTAGAGCGTTTGAATTAGAAACAATTCTAATTTATACAGGATTATTATTGAAAAAACGTATTTTTATTTATCATCATAGTTTAGAACAATTATTTAAATGGATTAAAACATTCCCATCGTTGATGAAACATAGAAATGTCACGGATTATTTATTTCCATGGATTGATTCGATACCTGAAGAAATTAATGATTTAAAGGTAAATAGAAATTTATTTTCTTCATCTAAAAAATATTAGAATTTTGTGATGATACAATTGAGATTGAACTTGAAACATGATCAAAAAATTTTTCTGAATATTTATTAATTGATTCTTTCATGAATATTTATTATTTTAAGAGAGGGCTTTTTACGGGTTACAATTTACGTGAAGAGAACATTTTTATTCTCATTATATGATAAGTGATACATTATAAAATATTTTTTATGTAGCCAACTCAATATAGACAATTACTACTCAAAAACTGATCATTGAATGAACTATTATTTATTTAAACTTGTATTCTAGGGAAAAAAGTACTATGTAGCAGGGTGCAGAGACAGTTCAATATCATTAAAACCAGAGTTATACGATCTCTTAGTAAATATTCCTGCTAGAGAAATAACTATTGCACCTCATGCTAAAGAAAGTTTTACTATGACCAAAACTCACAAAGAAATTGCTCTTTTTATGATACAATTAAGTGAAAAGAATTCTTTAAGTGAAACACAAATAATTCAAGAAATTGCAGATAAAACACAAGATTTGTTGAATCAATTAAATTCAATTGCATCAACTGAAGACCAAGATAAAAAGAAAGTCTTATCTATTAAAATTATTCGAGAACGTAATTTGCCAACAGCTGTTGAAAATTTTTTAATAAATTTAGCTATTGCTGAAGACTTCACAGTTATCTAGGATTTTTAAAAATATCCGGATAAATGATATTATATATTTTTTTTTCAAGATAATTTTATGGTTTATATTAAAGAATAATTTATAATGAAAATTCGCAATATTTTATAAAACAATTCTAATAAATTTACGAGAAAGTGAGAAAAGTTCGAATTTATTAAATTGTCTATTAATTTATTTGAAAAAATTATATTATGTGCTTCAGATAAAATTTTTGATACTCGAATTTTAATCGGTGAACAATTTAATATTAATTAAATTAATGACCATCCTTTGACTTTACATTACCTGGTATTTATTACTCATTGATGTAACTGATGATTTATTACGAAATCACTCTAATACAGGGAATTAGTTTTAATCAATAAGATATTTACGTTTAATGGATAGTAAATAGAATGTATAATCTATTGATAAAGAATTTATTTCATTATTATACATAAAAATCACATCAATTTATGAATTTTTTATTTTTAATAAAAATATAGATTACAAAGATATTATAAATTTTAATTTACAAACTGACAGTAATATTATTTTTTCGGTTATGATTATATCAACATTTTTATGTTTTTATATGACCGTATCCAGATGAATATTACACATCAGAGAAAAGGCTTTCGGATGTTTATGTCCGAATTTTCCATGTTTGATAACACATTACTTTGGCCCCTTTCGTATATTCTTTAACAAAAATAAATTATGATTTCCGGTATTATAAATTTCTGTATATTTCATAGTTGATAGTAATTAACAAAAATTAGTTTTCAATCATATTTATTTATTGCTTACATATTATGAATAAAATGTTTAAATATTTATTTTTCCATTGCTTTTTTTACCACAAATGAGGTTTACAATTTAAGTGATTTGTAATCATTCCAACAGAAACAATACAACAATTTTATAAACATCAGTATAAATAATATAGTAAAATGACTAGAAACTCGTTAAAAAAGTGCACAAATTAACAAATTTTATTTTCGAATATTTAAGAATCTTCAACAAATAAATAAGTCTTTGTATATCAATTAAACTTCCCGAGTGATTTCAAGGCACACTCGTTAATCGATGTATTATCTATTTTTTTTCTCGTGATTAAATTTTTATTTTTTACATTTTATCGTATTCTTATAAATTTTATCAAGGTTATTGTATTAAATATTTTCTATGCTCTTTGTACATTTTTGTGTCGTCCAACTGCCTTTTCTCTTACGAATTAATGAGTGCATTAATTAAATAATGACATTGAAATTACTCTATTTTACATATTATTAAGTTATGTTTTTCTATACAAAAAGTAACATCTGTACAATTAGTAGATAATATATTTATATTGAAATACTTTATTCAAATTAGCACCGTACTTCCAAAAAATTTGGTACAATAATTTACCTAAAATCATAATAGTCATAATAATTTTTTTTTTGATGTTGAAAATCTCTTGAGACAGATCTAAATGTACTCTTAAAGTCATTAGAACTATCTCATGAAAGTAAAAAAAATATTTATCTTCATACTAAAGAAGACAGGCGGACTGACAAAAGAGAAGAGAATGCTGACGGTGTAAATCACTGGGTCAAGTAGGACGTCATAAATCTTATGTTGAAATAAAAAAGGATAAAAATGACTCAGAAAATTGCAAATCCTCATAAGCCTATCAAATATGTGCAAAAATATTCATGTAATGTTATTCAATGTAAAAAAATAATGGATTGTTAAATACATGGATAAAATGGATGAAAAAATATTTTTTTTCAAGATACTAAAGCTTTTTTGGGAAGATGTAAGAACACTAACGGCTGAATATATTTTTTGAGTTGATAATATAAATAATAAATTAATAATGAATACTGATATAAAGAAAAGAAAAGAAGAATAATACTATAAGATTAAGAATTAAAGAGTATTTGTTAAATAAAATATTAATAAAAAATAACTGGACATAAAATTGAAAAAAAAAACAAGTCCATTTCTCTCATATGAAGATATTTTTTAAAAAAAGAGTTAGCAATATATTTTGTTCAGACTATCATTAAAGGACAGTTAAAAATGTATTCTCACCAGAAGAATAAACATAAAAGTGCATTATTCTTATTCTCTCTACAATAAATAAGAAAAAAAGTCGTAATGGAAGTATGATAAACAATATTAAACAAAGCTTTCTTCTTTTTTCTTAACTGGTTTTTCTGCAATAATACTAGAAACCTGAACCGTACAGCTTTTGTTGCTTTGTCGTCGCCAAAAGTCCGAATGATTGCTGCTAGTTGTTGTACCAGTTCTTCCAGAAGTTGTTACATTAGTTCTTTCTTTACGTGACAACCCACATAATCGTAGAAATCCTTCTCGAAATTTAGTGGACATCAAGTTATACAAAATTGGATTAATAGCAGAATGAAGATAAAACATAATACGACAAATGTATAAAAGACAAAAATAAGCTTCTATACCGAGGTCCAAGATAGCTGTTATTGGTGCTACAATAATCCAAAAAGTAAATGCACGAAATGGTAACAAACAAATAAAAAAATTCGTCACTACTGTTCCAAGCATTAATACCACTTGTTTACGATATTTCATCAGATTACTAGAAGGACCTCGTGTAATTGCTGGATTAGCCATTAAATTTCTAGCTATTATAGTATATAATATTATCAATATAAGCCATGGAATTATAAAAAATACTGCTATTGTTATTAAAAAAAAGACAGTTGGCCAAATAGTCTTTGCTTGTGTTTGACAAGCAGGAAGCTCCATACCGTTGCTATCTCTTTCCATTCCATAATTTGTCATTGATATTATGGGACTGTAAAAGAAAACATGAAGAATTACACATTTTATTATTGTTCATTTATATTCATAGTGTGACAATTATTGTGTTTTTATGATAATGAGTAATTGATTTATTCTTATTCTTAATAGAGTAAATTTTTGAGATGAATTTTTGTTTGTTTTCATAATAAGATTGAGGTCAGTCTTTTCTGTTACTTTTTGCACGAATCTTTTTTATTTATAAAAAAATGACCCATCTTTCAATGAAGCCAAGTCGCTTTTCTTTATTGAATGAACAAAGATAACGATTGGAGTTGGATAAAAGAAAAAATCAACGACAGGAAGAAAAGATATGGTATTTTTCTCAAGGGATATATATACTTTCTACAATCATCTAAAAAAACCGTGATTCCTCAATTCTACTGAGATAAATAAACCACGTCAACTTAATCAATCAATGGACAAAAAAATTTACTTTTTATTTAGGCTAAAAGATTTTATTTTAATTCCAACAAAATTGTTGATCAAATAAATGATGATTGTTGAAAATTTATAAAAAGTTTTCCTGCTGATCGTTGGTATTTTGAGTTCTTCTATTAAGTCTCACACTTGTTAAGGTACTTCTGAATGTGCTTCGTTCATTATTAAATCTTCTTTTTATTCCAATTAATTTTAAAAAACCTAATCTAAATCTACTGCTCATTAAATTATAGAGGATTGGATTCATTGCACTGTTTAGGTAGAACATTATTCTGCTAAAATATAAGATATTGTAAAAGGTTTCATGATCAATGGAATCAAGATCTTCATTTGGTGCTAATACAATATAAAATGTGAGAATTTTAAAGGGTGCTAAACATATAAAAAAACTAAAAACTACTGTTAATAACATTAACACTACTTGTCTTCTCGCTTTTGCATGATAACTTTCAGCTGTTGATGTTGATCTATCATGGATTAAGTGTCTTACAATAATCGAATAGAGTACTGATAGGATAATTAATGGTACAAAAAATAAAATAAGAATTAAAAATAGAAAAAAAGCTGTTGTTAATGGTGTAATTGCTTGCATCAAACAAACTGATATTATTGTGTCATTCTTGTCTGCATTGTATGTTGAATTCATCTTCATTTCGTGATACTGCGATACCCAGATCATTGGACTGCAATAAACCAAAATCAAATAAATTTTAATTATTGTGTATTAATTTTATCAATAATTTAGCATCGTCTATTGGCTGCAGTTCAATGATTTAGGCTTTGATCGTTTATTAAAATTTTTAGCTCTACTTTTTCATTCAATTATTGTGTAGACTTTTGAGAAATAACATACATATATGGTTAATTATTGTCCTATTTTTCAGTTATTATTTCAACTTATTTTTTATCAAGTACTTTTGATCATTAATGAATGTGGATATTAAATAATTGAAGATGCTTTTGATTTGATAATAAATGTGATTAATTAAATGGATAAATTGAAATAAAAACTTTGATAAAAATGATTAAACTGCAACCAATTAAATGAAATTAATTGAAAGAGACTATCAACAGGTGTATTTTATTTTTTTGGTCGAATGGTAGTATTTATTAATTCGAAGTAATAAGTTAAAGGGCTTTCAAATGGAAATGAAAAAATATGAAGCAATAACTGAATCTAAATTAAGAATTGAAGTTTATTTTCGATTTATGACGGTCTGGATCACATATGGAGAAGAATCCGCAGAATCATGATGGTTAAAAGCTTTTACTTTTATGTAAAGTAAGAAATTAACCTGAATTTTAGGAAGAGATTTGATTATTTTTATTTTGCAAAAATATCTTTTATAGTGAAGGTTTAAGGGTGAAAGGAATTCAAAGAAATTTAATTGGTATTTGAAGTTGGATTTTAGAGATGAATGAATAGAATCTCAAGATACAGTTGCATAAACATTTTTTACATATTCTTATCCTTGCATATCTTTTAAAATTGAAGTTGAATATTTGTTTGGGGTTAAAAAATATTTGAAAAATTTTAATAAAATTTTTCAAATTCAAACTCTATGACTTTAAACATATATAATTTTCGTGGAATACAAATTCTATCTCTAGACATGTCATTTATTTCTTTAGAAAATATTTCACTAGAGTTTGTCTACACAAAGAATAGTTCTCAATAATGCAATAATTTGACCTTTATTTTCTGATAGAAAACTGATTGAGAAAATGTGATTTCTTTTCGTAAGGATTCTTATAAATATTAAAATCTAAAAAAATTCTAGTCATTTATACACACAAGTTTGCATAATGCATTTCAAAACATTCAAATAAATTTTCTATAAAAGCATAAAACTCTATTTCTCAAATAATCATATTTCTTCAATTCCATTTTGTTTTCTTTTATTCTTGGAAGAATCTTATCATTAATAAATTTATGTAATAAATTATTTTTAATAATACAACTTATTAATGAAAGAACTGTTTATCGATAGAATTAATTATTGAATAATGTGAGTAATATCTTATTTAATAAATAAATATTTAAAATTTGTTCGATTTAATAATTTATCAATATTTCTATTGATGATTGATTATGAAATTAAATAAATGCTATACAAATTTGCAATATTACGAGTTATTCACTTTTATTATTACGGAAACATGTTATGCGAACGATAGGATTATTATTATTTACTTATGAAATCGTTATGAATAATTATTCAATGCCGTTACCCAAGTATATTTCATTCAATAGACTTTTATAAAGTGATAACAATTAATTGTATAAATTATCCATAATATATATTACATTCTTCTTATTATTTAATACTTTTGTTCATTTATTTGTGCAAACCCATATCACACATAACGTCAAATCTAATAAATATGGAAATCAGAGTTCAATTTCCTTTGAAAGTATTTTTTTTTCATTTCAAAATCTGTGTCATTTGATAAATGTAAAAAGATAGGTCGAACAGAAACTTTTTGTATGATAAAAGTGAATTTTTTTTTATGAAAATAATTAAAGCGAAGTAGTCTCAAGTAGCTAGAGAATCCACGGAAATAAAATTGTCTAAATCAACATGAAGACACCGTTAAAAATGTGACAAAGATGAATCTTTGCAAACTATTGACAAAACTTGATAATCCACTGTTTTAAGGAAATACATAGCACGTCTTAAAAGTTCGTGACCTTATGAAAGTTACACCATTGGAATTTCAATGAAATGTACTAGTCTAATAGTGAAGGTAAAATTTATTGTGTTCAGCATTGTTGTGAGTAATTTTATCCTAGTAAAATTGAGAAACGGGAAAAAAGAATTTTTCATAGCTACATTTATCCTTAAATTAAAATTTTCATAAATAATTGCTATTTTTCTCAAAATAACTACTTGAAATTTTTTATAAAAAATTTAATCTTCTTCTTTCGCTGAAGATCATAGAAAAATATACAATCAAAAGTGTTGGGTGATTTAATACTGCACTTATGATAAAATAAATTTTCAAAGTGTATTAATAAAAAGTGTGAAATTGAAACGTTAAAAGGAAAGTCTATTATTTGACATAAGATTCACTTGTGGTTACCCAAAGGGCTGATGAAAGCTTCCAAAAGGTGAATGTGTTGAAAGACCGAATGGTCTCACGAGGATTCAATGAAATACAGCATCTTTTCATTTCTCGCTCGATAAAAAACAGAGAAGAAATAAAAACCTAAGAAAAAAGGCCAATAAATTCATAAAAATAAAATTGAAAGTAATCTACATGGAAAAACTCTTCGATGTGAAATGATAAATTCAACTGAAATCGAAGATTAACCGTCTAAAAGCCAAAAGGTTTTCTCTGCCTGAAAATGATAAGCTTATAATTTTACTTAACATTGAGGAAATATTTTTTTCCGCAATTTACTTCGGTAATTCTTGAAGGGTAATGGCTCACACATCATGACACTCTAGGATTTAGAGCCTATGGAATGTCGTTGCATTGTATTAATCAATCACCGGTTTTATTTCTCATTTAACTTCAATGCTCACATTGACGTAAAATTAACCTAACCGGAAGGAAATTTGAGATATAAAGGTATTTTTATAAAGAAAAAAAGGAAAAGACAAAGATTAATAAGTTTTTAACTCAAAATGAGAAAAAAAAAACATTTTGTTAAAAAATCAGCAAGCAATGTTTTTAAAAGTAAACATCAAAGCAAAAATGTTTAAGATTAATAAGATAGATGGAGTATGCAATTAAGTCAATTTATCAAGAAAAAAATAATAACTCAGACAATATTTTCGAATTTTAATAAAATACATTTTTAAGATTCCAAAAATATTTTTTTATCACTACAAAAGTGAAAAAAAATGCTCTTCATTCTATACAACACGCTTCTTGAAGGCATCCAAAAGATATAGTAACAGTTAGTAGGAATTTATAAGACAGTCATGTTCCTAGTGAATGACATCTAAAAATGTTGAAAAACTTAAACTTTGCAAAAATTTTATTGTGAATTCTTCAATCAGAGCTGTGTTCGTAGAGAATTAGTATTTTTTTCACAGCAGAATATTTAAAGTCTTTACATATACACTGGAATTCTTAGCAAGGTTTTTAACCCCAGCAAAATGGTGAGGATGGAAAGATAAAATAATGAAATATTTGACAATAGGCGGGGAAGAAAGTATGTATTTGGTGGAGGTCATCTCAGAAAAAGTTTTAGATGTTGACTGGAAACAGATGGTTCAAGATTGCCACAATCTTCCTCTTTCTCTTTCTCTCTTCTGTCTTTCACCATTCCTTGTTACTATCACCTCATTCGACTTTCTCACCCTTATTGCGACAAAAAGCTTCTTATGTTAGCAATATCCCACCAATCGATTGTATTCTTTACAACAACCCCTTTTAGACCGACTTGTCATAAAAAACTTTATCTTCATTTAAACCATTTATTTGCATTTACTCTGATACAATTAAAAATAATTTAGAAACAATACCTCAATTGTGATAAACAAATCTTTCATCTCTACAAAATACTTTATCAAGTTATTTTTAATATGAAATATTCTTTATTAATAGAATATTTAAAAAAATTAATTTTTATTTTTATAAAATATTTTATTCTGTGAGTTAAGCCTATTAAAAAAGATGACAGAAACAAAAATGCACCCACACAATATTTTAATTACTTCAACTAAATAATAATTGAATAAAACCTTTTAGGTGATTTTAATAATGCTCTTATAAAGTAAAATATTGATAATCTGAGCATGTTGTTATTCAAATATTTTAATAATTTCAACGTGTCTCTTTAATCTATAAAAATATATATTTTTATTACAAATATAAATTAAGTTCTATTATCAATGCATTTTTCACGATTGATTATCAAGAATGTTAAGTACTTGATTAAATTGAATATTTTATCTAAAATTATATGTAGAGTAAAAGTTTAATAATTAACAAGAGTTCGTTTTTTACAGCTTAATCGAAATAACATTATTGATTCATTTATATTAAAAGTGAACTGATAAATTTTTGGAATATATATTTAATGAATGATAGATATTTTATTTAATATCAGACAATTATATGCTCTAATTATACTAATGCAATAACTTTCACAATGGCTATATATTATGAACTATTTATATCTTTCAAATTATTTAATATTTTATGAAATTGATTGACAAAAATAATATTGATAAATAATTAATAGTTAAAAATATTCCAATTGTTTGGGAATAATGAAAAAATAATGAAACAAAAGTGACAAATGAAGTGGGAAGCTCTAAGGGTAACTCATAATGAAGAGAGGAACATCTGATTTAACAAGCTCTAATATTTATGTATCTATTAATTATAAGCATGCGTAGCTAATCTGAACATGAGCGTAGTTTACTAGAGATTCAAAGAGGTTCTACTTATTATCATCAATCTCACAATGAGCATGCCGCAGAACTTTACTAAAGATGTTAGAGATAATATAAAGTAGCATTCAAGGTGTTGACGAGAATAGATTTCATAGAAAATTAATTTCTGATTTTCAAAAAATATTTTCATTATAAATCTATATTAATAAAATAAATTATTCAATATTGTTTATAATGTGAATAATTCAAAGAAAAAAATAACAATTTTTAGTAAATAATAAATTTTAAAAGAATTTTTATTTACAGTAATTAGAAATTTTTTTAGAAATTATTATAAACGTTCAACATAATTTTAACTAATCAATTTGTAATTTATTATTGAAAGTTTTATAATAAATAAATGACTTATCTAAAGCCAATGTACTTGTTAATGTAAGTCGTTTAAACTTTAAAATAATATAAATCAATAGAATATGCATTTTTATATTTTTTATCACGCCAAAAAGCTTTACTTATGCTTTGCGGTATGATACTAAGTAGTAAATCGATATATCGATGTATTTAACAATCCAACAAAGTAATAAAAATTCAAAGAATGTAGGACAGGTGGTAGGAAATTCCAAAGATTCATGCAGATACTTCTCCTGTCACTGAAGTATATTCTCTATACAACTTGCTATTTATCTTTCTTCCCATATTTAAGTAGTCGTCACGTCAATATCAGAAATAGAAAAAATTTATTGTAATTGGTTTAGCTCAACTTGCAATAAATATACTAGAGTCATCAATAAATTTCATTGTCATTGTTATAAGTCCCTAAATAGGGTTGATGATGATATGGAAAACACTTGAATACTTATTCAGTTATATGCTATTCATCTATATATATATATTTATTTAATTTATAATAGAATAAAAAAATATCTTTTTTACCTCGTACAAACAGCTGCAACAATCCAAGCGAGAATACAGAGAAATATGGCTCTTGCTTTAGTGCAAATGTATCTGAAATTTTGAATTTTATATGTACATGTACATATTATATAAAGCAGCCATGCACTTAAAATCAAATTGGGTGGATGATATTCAGTCAAACACAACCAAGAGTAAAATTGAAAAGTTATAGAACGGACTTTTAGGAAAATTCTTTTAGACTTGTGGAAAAGAAAATAAGTCTGTTGAAAAGTCAAATAAAATTATCAATTGATTATTTAAATAAATTGGCAAATTTTTTATGAGCTTTCATACATAACATGCTATTAAATAAATGAAACAGTAAAATTTATTCTAATAGCTTGTTACTAAAGAAAAAAACATTTTCTTAAGCCATGAGCTTTATCAAATAACTCTAAACTACTTCATGTTGCTTCAAGTTTAAGACTTCCCGAAGCTTACTTCTAACATACTTAGTACTTAATACACACCCTTATTTTCATATCTAATTAAAACCCTTGATTGTACTTTATAAATACTCTTATAAAATAATATATAATTTAATTATAAATTAACTGCATCAACTATCGATCTCAAGAAGCTTATTTACCCTCTTAGCCAATATTAAATCATAATACGATAAAGATATTGAAGACTTTTTCACAAAGTGTCCATCCTTTACTTAATAGTATATTAATTTATATTTGATTACTTTCTTACATTTTAATGAAAAATATTCAATTAAATAGTTTTGTAAAACAAATTCATAGCCTTGTTGATAAATAGTGTGTACATATGTTTTATTGATGATTAAAGCATTTGCATGAGGATCGTTGAATGGAAATAAAAACTAAAAATTTAGTCAATATGGAATCGAAAAAATTATGATGTTAATGTTCACTTTGATTGGCATTTAGAAGCACAGTAAATGCTAGAGAGTACTTATAAATATTCATAAAAAAAAAGAAATATTACCCAGCACGAAGTGGCTCGCAGATGGCGTAGTATCGTTCAAAACTAATCGCCAATATTGTTAAAACTGAAGCGTGGGCTACAGTTAACTCCACAAAAGGTACAGCTTTGCCTGGAATAAGACAACTTTTTTAATCTCAATGTCACTCAAAATAGGCAGTAAAAGGAAATTAGAATTACTGACGATATAAATGCTCTATTGGAAAATCATAAATCAAAAGTCTATTTTGTATATCTGGCTTACTTCCTCTCTCAAAAGAGCTATAAAGTTAATGTCAACTTTTGCAAATGATTTTTCTACTGAGGGGAAATTAAACGACGCATGTGTGACTTATGATTATAGAATTTTAAATCTTTTCCTTTTTTGGGTTGAATCACTACAGTGAAAAATATTATCGGATTATAATATTTTAAACTTGAACTTTTTTAGTGAGTTTTATGAGAATTGAATGCATCCAGTTAGAAGAGAAATTGACGTTATTCTTTGTAATTGCATCACTTTTAGTGGAATTAATTGTAACAAAGTGTTTTATTAATTTTTTAATAAGTAGAGTTTTAATAGATATAAGTAGATGAAATCATCAAAATTTTAAAATCCATTTTATATTGGTGATACTTCAGAGTGAATGTTTGCTAATTATTATTAACAATATTAGTGCAATACTTGAATCAACTAGACTCAAAGTTCAATCAAAATTAGGTGATTTTAGAAGAGTGATTGATTAAATTTAATTAGTGTGAATGTGTTGATATGTCAACATGTTAGCTTATCAACTATTGATGAATATTGGGTACATTTAGTTTTTGGTCAATGATACATATTGATCATAATTTTTTTATCTACTCATTTTCTTTAACATTCATTAATTCTACTTCATTCATTAACAATAATTAAGCTTCTAAGACAAATGTATATCATTTCTACAGTGTAACCTTTAACATTTGTATTTTAATTGATAATGATACTTAGATAGCTGGTAAGCGTAGGATGCAGCAGGCACTGTTGATTTTTTTTCTTCGCAATTACAACATAACAAATTGAAAATTTATTTGTCACCGATAAAATATTTACATAATTATGAAATAATTTATGTAATAAATGAAACTCAATGAGGAGATTTAAAGGTATTTTAGTAACGAAGGTTCATATTAAAGGTAATCAATGAATAATTATCAAAAGAACTTAGATCTTCGTACCCAATGAATGATATTATCAATTGATAGTAATTAAATAAAGCTTGAGAGTAATTAGAGCAATTGATATTGTTTCAATTCAAAGCTGTTCTCTCAAACAATGTGATTGAAACTTCAATTGATGTAGCTTCTATTTTGACAGTTCAATTTTAAACGATAAGCCAATGGAATGGAAAATTATAAAACTTGTTCAGTAGATATTTACTCTGATCTCATTTAGACGAAACCTTCAAGTAGTTTCGTTTAATAATTTTCACATCTATTCTCAGACTAATTTCAAGTTAATTTTGACAACATTCTTAGGAAGAGTCAAAGATGAATGAAAGTTTCAAGAGTATATTGAAATACCAAGTTGGTAATAAAATGATATTAAAAGTAATAATTATAACAAAGTTAAAATAGAATTGTGAGAAGTGTTCATTTGTTACTGATAATTAAATGAGTCAGAGAAAATAAAAAAAAAGTTTTTTACTGATTAAAGTTGAATAATTGAGTGAAAAAAAGGCATTGGAAATAAGACTATGTAACTTCTAGCTGCTATGAATTTTTTTAAAATGTGTTCAATTAAATAATAATAGTAATAATAATAATATATACTATAAAAGTAAATTAAACCGAACTATGATACTCAACTCTAAATTAGTATTTTTCTGAATAAAAATTAACAAAAGAACAATATTTTGTAGCTGAAAAGTCATTTTTAGTAGAAAAATTTTAATTTTCTCCAAACTAATGCAAAGAGAAGACTTCCTTTTATTTGTTTCTAAACTTCACTAATTGTTTCGAAAAAAAATTAATTAACACAACATCTGACTCAAATGTTAAATTAATTGTTTTTGTTAAGAAAATAGTCCAATATATTAGTTCACTTTATAAAAAAAAAAACCTCATATTTCATTATCTGAGTACTATTTTTTTTGTTTTCTTTTAAAGAAAAAAAAAGTATTGTTCCTATGGCTTTTTAATCAATAAGTTATTTTTTTTTTTTAAGAGATGAATAGCTTCATACTGAACACAAAGTAAAAAATATTATATTTAGTAGTGTATTAACATGCGGTGAATAATATTAACATTCTATTATTTAAACTTAAGAAAAAAAAAATAAAACAAACAAGCAACTCTTAGGATAAAACGAGTTTTAAATTCATTTAACATCAGCGAATTTAATTATCGAATAAAAGTTTGAAAAAAAAAATTTTGTTTGAAAATAAACTTAACATAAATATTGGAACTCTTACATTGTGTTTTAATAAATAATCATACAGTATTTAATATTAATTACACTAAACGATTAATCAATTTAATTTCATTGTTTAATAAGACATGAAATAATTTATTCTAGAGGATTAATAAATGAAAATATCATTTAGAAAGTAATCAGCAAATAACTCAAATAATAACTCATTTTCTTGAAGCTTTTCATTTTGATGTACTTTCACAACTCATCTTCCAACTTAGGTATAGTCCTCGAACTATTTCCTGACATAGAGATTAAAGAGAATTGGATGGAAGCTAGAGTATTCTCTGAGAAAAATAAAAGGTAGTATACGCATTAAATGGTCGGACACGTATAGGCTAAGAGCAACGGTAATTCGTTGCAGGGGGTAATAGTTCACCTACTCGTTTTCACCATCTTCTTTCTAACTCCCTTTTGACTCCATCTCTTCTTTTCTCCTTTGCTTTTCACCTTTCTCCTTCTCATCTACACGTTCTTAAATTACTCGCCTTTCTATTTTATTCCCAATTAATTTCTTGTCCTTTTGTTTCTTCATCAGCTTCTGTTTTCTTTCGTTATCTTTGTAGAATTTTAATATTTCAGAAATTTTCATTGAATTGTATTTATTCATCTTATTATTCCAACTTATTCAGCAGCATTTATTAGGTGAAAGTAATGTATTTTTTTTACTCAGTACATCAACTGTTTTTTGTAAACAAGATACATTCTAGTTGCTTATATTCACATGTAAATATTTGCAAATGTTTTGTATGATTTTTATTTTTTGAATTCAGAACTGTTTAAAAAGAAAGCAACCTTTTAAATAGAGTGCATAACTCAATACAATTCACAGCTTTATTTCTAAAGTCTATACATATTGATTTGTCACAATCAACTGAAATATTCACCCCATTCAAAGTTATAATTTTTATTGCGCAAGTAATTGAAGGAGTGTTGAAAGTAAATACACGAGTAAGTTTCACTTACTCTAAATTTTTTTTTTTTCATTTATATAATGGTTTCTTATTATTATTATTATTATTATTAAAAATGGCTATTTTATTGCTGGAAAGGCATACTCGTGAATTTAGTGACGTCGTTAGATTGTATTGAGTTTATCATGGAGTAATGTTGGTATTAGCATAAGTGGGTATATGAACTCGGTGAATATAACTGCGAATTCTTCTTATTATCTATTTAGGTGAGCTAAACTCGTTTTGCTTTTGAATTTAAGATAATGTAAGAATTTATTTTTTTTTCGTCCAGTCATAAACAAAAAGCATAAAATTTTTATATGAATTTATATAAATATTAAGAGAAAAAAGCATTTTTAAGTGATCATAACGATAAAAGTGTGTGATGTTTTTTTTTGGCATTTTTTAAACATCATATTGGAAGGTGCACTGATCTGGAATTTTTTTTCGATAATTTTTTTATTAAATATAGTAATTGATTATTATGTTTACATTGCTGTTAAATTCGATTATAGATCAGAACAACATCATTTTAAAGTAATACGCAATGCATTTGAACACAGGATGTATTATTTTTATTTTATAAATATATTTTTATATTTAAGTAGGTTTAATGAAAAATAAATTACAAGTACTTGGCTCTTCAGGGGGTCGGATTTAGATTTTCAATGTATTGATTAATTGATTTAGATTTTCAATGTATTGATTAATTTAATCACTATCTTATTGAATTAAATCAAATGTTTTTAAAGTTAATACTTTATTTGAAATTTCAAAATATCTTTAAAATAAGTATGTTCGCAAAGAATTTTTAAAATTATCACGAAACTAATTTTCATTTTAAAAAATTTCTTTTTTGTTTAAAATTCTATAGTTATTTCTTATATACTTATTAAAGTTCAAAGTTGAGTGAGATATTTTTCCTATTATTATTGATATTAAATGTATTCCAGAATAATAAAAGATGATAGAAAAAAAGTTTAAAGAAAAGTTTTGAAAGTAATATACATTATAAACTTGAAAATGATTCTGAATTTATAAAAAGTCAATTATTGTTTGCAAAAATCTATTATCTTGAAAATTATCAGACTTTTTCCATTTTAAGTTCAATAGGATTTATCCTCTTATACAAATAAATAAGATACTTTGAAAATTATTTTCATTTTCCAGGAAGCATAATTATTAACTATGGAACAATTAACCTTAATGTATCTTACTAACTACCCAACTTGGATACGTTAATCTTAAAATTAATGTTCCATAAACGACAAACAAAAAAAAATTCATATTATTTACTCTTACTTGCAAGCTGTGCCATCTGGAGTCATTCCTCTTACTTTTCTTTAATCAACTTAAAAATTATGTAATTAATTTTTCAACATATTCAGAGTTGAATAATAATTTCCTTAAATTTTCAACAAAAGTCTGATAAATAAATGTATTTAGAATATTGAATCCTATCTAACCACATCATTAGAATATCTTGTTTGCCTAGAAGCACTCTACTGATGCAGGAGGGAAATTAATCTACAGGAAAATAACATAAGTCTCAACAGATTAAAGTATAATAAATCAATGGCCTAAATTCCAGTGGATTCACCACTCAAATACTTGATTAATCTGGCGTAAATCCAAAATTAAAAAGACTTTATATTTTTAGCTTAACTTTTTACTTTTGTTTATTTTTTTTCTTTAATATTAACTTCACTATAATTTTGTATGTATTTTTTTCTGAAAGTTATACAATGAGAATTCTATATTAAAATTTCTAATCTGAATTGCAGTCAAATATTTAAACATTTACTCTCAGTAGAAGTGTAAACAGTCTTGAGAATAAATACAAAACCTGAATTGTTGATTGTTCAGTTTTAGATTTCACAGTTTTACTTCTAATGGCTTTCATCGTACCCTTTAATAGTTCAGAATGGATTGCTTTATTTTCATCGTATGTACAATTAAATATGCAAGTGGGATTGTTATGTCCTTAAAGAATTAAAGGAAATGATGAAATGATTTTCCAGAAGAATAAAATCAAGTATAAAAATGACTAATAGTTTTAGAGAGTATACAATTGATGTAATAAAGTTTTTTGTATATACAAGTGAAAAGACTGTTGAGATACAAGTTGAATCACTAAAAGTAATAGCAGATGGAAGTGTAGAATTGAAAAACATGATGATAAAAATGATAAAAAACGAATAAAAAATAAAATAAAAAAATCCAAGACGTGCGATTATGAAGTCTGGCATTTGTCCAGAAACCAACAAGTTGAGAAGAATTTTCTATCTTATTTTCCTGTGATGCAATTCTCAAATTTCTAAGTGATTCAATATTTCATTTGTTTGCTATTTTTTAGGTATTTGAAAAATTCATGATGTCATAATGGTCCAGCTCATTTAAAATATTAATCATATTCTTAGACTATTATCAGAAATCATCAATAATGTTTCCATCACCACTATTTTTTAGATGAATAATTGAGTTTATATAATATGAAAAACCTCTAGATTTCAATTATTTTCAAATCTAAGGTAAATTATTGAAAAAAATTCCATTCAATTGAAATTTAAGATTTCTGTTGAATACCAAGGATTTATTAATTCCTCTAGGAGTGTTATTGTACTCTCGGAGGTATTGAAGGCTTCAGAAAAAGCTAAAAGAAAACAATCTTCCTAAGAAAGTTCCAATTGTGAAAAAAGGAACTCAAGGGGAATTATTGCACTGTTGTATTTGTTTGTTAAAATAAAATGGCCTAGAATTAAATAAAAACAGTCTAATCAAGTAAATATTTATTCCGGTGAATAATTTTAAGAAAAAATCCTATTTAAAAATCAAATAAAAGATTAAAAAAATCTCAGGTAAATTTATAGATCATCAGGACTCAAACTGCATTAGTTAGTTTGAAACTAAAATTTATTGGAGAGACTGAAGGTTAAAAGTTGGTTAGATGAGTGTATTTTATTTATTAGACTCGGACTTGAATTGAATTTAATTAATTATTTAACTAAATAATAAAAAAGATATACTATTTTTTTAATTATTTATTGTTCTTACACTTTATATCAAAGTATTAATGTAGAATTTTTATTAATACAATATAATATAATGGAGTATTAATTGAAAAAAATTGATTCACATTTTAAAAAGTAATTGATCATAAATTCATCAGAGTTCTTATTAATATTAAATTCTTTCTTTGTCAAATTATCATTCTCATAATTACTGGTGTTCAGTAGATACTTTTATTATTAAAGCAGATTTTAAGGAATATTACTCCCAACACTGATTGCTATTGAAAAACTTCGAATGTTATTAAAAACTTTGTTCATTAAATTTTAAATAGTGTTCTATTACAGACATATATTTTTATAGAATAGAAATGTTTATCTAGTTATAATAATATTTAGCAAAAAACAATTAATAAAGTCTAATTTCTAATTATAATTAAAATTTCCACGTAAAGAGGTCAACGTTTGTTCGAACGAGATATTTATAATTAAAGCAAAAAAAAAATGTCTAAAGCACACCAGGCTGTGTCTTAAATTTTGAATATATATTCACACTGTCAAATAATTTGTTATATATATGAATAACATTATTTATGATTCTATTTTTCTTCTCACATTTTTTTTTCTTTATCGTTTGCACACCTTTGATTCATAAAAGTATTTTATTGATCATCACAGGATGAAAATTTTTTTTTCTCAAAATTCAAGCTTTCAATAACAAAATACACCATGAAGTAAATATAATTTATAATAATGAGTTAAATATTTTAGTAGATGGGCGTGTCCGAATTTTTTCATACATCTTTAATGCAGTCTGGCGACAGACTTGGAAGCTACAGTTTAATTAAAGACGTTTGTTATATATATATATATATAGGCATAGTAACTTTATCTCACTCTCAGTTGTATTCATACCCTCGTGTTTGCACTTTACATTCGTATTTCTTCAACCTTTCATTTTATTTCATTTCACTAACGACTTGATTATTAACAACTGTCTAACAGAATTTACTCTTCATTGCCCATTTTCTTATTTTTTCTTTGGTTTTATTTTGTTTGTTAAATAAGTTTGCTGAATAGGTGAATGATGGAATCATAGAAATAATGATAATATAAAAATCAAGAGATAAAATTACTAAGTGTAAGCAAATTGTTTACGAGTCGTGAAAGCCAGACGTCTAAATGTCATTTCTTAAACGCACCCTCATTCTTAACAACTCTCACGACCATCAACTTCCTCCTGTATCATCCCCAGACTTTGATACTCTGATGATGTTAATTGCAAATTCTAGTTAAAAATTTTTTACATCCATTTTATCGTCCATTATTTATTATTATTATTAATTATTATTATTTTGTTTTGCTTACTTAAATCAATTTATAAATAATTATACTAATAATGATGATGATCAAGTCGGTTGGATGTAAAAGATTTATTAGTTCAGAACATAAATCAAATGTTAAAGGTGAGATTGATCTGACAAGATTGATCAAATATTTGATGAATGTTTAATATTCTTGTATTTATTTACTACTGGATAAATATAGAGTTTAGTGTAAAATACTACTTTAGAGATTAATTTAAATGCTCAACGCTTTGATACATCTTGATGTTATTATAACGTAAACGAGTACACATCCCAAATGAAACGCAAATTGGCTTGTATTTTTAACACACCTAATGTACAGTGAAATTCTATAGCAGATACTCCATTTAAGATTTTTCAAGCATAGCGTGAAAAGCGTATTAAATTATTCGAGAACAATGAATATTGTTCATATAAAATATAAACTTGCTTTGATATTGATAAAAAAATACATTGTATTATATTTGAATAAAAAAAAAAAAAAAATGAATTTGTGTGAATTGAAATTAAACATGATTAAAAATGGTTGAATGTAAGGAGCTGGTAATATAGTAACAAATGATCATATAAAGCAGAAAAAAAGTGTATGTATGTAGATTAATAGCAATAGAGATTAGCTGAGAGACGTAATGAATTCTCGTGAATAATTTTTTGAATAAATGAGTAGGAAGTAGTTGTAGGAAGTATTCTCCAATAAAGTAATTTTTATGATAATAATAAATTTTCAAATAACGATGATTCAGCTGCATGTAATTTCTCATTACTTAATAACAGAATAGAAATGCAGTTTTAAATTAATCAAATAATAAAATAATGAATAACAAAAGATAATTCTATTATTGGATTAAATGAAAAATGAAGCAACTCATTAATTAGAATCAATTATTGTGTTTTATTGTTCGAACAGAGAAAAAAATGTATTCGTTTGCAAATGACTAGGGTCATCTAAATTTAATTAACAGGCTAAGAAACCGAAGATAGGTCTGTTATTGAAATCAGAATAAAATGGAAATATTAAAAGAACATTTAATCTTTCTATTTTAGTCTATTTGAAATCCGAATTTAATCTCTGACGACGCAAAAGTCAAACAAGTCTCATCAAATGTGACATTTTGACCTCGAGAATCGGGCATTGTATGACATGAAAGAAATCGATGTGCGATTTAATCGGCAATCTCACGATTGTTTGATCGGAATCGAGATAAATTTACTCAATAATTAAGGGTATTATGCTTACGAACATTGACCATGTTCATTCAAGGTTAAATCCACTTTCAATTGAATAAATACTAATGTTAACGTAGTTTGATTGTGTACATCTATACTACTCTAACTGAATAAAATGTTAGATGATGATTTATTTAATCATCTGTATACAAATGATTTGCATACTTGGATGTACTTGTGAGTACTTACACATGTGTTCTCCTAGCGGCCACACTTGAGGTCCTGAATTCACTTCCACTAGTACTGTTGGTGCACAAATCAACAAGACACATAAATCAGCAGCACTCAAATTCACCAGAAATATGTTTGTACTATTTCTCATATCTTTTCCACGTAATACCACTAATGGTACCTTTTAAAAATTTTTTTTTGAAAAAAGATAAAAATTATATTAATCTATTTATTCAATTAGAAATGTGTTTTTGAAATTTTTGTTTTTATTAAAATCAATTTTTAAAAAAATTACCATAAGATTTCCAATGATTCCAAGTACCATAACAACAATACAAACAGCCATGGAAGTCGTACGAATATATTCTGGCAACATGTATGGAGTTGATGTTGCATTTCCTGACTCAATAACTGAAACTGAATTTAATTGTCAGTAAAATTGTCTCAAAATGAACTAATTTTGCATGTTTACCTGAAAACCCGTCTAATGTACTGCTGCTTTCAAATGCAGTTGTGTAATATGATGCATTAAGTTCAAGAGCCGGAGCAGATACAGTTGTTAACATTTTTTGATTATTTCAAACATATATTTATTTCACATTTATTATTAATTATTTTTAATATAAACAACATCATATTTCTTTCTGTTAAATTCCTTCTATCAATTGATCATTATTGCAGCAATTATTTTACAATAAATAATTTAATAATTAATTTTTTATAAATTATTTTCATTTTAATTAACTGTTCCATTGTATGTTCCATTTTTGATTTTTATTTTATTTTATTCTGCAACTGTGATTGAGATGATTTCTTTTTTTTTTCGTGTTCATAAGTGTTAATCAATGCAGTATCGAGAGAATGTGAGAGCTGTGTTTTGTCAAAGATTAAAATTCTGCATTAGAATAAGCTTGTAGTTTAATCGCCTTAGATCAATAATACATGAGTGAGCTTTAATTGCCTCAATCAAAATGCATTCGATGTCATTTCTAAATTGTTTCCACGAATATGTTCTTTGGAATTTACTCGTGGATTAAATAATAATTAATTTTAAAATGCAACTTAATAATTTATCAAATTTTAATTATTATTCAACCATCAAATAATGATCATCAAGTCCATCAATAATTTAATAAACTCATAAAATTATTTTTTAAACCAATAAAAATTTTTAATGAAAAATAATTATTGTAATTTACAATAATTTCTTTTTTTTTTTAATGATTTAATAAATTTATTCTTAAGTAATTTTGACTAAAAATGAATTTTTATTTATATCAATCATGAAATGTGTCTTGAAGTGTTGTTTTAAGTAGAAAAATCACTCCAACTAAGTTAGAATTTCACATAGTGACACTTTTATTTGTTTGTTGGTTTTAGTCATAATATTTATGATATCGCGGTTGGCGTTTATATAAATGATTTAATTTAATATTGTTTGTAAAAGAATAAATAAAGTAGTGGATTCACTTGATAGATAATATCTAAAAGTTGAACCTACACTCGAGGATTGTGACGGTACACTGAAACGTGTTATAAAGCGTCGCGCCAACTTTTCTCTTTCACTCAAATCATCCACAGGGATTTCCCGTGCGCATGCGTACGAATCGTCGCCACCTGTTTGGACGTATACTTGAACAATGTTGCGGAAAACATCATAGCAAAAGTAAAAAATACTCTGACAAAAAATAAAAAAAAAACAAATATTAATCATTAATCATTTGTGTAATAAAATTAAGTGGAATGGAGAATTGTTATAGAAACTTTTATGGCTAAAATTAAAATTTTAATGGACAAAAAAACATTAGATAAAGAAAAATCGAAGAATTGAAAATGACATGATGTCGGCAAAGTTCTTTCTTGAAAACTCGAGTTGAAACTGGGTCGGATTTACATTTTTGTAATCGTATTTCCGGCTGTATGTGCTTAAGATTAGACACCGATGTGTCATTCTCAGTATAAATTCAACGAGAACATAAAATTAATAAAAAATAAAAAAGACCAACTTGGACAGAAAAAACTCTTCTTATCAAGTGAATAGTTTATTCATTGATTTATTTAATTATTAAAAATAATTGAAGAAAGTAGAGACAATAGGAATAGAAAACTTTTGAAACAGAGTTTTAAATAGATCAATTTTCTTTTTTAATATTATTCAACTTGTGGCTTGCAATAGATGTAGATGGGGAGTGGGTTGGTGGCATGGGATGACTATCATTAAGTTGCATTGTTTTGTCTATCAGCCTTCTAATGAAGCAATTTATTTGATATAAAAAAGTTAAATTAACAAGAATTTGTATAAATAAAATTCAAAGATATATAAATGTTTAAAGAATCAAGATATCAAAAGTTACTCCAAAATGAGAATGTATTTGTTACGAGGGATTGTTAGACTATTAATGAAGTCTTATCTTACATTCTTTTGTGTCTTTATCGATGGATAGATTTATAATACTGTAAGCTTCTTATAATTTTGACTATGCAAAATATTGAAATTAAAAATATTTTATACAAAATTAAAAAAAAAAAAAAATAAACCTTGAAAGATTGGAGAAAACAAATAGACAACTTCAATTGCAGCAAAATTGCTTGAGACGAAGATTAAATTGAAAGCTTTTATTAGATGAATAATTTATGAATAAATACAAGAAAAAAGTAATTGCTCAGAAAAAATAGCGGTTTGTTATCTCCATAAAATCTTGTATAAAGTTTTTCAGCAATTAATAAAACAAAAAAGATATTTTTTTGTTCAATCAAATCTAACATCAAAATATAATAAATAAAAAAAAAGACTTTTTCAAAGCTGCACTTAATTGAAACTTGATAGAAAAAAGAAAAGTAGCTATTGATATTTTACTATTTAAATAAATATATTATTTGTTCTTGACGTTTATATTAAAAAAAGTTTTTCTTCCTTTAAAGTAGTTTTTAATAATTTAAATCCTATATTTTTTTTTATCTACCATTTTTATTTTTATTATTTCTGTTCAAAGTATTTATATGTAGTAGTCTCTAATATTATATTTGAATTTTTATTTCAACTCCAAGTGAGTCTATGAAACTTTCCTTCTTGATCAACTAACCATAATTTGAATAAACGATTATTACAGTCTTCTCTGTCCTGAAACTCGACAATGCGTAGGCGACTAGATAATCCATGAGATTGTTTACTACACTTCAAATAATAATGAAACGTGCAAACAATATTATCTACATCGTTATATACATCTCTATGATTATGTATACGTCATGAGCAATGGCTACGTGACATGGGTATGTTAATCGTCTCATACTTATTGTTAGTCAATCTATAACATTAGGTGGTGATCAGTATATAATTATTAACATCAAAGATTAATTGGATGAAAGATTCTTCTATACCATTATTATGTCTATATTTTTTTTATATTCCACACATTTTAAAAATGTCATATTTAAAAATAAAAATATATTAAAAACCATCAGTACTCCAAAAACATTAAAATATCATTCTGACTACTGATTGATTAGATTATTCTGCTCCTACACAGTCCGGATTTACTTAACAAATCTACTTTTAACTGGAAACAATAGTGTTGAGTTATATTCAACTAAACAAAGTTAAAGTTGGTTCAATACAATAACATTTTTTCAATTCAGTTCGTAAAAAATAGTCACTATGTCTTTAGTTGACACTAAAGTGATATTCCTGAATTGAAAATATTCTGTAAAAAATCAATGGATATTTGAAATTCAACTCAGAAAATACTTAAATTGTTGAAGAATAAATTTAAATGAGAAAAAATATCTTAAAATCGATCACTAACTTGAACAAAGTCATAACAATTCTATAAAAATAAAATAAATAAAAGTATTATCATCAAAGACTTAAGTTTAAGTACTGAATACGCATTATATTCCATCTATTTTAAAGATGAATTTTCATGAAAAGAAATTTTTTTACAATCAATTCTCAAGTTAATTAAAGTTAATACAATCAGGAAGCAGTAGTACAATTTCATAGAAGCACGTCAATTGGGTACTACGTTTAATGTATTTCCGTAGCTTCCTTTTATTGAAAATTCATTTCAATATGTAGAAACAGTGAATATCAGTCAATTTGTTATTAAATTAATTTAAACTATTTATTAATAATTCATAAAGAGCATTGAGCTTTCTATAAACAATAGACTCATTAAATTTGATGTAAAAAAGATTAACTCAATTATTTAAAATTTCTATTTTAATTCTTTTTAGCTCAGAATCAATTAGAAACTTTGGAGAAGACATGTAATTAAATTTCCATGATTTCATTCTACTCGTGGTTCATTACAAAATAAATAAAATATAATTATGAAACTTATATTAAAGTACATATAACATTAAACGTATATACATATTTGACTTTCTGCTAAAATCGCAAGTCAAATACAAATTGAGAATAAAAAAATGTTATTTACAATTTTCAAGGCATTAATAATCATCTAAACAATAATTAGAATGCTTGGTTAAATAACATAAATTAATTAGAACAATATGTTATCAATGCTAAACTACTAAACCAACTGATTGACTCAACGTTTATCTGATCGTTTCGAAAACATTCAAATATTTAAACTCCAAAAATTTTTTCCTACACTTTATTAGGCCAATCAATGTCGAATTTAGTCAAAAAAAGAGCAAAGTGAATTATTGAAATAAAAATTTAATTTTTTTTTTTTTACTTTTGATTTAGCTTTATGATGATAGCACTATCACTGCAGAAAATCAAAAAAGAATAAAGAGAAAATTGATTTTAAAGAACAAAAGGTGCAGACAATGATACATAGAAATCACTTTGAATTTACAGCTTTTAGCATGTCGTAAATTAAATCTTATAGCGAGCTTAACAGAGTTTTTTATTATGTATCTACTGTTTATTTCTTCTTAGAAAGAACTTAATTCGTAATAATACGTAAGACATTACATTGTTGCCATCTTCCCTTTTCTATTTTTGTTTATGTATTTACTCATGCATATTTCAATTGTATTTCTTATATAAAATTCAATAATTCAACTAATTTTTTTATTCTTCCTACAAAAAGTTACATTTAAATAAAAGTTCTCGAATAAATTATTCACTCCATCCAACGACAATAAAGTTTATTGTAGTGAATTGCTGATCTATAAGATCCTTTTTACTATTATCAAATCTTTTTCCTGGCGCCAATATATCATTTTTCATAAAGAATACTATAAAAAAAAATTACTGTTTAAAAATAATTTAATAGTAGTTATTTTAAATATTTCATGCACTTTTACATAAATAAGAACGAGTTCGATGCTCACACTGAAACATTTAAGTAATAGCAGTAAGTAGCAATCGACTATTGAACCCAATAACTCTCTAAGTGGCATGTTAACAATCTATTGATACTAAGTCTACTATTCATGTTCACTAGATAATTGTCTGAAATTAAATTTGCATCAAAAAGTCACGCCCTTTAACTAATTAACGTAAAAGTACGAGGAGGTCATAATCTGAATCAGTAAACTGCACTGATTGCACTCCTTTCTTATCTGTGATAAATTACTCATCATTTTTTTTTTTTTATTATCAATGTTATGATATTTAATACTGACACCCCATAAATTTTATAGAGAAATATTATATTCAATTAAAATTATACAACTGTGGGTGGACAACTTTACTGACTAGATAGAACTATTTTTGAAATATTAAACTCTTTTCACTATAAATTTATTTGTACAAAATCAAAGAGAAATTTAATCTAAATCATATTAATTAAATGAATGATGACAATGATAAATTGATAATTTGTAATATTTATCAAAATCAACATGACTGAAAATTGTTGTAAAAACATTTTAAAATTTTTTTTTAAGCTTTTCGAGGATTGAATATCTAACTACTTACTCATGTTTCTCTTGTTCTAATTTCAATCAAGATTTTTTCTCCTGATGAAAAACTTTCAATCAATTTTACTTTTGTATGTCTTATACCATTTTAAAGAACTCTTATCAACATGCTTGAAATTCTATACCAATTCATTTGAATTTATCGTGTAAGAAGACAAGGGAAAACGTAGATTCGACGAATTTTAGATTTTTTTAAGAAAAGAAACCTGGAAAAAACAATCACAGTAAAATTTCATATTACATTTAATTGAATTCTTGTTTTTTTAAAAAACAAATTTTTCAGATGAAAAGATAAAAAGCTCATTTAATAACCCATGAAGCAGAACGTATAAAAAAAAGAATATAATTGTATTGTATTGATGCAACGAGTTTATTATTCACAAATCATCCATTCATATAGAGATAAGACAATAGTGGATTGTCGTTCATGGTTCAAGTGCAGTATCATTTCAGATGAAGGATTGAAATGGATTAAATGTCAAATGCTGACCTTTTGATTAAATAGAAATCAAATTTCCATTCTTAGCATAAGGTATTCAATTATTACTCAACTATGAAACCTGTAAATAGTAATAAATGAAAAAAAAAAACAATCAAATACCTGATAGAAAATGATAATTGCTAAAGTTACCCCACACAAACTTAATCTGTTAGTGGTGTAGTTGGTAATGAGCTTCTTAATTAAGCAACAAGTAAACTAATTTGGATGCAGTTTTCATCGAACAATAACTCATTAAAATCTCTCACAATTTTTTATGAATGTATTATTCCTTAAAGCTTCTTTTTTTGCCTAGATATATTAAAAAGAGATTTTTAAAAACTCTTATGGGCATTTATAAATTCTATTTTGTTAAATATGGTCAAATGAAAAATTTATTAATAACTAAGGCAACATACCATATTTTATCAATTAATATTTTTTAATAAACAATAATTTATGCTATATTCAGATGAAATATGTTGTTTTATTTATTTTTGAAATTTTTAAAATAATAATTTCATTTGTTCGACGATCGATAAATGCGATAATAATTTTATAAAAATATTGACAGTTGATATTTTACCGGCTATTGATAATAACCATTTATCGATTTGAAATGACTTTCTCACAATAATTACCTAATAAATTCTTAAACAAAAATTCAATCATTTTTTAATTATTTCAATCCAACTGTATAATTATTTTGTGGTTTTTTTAAAAAAAAAGTACGCAGCTTAATTTTTAACATAGAAAATGAACTTAAATGGTTAATGAATAAATATTTATTTATGTAAATCTATATAGTTCTAACTTGATACTAAATTAAATTTTAAATGGCCCAAAAAAATAATTTAAACCAGTTTATCACCAGTTCAGTGAAAAATGTAAATTAACCGGTTTTATTTGAAAGACTTACGAATGAATAGAAAAAGTTAAAAGAAACTTCCAACAATTTTTCCTTTATATAGTAATTACTTGAACTGACTTGAATTGACTATGAAGTGAAAATTTGTTGGTTTGGACTTGTTGGTTTGGAAACACGAATAAATGAACTCTGAAATTGTATCATGCCATTAGTGTAGTACACACCGCCATCATGTACTCTTAAATCGGTATTATATTTTAAGAATATCTAGATCACGATCACTATAAAACTTAATTGGCAATTTTTAATATATAAAATTATTCAATAATTCAACAAATAAAATTTAGGAAAATTTAAATCAATTTCAAATAAAAATACTCAGTTAATAAGTCAATTTAATTGATGGTTGGTGAAATCAATATATTTTTTCAATTTAATGAATAACATTGATTTCATTTAGTAAAGAGAACTCATTTAAATAAGATATCATGATAAATGATAAATTATCAGATGATATAACTTGAAGAAAAAATTTATAGGCAACGAATTTAGTTGAAACCGAGTCCACTTTTGTCTTAATAAAACTATTAATCATATATTTCTATGGGAATATCGAAAAATGTCAATAAATCTTAATGAATGACCTGTTATGTCATTCATATAAAATTATATAATTTGATAACAATATTTTATTTTCTATTTAATTTTTACAACGTCATTGATTATGAAATATGTATTAAGAGAATTTTTTCAAAGTTCGTTATTAACAATAAATCTTATTTTTTACATAACCATGGCTAAAATCTATATTAATTATTTTTGGAGAAATAAATTTCTAAAAAATTATTTCAAGGAAGTTGATATTAAAACCGAAAAGAATAAATGAAAAATAGCACACCAAATGTGGTAGGTGAAGACATCAAAAAAATTATGCATCAATATTAATCATCGATAAATTAATGAGAGTTATCTTCATTGACAAATTTAATTAAGGTACTAATCATTTTTAAAGTTTTGATGTATATAAGATTTTAACTTAATTTATCAAGTTTTTTTTCCATGTCAATTAATTGGATTATATAATAAATGAATTTGTTATATATTTCCTGAAGTTGTTAGACTTCTATATATTATGCTAGTATAGAGAAGTATATTTCTACATATAATCCCAAAATTAGTTACTAATCATACTCAATATAACTATGATGATATAATAATTATGAATAATCCAATTGAAGGGTGATTTAATATGTAATAAGGTAAATGACGAGCAAATAATATTAAAAGTTGAAGCCCTGAGAGTGTTCTACGTAACAATAGGCTTCACTATAAAACTAATGGTATTCAATACCAAGGCCTGCAGTTCAGTTTAGAGCAAACATAAATGTATACAATTGCGTGAAATAAAAACCATAACTATAAATATTATTTAATAAATTTTATTTTTTTATTTCCCTGGGGAGTCTGAGACTCTCTCAGAAATTCACTAGTTTTTTAATATTGAGTACAAGTTTAAATAAAATTTGAAAATAAAAATATATTAGTGGAAATAATTTAAACAAAATGAATAAGTTAAATACATGCTTGCTTTTATTGTCAATAATTGGCGCTTGTGTTTGTGGAGTAAGAACAAGTAAATGTTCTGATAAATACAGAATGTCGCTTCTTACAAATGTTCATGATGATACAGCTTGTAGCATGTTGTCCAATAAGGGCGTCATGATGGCTGAAGCAGCCGAGTTTTTTATCGAAGCGCACAATAAAAAAAGTGATAGGAAAATTAGTAAGTTTATTTTTGTAGCCAATGATATGATATAAAAAATAAATAGAAAAAAAAGTAAAATTAATTTTGTCTCATCAGTAAATTGTTCTCTATCATTAATCAATACTTTCAATTCTAGACTTGTCTGTCTTGGATACCTGTGGAACAATAACTGGTGCTACAAAAGCTATGATGAAAGCTCTTGAATCTGATGATTTCAGTTGCATTGATCCACCATTTTTCTTAGGTCAGTAAAATGAATTATTACCAAGCAATATAAATCGATGAGGCTAAAGGCTTTCGGGCGATAGCCGGCTGCATACCTCTGGTTGCAGTCATCACAATAAAATTATAAATTATTATAAATCGAAATTCTGACAAAAAAACTGTTATGTAAAAATAAAATTAAATTTAACTTTGTTTCGAAAATTTAATGAAAATTTTTGGAAAACTGTTTTATTGAAAGGAAATGATTCTTTTGGAGTACAGAATCATAAATAAAATTTGAGGGTAATTTTTCTTTGAATTTTAATAATCAACAAATTATTACGAGTATGAAATCATAACGGATGTTACGAAATACTTATTTGTACCACTTTGAAAGTAGAACAAAAATTTTACTTTGAACTGCAAACAAATATAACCATCGTTTGTTTTTTTATCATAAAAAATAGCAATTTAAAATTTATACTAAATCAAAAGTCACTACAGTAAAGTGCAACATACCGATAAATGTTAAAATAATTTATCACAGTCTAAATTTATATTTTACTCGATTTGCTCATTTCATCGGCAGACGAATTCACAAATCAACAGCCCTATCCCTATACTAAGAATAACCTTGTTCTAGTTATTGATTATAAGATTAAATCAGAGGTCAATAACAGGTTCATCTTGTCATTTTTAATTTTTAAAATAATATTGACATGAGTAATATTTTTAAATATTTATAATATACTTAAAGTATCATAAATAATCAGATCTAAAAAACAGATCATGTAACAACGATTAAAGCTTGTAGGTTTTGTTATTGAGGCAAACTTTGGTGATATAATAGCCTTTAAAAACCAGCTTGATGCAAGTAGCAATTGAATTAGTCGATAAGAGGAATCGAATAAATTTATTTGTTTCGAAATCAATTGAAAATGAAATCGTCACAACTATTTGAAGCTTTATATTAAAAATTATGTTATGTAGCAACAGAAATACTCCAATCAAGGTTATTGAAAATATTCAACATTAAATATATATGAAATCATAAAAAATTAAAATACTAAGTGATAAGAGTAATAATTTGATATATTTTCCCTTACACTAAGTAGCAAAACACATGAAGTAAAACAAAAAAATATGTATACACTTTAATATCAGATAATGAATTAAAATGTTAACTTTTAAATTCAAGTCTACAATTTATTCAAAATTTAGGTCACAACTTTACATGTCAATAAGTGTTTAGTGCTACATTATTACTTATATGATAAATCAAACTTAATTGCTATTATTTATTATTTCAAAATAATATTTAACATTATTCAAACTAATTGTCCATCGAACAAGATATTCAATATTCATTAATATTTATTAACTCGAACAATAAATTATTCATTATTAATTATGAAAATATTCTTTTAATTTTCAATGATGTCTAAAATAGATCCAACTGTTATTGGGTCATCAATTAAAATCGTTTTGTCTGAAAGCAAATTGTTGTTGTTCTATCACAGGATTAATTGGACCAGAATCAACAGAAAATATTGATGCAGTACACAAAATAACATCTGTCTTAAATATTCCTCACATTGTGAGAAGCCATGCAGTTGGCTCACCATATCTACATTATCTTCATGAAGAGTCTGACTTGTATTTAGTCGAGGGAATTCTAGAAATCATAGAAGCGTTAAGATGGAAATCATTCACACTAGCAACACGAAAGCACGATGACAATGAGGACGATGTGCAATTGATTGCGAAAAAAGTAACTATGGGTGCAATAACTCGTGGTCTTTGTGTCATGATTCACGAGCAAGATGACGATGTTTTCACTTCTCACGTTGTTTATATTGGCAGACCTCCAAAAGATACATTTAAAAATGTTAATGCTACAATTATTATTGTAAGTGAAGGAAATTTAAAAAATTACGTCGATAAAATGAAAACAAATAATCCAGTTATTTTATTGCAAGATGCTAGGTAAGATTAATATTTAAGATTCACTATAAAAATGCATTCATTACAAGGACTTGCTTTTAATATCTATTTATTTTATCTAGTCCTTTTACTTGATTCATTCTATTTTATTATTAAATTTTTTTTTATAAATATTTATAAAAATACTTATGGCTAGGGGTTAATGGTGCTCGTTAATAATACATAGTATAAATCAGAAATCAAAGTAAAATTATTACATACCATCATGATGACAATAATTTTATTGCTTTGGGAATTGCAAGTTACTCCATTAATTTTTTTAATAACAATTATATTTTAATACAAAAAATTGTATTAACTATAATTGAATAATAATAATAATAATAATAATAATAAACATTCCAGGAGCGATATAATAGGACTGGAAGCTCAAGTTAAAAATTCAAAGTGGTCTAATAGAGCAGGAAGTAGCTTTAACCCTGAACATATGAGAGATTTACGATGGTTGGAAAGTGCAATGGAAATTTACGCTAAAACTCTTGATATTTTCTGGTAATTAGTTGAAAAATTCTATTGTAATTAAATTTGAAATAGTTACATGAATAATGGGAATAATTCTATTTTTTTAGCAAGAAAACTCAGTGTACAAGTGAGATCAATCATGCGGAATGGAATACCATGGTTGGTAATGTTATATCTACAAGAAATGCTCAACTTGAAATTTTAACTAGAACACTGGATATTTATATTAAAACCAATACCAGAAATTTTGAAAAATTGGGTGAAATAAAAGTAAAAAAGAATGATGCTAGAATTTATTGGGACGATGAAGAAGAAGAAGAAGATGAAGGCCTTCATGGTGATAATCTCATTCCTGAAATATTTAGAACTCTTTTATTGGATACGCAAGAAAAGACAACTGGATGTGCTACATCAGTCAAGTTCCAAGATAATGATGATGATGATGATGTGTCGAAAGTTGCTTTTGACATTGATGATCATGAATTTTGGACTGTGGTATGATTTTCGAAACATTTACTTCATTCATTATAGATAAAATTATTCTTTCACAATATTTTATAAATTGAAGATAATTGTAAATGTTGATAGGGTTAATAGAAAATGGTAGAAATTCATTTTGCTAGCTTTATCTGTAGAATGTAGAAAAATTACAATATCAACTAATTAGAAATCACGGATTATCCCTTTTTTTTATGTTTTAGTATAATTTTCATTATAATGTTGTTTTTTTCTAACTTGTAATAATTAGATCTAGCACTTTGAAATCTATAATACATATGATATTATAGTAAACTTTGATTAGATTGATTTCATACCAATAAAAACTTCTTTGTCTATTCTGTTTGAATAAAATAATATTTTTTCTAATATTACAATAAGTTGTTTCTTAGTTGAAATATAAACACAAATTACATCATATTTTCTTGAGATAATAAATATTTATTTTTAATTAGAATTTATATATCTCTCATCTTTATGAAGATTCCTATATGATTGTTTGATTTTTATTAAGATACTTTGGATTTTTATAGAAAGACATAATATTTTCAAATTGTTATCTAAGTTTCATTTTTAATTTGCATAATATTTTTCATGCGGGTAATTACATCGTGAAACTGATCTTACACACCTGTTTTATTTTATTAGCTAATAGATTTACAAACTTCCAACTTAATTACTTATAGTGAGTCAATTTACTTAAATACGAAATTTGTCTTATGACTTCTTAAGAAGTTTAATGAGTTCTTAAATAAATAAGTCACGGAGTTATTGAATTATACTAATAATATTAAACTTTATAAATATTTATTTCTGTTCAATTAATAAAAATTAACTTGTTAAAACATCTATAAATAAATGAAGGAGATATAAGCAACTAATTGTTATGTGATGAAAAACGTGTGGACAGTAAATTTTCTGAATGACTTATATAATATAGCTTAATTATCATAAATAGTTATAATTTATACATTTTCAAGATAATAATGTAGTACACATTTCTCGTAAACTTTTATATTCTATTAACGGTTTAATAAATTATACAATTTTTTATTATTATTCTTCTAATTATTATTATATTATAAAAACTTATTTGCAAATAAGGCGTTTATTTTTTTGTAATTATACTATGAATAAATATTAGATCAATATCAATATTTTTTACATGAAAAATTCTTTTATTACTTTATTATCATTTTCTTTTTATAATACTACATAGTTGAAATAATTTTTGTCATGTTAAAGAGTCAAAATTATATTGAATATTAAAATATTTTATTTTAAGAAATCAGTAGTTAAGTTGTAAAAGTAACTTTAATTCTTTTGAAATTGCTGACTTTAATAGTTTTCTGAACTAAAGAAAAATGACTAATTATTGAAAATTTTCAGGTAGGAGTAGTTGGTGGAATTGGAGTAACAATGTTTACAGTGGGAACCTTGGCAGTATACATAGTTTACACTAATATCCGTGGACCAAGAAGCCCAAAGCATAAAGGTGGAAGACGATTAGAGAGAGATGGTTCACTTCGAAGAGCTGGAAGTGATCGGGAACTCCAAGTGGTGACAGGAAGCCCCCGACGACCTCCTCGTCCCACTCCAAGAAGAGACAGTTCTAGAAGTATTGGAAGCATCATCTCAGACAAAAGTGTTTAATACTCATCAAGTATTTAGGTTACCTGGATTTTTTATTGCACTTTTTTCAATAATTTGTTAAAAAGAAATATTTAATTTTGCAAAGTGTCCATTTTATGAGCCACAACATCCGTTAGTAACGAGAAAATGCACGTATATAAATATTATTACCACGGATGTGACAGATTAAAGAAGGCACTAGGGTTATACAAAACTATGAATGGTTCTCGCCAGCTATTGTTCTCGCCACTTGACTCAATCATACGGTTAAGCCCGAGTTATTATATAACACGCAAAAATAGTACCAACAATATTTTAATTATTATGAATAGATCATTTGACATTATAGACATCATAGACTTCAGTATCAATTGTTCAGTAGTTTATTAGAAAATTTAATTTTAAGAATAACCAATAATAAACAACGAATTATAAAATTAAAGTAAATACATTTAAAATAATAATTACAATGAAAACTCAAGAGAAATGTTTCAAAATGATAAATGTAAAATATTTAATGTTGTATTAACTGGAAGTTCCATAAAGGCATCAAATGATCAAAAATCCTCAGAGTCCGGTTAGTGACTCAGTCTGAATTACTGCTGAGACATGATATTTATATAAGGAAAATAAAGAAAATAAATGTCGAAATGTTCTTTTCATTCGTTGAAATATTTTACATACGCACTTGGGTTTCCCCTACATCACAACTATCATATCATGGTACATTCAACGTTAAAGTTTAAGTACTCACGCAATTGATCGCTTTGTTAATATGCCAGTTGTATTTTCATATGTAAGTACAATCATATTTATGCTAAATTTCAGTCAAATATGACAAATATATACATGTTAATTAACGTTAATTCGTCAATTAAAATGCGTACCCATTAAATATTAGATTAATATGTATTCAATTTTATGATAGACAGTCTTATAAGAATATTACATTGAAACTAAAGCATATTCATGATTTATTGAAGCGTAAAAATAGTAATATTCATTTACATTCAACTATTAACATTTTTATATTATCAAATTTGCGTGCTAGACATAGAGGTATAATAGTTGTTAAAAAAATGATAGAAATAATATATTGTCTAATATTGGTCACTATATTATACATGTATATATGATTTCTTAACAATTTTACTTTCCACCTGTGGTGTCAATTGTAGTGGGGAATATCCTTTCTCATGTCTATTCTTCTTTGACACGTTAATTAATAATTGTTTATTGTACATTTACTATAAAATAAATAAATAGTGTTATTTTGATTTTATAATTATTATAATCATAAAATTATTTGAAATTAAAGAATGATGGTAGTAGAAGGACGATGAGGGGTCTTTTCGTCGGCTTTCATATAAAGCTTGTGGTACTACTTTGATACAAGGCATTCTTTCGCTGTTCTCCGTATCGTTAAGTACAATACAGTTTGTTTGAGGTTCACGTATGACATTTTAAATTTTATTGGTGACTTTTTAAACCATGTTCTAGTCTAAATTATCATAAAAAAATTTTATTTATTACAAAGAAATAAAAATAATAAAAATAATAATAATAATAATAATCAATGTATTGGATGTGAAGTGAAGGGAAACATTAAATTTGTATATAAATTTAAAGTAAATAAATTTTTCTAACGAACTGGATACTGAAATATATATACAATTTACTAAAAGTGAGTATGGTAGATCATATATGCTTTTGACATTTAATCGGTAACTTTTTTAACATTTAAGATACTCTAAACTCTCACTTTTAATTATCAAAGTGAACGAAGAAATAGACTCAAGGGTACAGTGAAGTTTGGACTTCTTGCCTAATTCCTAATGATAAAATTTATCAATTTTCTCATACATTCATGCATTGTAAAATATATGTTAAAGTCATAAATAATGTTGAATTAATTGTTTACTGTCAAAATGAATAGAGCTGTTGTAATAATTTATTGCCAAGTCATTGATAAGTTGTGTTTAAAAATTAATTCATTTATTAACTGTGAAACCTGTAAGAATTTATTTACAATTAATAAATAGCTTTGTGAAAATTAATGTGATTAATTATCTATAAATTACATATAAAAATAGCAACTATGAGGATAATTTTATTACAAAGTTTAACGAGATTAAAGTCTCTTTGCATTCCTTCCAGCCACAAAAAAAATTTTTTCAATAATTATTTATCAAGATAAATATGATCCTATTTTAATTATTCAATAATAGTCTTCAATTGCTAATTATAATAAAAGCTATTCATTTATTAGAAAAAAATTATTTATCTTAAGATCATTTGTCATTGATAATTGAAGAAAAAAAAAAGATAAATCATAGACAGTATTTTTTATATAAAAAATATCATTGCTAATATTACACGTGCTGCGTAAAATTACATTGCTATTCGGTCAATTAACTCTCACCTAACTGTAGAGGTTTTGCAATTCTTATCTCAAGCAATATTTTCAAATGTTACGAATATTACGTAATGAGGGTAGAAATAATTGTTTTAAATCCCACAGCTAGTAATTTCTCTTCAAAACTTGTTGAATACTATTTGAAACATTAACTTGCACTGTTCAGTCCTATTATCATAAGTTAGATCTTATATGATTGAAAAATCATTACAAAATTTATCAAATAAAATTAATATAACAAGCAATTCATTTTACACATTATTTTTAATCGTTCAATTAATAATTTTTAATTCTTTTACAATTGAACTTTTGATCTTTTTTTTAATTTATTGCCTCTGATACTCTAGAATGATAATAACTGATGACTGACAGCAGTCAAAAATAAGATCAAACGGAATTTTTGTTGATGAAATAATTACGATAAATTTCTTCATATATGAAAAAGTAATAACAAAAAATTAGATAAATAATAAATGTAACTTTCTGTTGGGTTAAAGAAAAAAGTGTGAAGGATAGAAGAGAAGATTTGAATAAGATTTCACCTTGGAAATTGAAATTTATAAAAACTAGGTGCCTTGATTTCACTAGATACCTTTCATTAACGAATTCTTTTTATTAAAACTGGTTTCAACACAAAGTGTTTTCAACAGATGGGTTCACTTCAGCAACAATCGATTCTCAAAGGTAAAAAAATAGCACGTGAAACTGATGCAACTCTTCATAAAATATTTTCTAAAAGTCAAACACAGTACAGTAAAATACCAGCAATTATTTTTAAAAGTAAGTTATTTTTCCTTGAAATTTTATGATCAATAATTAAGCCCATAACTAAGTGAACAATTCTTCAATTTTTATCTAGATGATAATGACAAGGAATTTTCAATAAGTTATGAAGAATTAGAAACAACAACAAATAAAATATCAAGAACATTACGACAACTTTGTAATCAAACATGTGATGCTTCTGATTTAATCATAGCTGTATCAATGAAACCAACTCATCAATTACCAATTATACTTTTGTCAATTTTAAAAGCTGGTATGGCTTATTTGCCATTAGACGTTGAATTTCCGGTATCCAGAATCAAGCATATCTTGGAAGAATCACAACCACTGGCTGTCATTGTTGATGATCAAAGTAAGCAAAGTTGATATGTATTAGTTAAATAGATTAAATAAAAACAACATGAAGTAGGATGTTAAGAAAGAAATTAGCATATTAAAAAACTTCTAATTCTACAAAGTTGTTTTACTATTGAATAACGTCAATAATTATAATTAAAGGCCATTTCCTAGACAATTTTATCATCTAAACAAGGTTAATCTTCACCCTTCATAAGACCAATTATCTCAGTAGTTCAGCCGAAGCAATTATTGTTCAAGGAATTTATTTTAATTGTTAGCCTGAAGCTTTAATCCAACATATTATTATAATGGAGTTGATCCCATATATAAAATATCTCTGTAAAATTTTTTAAAATTATTTTATTAGGTGATAGAACTCTTTATGGAGAAATACTAACAATAAATTATCAAGAGCTTTGGGAACAATCTAAAAATCAATCTGAGGACTCTTTGGATTATGATCTGAATCCGGAACAGCTGGCAATTGTTTTGTATACATCTGGAAGTACAGGAATTCCCAAAGGTGTTAGAATACCACACGCAGCGCTGATTAATCGATTAGAATGGCAATGGAGAAAATTACCTTTTAATGATGACGAACAAAAAACTATTTTCAAAACAGCTTTAACCTTTGTTGATAGTGCACCCGAAATATGGGGTCCACTTCTCCAAGGTCGTACGATTGTTGTTGTTCCGAAACATGTCACTAAAGATCCGGAAAAATTCATAGACGTTCTTGAGAAATATGATGTAATTATTTATTTATGTATATTTTATGTATTTATGATGTTGATATTGATTTATATTAGCAAGTTGAATTTTTATTTAACAACCTATTACTTTTTTTTATGGCAGATTCAAAGACTTGTTTTGGTGCCGTCGTTGTTGCAATCGATGCTAATGTACTTGAGTCTTCAAGTAAGTAAACTTGAATAGAGATTAAGTGATTCAGTGCATACGGAAAATGAATGAGAATTTTATTTCATTGACTCAGTCTTACATTGTAACAATTTTGATAAATGAGTTAATTGATCATCAGACACTTTGTGATTTAGAAAATGATTCCAAGAATATTTCTTCTTTGATTTTAAAGCTAATTTATCATTATCTAGTAACTAAAATCAATTAATTATAGCTATGAATTGACAATAGAGAATAACTATTTATTAATTGAATAGTAATTACAAGTATTTAATAATTAACAAGTATAAAGTAGAAAAAAAATTAATCATATATCACTTAGGGCCTGGAAATCTTGCAGTGTTAACTGATTAATACTTGATTTTTTATTCTCATGAAAAGTATTTATTTTATTTTTCAAGGACAACGACAAGGCACTAAAGTCTCTCAAGTTATGGATCTGTTCTGGAGAAGCACTTCCACAGTCGTTAGCAAGAGAGTTTTTTGTGAGGTTTGGTAGATTTGGACACACTCTGGCTAACTTTTATGGCAGCACTGAAGTAATGGGTGATGTGACTTATCATTTACTGAAGAATATCAATCAGTTGGAAGATGCAGAAAAAGTACCGATAGGTAAAAAATTTGATTTAAAGAAAAAAATTATAGATGTTGGATATTTATATGAAGGGAATCAATTTGATGGATAATTTTTTATCATGGCCTACTTATTACTAAGGTCATTGTTGAACTTATTAACATTCACGGTCAGTTGAGTGATCAAAAAATTGATCAAGCTTTAGAATTTTCTTTTTTTTCTCTTGATAAATTTAATAAAAAACTCCAAGTAAAAAAATGATTTCTCATAAAGTAATGAGATTGAAAAATAATGTAGAATTGATTAGTATTTATTAATAAATATTTTTCACAACAACATTTATTCTTATGAAATAATTTTTTTTATATATATACTAATTTTATTTAATATTGAATAAAAAATACGGTAAAACATTTTATAATATTAATTAAAAATTGGTTTCTTATTTGATAGGTCGTCCTTTAGACAACTGCATAATTTATATTGTCGACAAAGACCTTCATATATTACCCCAGGGTGATGTAGGTGAACTCGTAGTGGCAGGGAGAAATTTAGCAGCCGGATACATTCGAGGAAGAGATTCACATCGATTTGTCAACAATCCTCATGCTATCGATCCCGGTAAGAAATAGATATCATAGCATCAACATTCATTTAGTTGTCTGCATTCCAGATGCTTTTTATACTCCAATACCAGACACATTCTTTTACACTAATTGCGAGAATTCTATCGCTTTGATATCCGGTTTTTCTTTTCCACAATCAAACTGTAATCATCTTCATCTATATTACTATCAACACGAAAAATCAGCTTAAATTTAAAAATAATTAGTTATTAACAACTAATGGAAATTAAAAAAAATAAACCTCATAACCCAGATTTTTTTTTCTCTTGTCAATTCAATTGATGTAATTCAAGGATTTAGTAAGTAGCCAGTAATCTATTATATTCTCGCCAATTTGAATAATAATTCACTGCACAGTATCTGAGAATGAGTCATAGAACAAGAGTTATTTGTAAATTGACTTTATAAATTACATTATCTTATATCCTGAGTTCATTATTCTCTACAATAAATATTCAATTAATTTCTGTGATAACATAATAACTCGGAGGTAATAAATTCAATGATGATTACAATGCATAGTAAACAATTGATCAACTTATATTACCTAACGCAATACTGCGAAAACAGCTGCTATCACTTTATAATCAACTATTAATTATAAATTCAAAAGTTGTTTCAATTTGCATGAAATAAATAAAACAAACTTGACCTTACTCAATTCTAGTTATTCATCTAATCGTTTATGCTCTGTACCTTATACCATCATACATTGAATCAGAAATTCATGAATATTAAGAATCATTTATCTTTAATGAATATTAGCATCATTGAACTTTGATGATTTTTTTTTGTTGATCAGAGTATTCAACGATTTATCATACTGGTGATTTTGCACGAATTTTAAAAGGTAATGTTATATACGAAGGTCGTACAGATTCCCAAATTAAAATTCGTGGTCATCGAGTTGATCTTGCTGAAGTTGAAAGAACGGTCAATGCTTTATCGATCATTGAAAAAGCAGTTGTGTTATGTTACAATCCTGGAGAATTATCACAGGTCAAGTATAATAATGAAATTATAATTAATATAAATAATATATTACAAATTACTCAAATAGTTTTGAAATGAATAAAAAATTTTATTTTTATAGGCATTAATTGCTTTTGTTACCACAAAAAAGGAAACAACATTTAGTGGTTTACAAATAGAAAATTACCTTAAAAGTCGATTAGCACCATATATGGTACCTCAAATAATAATAGTCAATAATATTCCTCTTTTAATCAATGGAAAAACAGACAGACAAACATTACTAAAACTTTATGAAACGTCAAATCTAAATGGCAATGTACAAGATATGATTGATTGCGACTACACAAATGTACCAGAAGATTGTCTTAGAAAAGCTCAAATTCTTTTTCCAACTATAGCAACGGTTATTGGTAGAAGTGGACGGTTTACTGTAAATATAGATGCTAATTTTTATGATCTTGGGGGCAATTCCTTAAATTCTATTTACACTGTGACTAAATTAAAAGAACAAGGATATCAGATTGGAATCACAGATTTCCTCAAGGCAAAAAACATGAAAGAAATTTTGAAAAAAATGACAGTTTCTACGGATGATCAAGAGATTAAAGATCAGAATCAACCAAAGTTTATTACTGAACTAATGAATGATAGTCACAGATCTGTAGTCACTCGGTAAGTCGTTATTACATTTCTCAATTTAGTTCTTGACAGTATTGATATTTATTTTTAATCACACATTCAGCTCCAATACTATTTGATTTTTGAAAGTTTTATTACTTTGTATCCTAGAGTTATATCAATGCTAGAGACTGACTCTCTATTACTCTCTATTAGAAAGTTTAGAACGTATTGTTTTTAAGGAATTTACTTGTTTTTTATTTTCAGAAACCATCATGCGAATCTTAATGAACTTAACTCATTGTATAACTCTGTTAACTGAAGTTTATTTAAAGAATATTTTTATTGCAGGATAATCACAGAAAGTTTTTACTTGAAAGCAGACCTAGAAAGATGGTTAGCACCACACATAATGCGTAGTGATTACGCTGAACTTATGAATGCTCTTTGGCAACCAATAGTTGATAAAGGATTAAGTTTCGTGATAAAATCAGCAGACGAAAAAGGTACTGTTTTAGGTGCAGCTTTAAGTTTTGATGCATGGGATGAACCTGAATGTACGGTAACATCAAAGCTCGCAATTGTTTTTGAATTCTTGGAATTTCTCGAGGGACCAATAAGAGAAAACAAATTGCCTCGAGGCAAAGGAAAAGTTTACCATTGTTATATGATGGCAACGAATGAGAATTTAACTCCTGCTGAAAATGTTATCATTATGAATAAAATGGAAGAAGAATGCCTCAATTTAGCTCGTTCTAAAGGATTTGTTGGTATTTTTACAACAAATACGAGCCCACTTACTCAGGTACTTTATAAAAAAATTTTCCAATATATTTAACAAATATATCTACATCATTTTCATGTAATATCCTCTATGTATAAAATTACAGTAAGAAATTTTTACTTATTATTATTTTTAAAAAACAATTCTGTTATATTCTTTGAAACTTTGATTAAATCATTAGTAATCTCTCAATTAAATATCAATATTATAATAAAATATTATAGAGAATTACATCTGTCTGGTAAAAAGTTTTGTTACTTTTCAGATTTTTCTGAGTTATTTTTGATACGTACAAATATAACATTATTTTTTTAAGAATTTTTTATAAAAACAATTTTTTGCTGTTGAGACAACTTTTGCTTCAGGCCAACTAGCTCTTATATTTACCTCAACTCAGTCAATATTAGACATCTCAATGAGAAAATGTTCATCAAAGTCTAGAGTATTATATAGAGATCATAAGAAAAAATTATTTTCACAAATTTATCTGTTAAGATTAATTTTATTTTTCACCTTGTCAAATTACTTGAAGAAATCATTAAATAGTAATTTTTTTATTTCAGCAATTGGGTACTGATATTTATAATTATGAAGTATTATTAGATTATCAAGTAAACCAATATGTTGCACCTGATGGAACAAAACCTTTTGGAGAAGCTCCTGATGATCAGAGAGCTTTATGTTCATGGAAAGTCATCGAATAAATCACAATTCCAAGAAATATTGTTGTAAATAATGAAATAACCAAAATGTGGACTTTAACATTCTTATTCATAAAAAACCTCAAATAAACAAATACTAAAATTTTATAAATATTTAATTAGTATTATAAGGAATAATAGTCAAATTAATGAAGACTATGATTGCTTGTAAAAGAGATGATTCGATTTTTAATACCATCAACATCATCATTAAATGCTAAAAAAACTTAGTAGTAATTGACTAATTAATTATCTATGTAGATTATGAAATTTGAATAAATATTACATAAAGTAGTTCATTCATTATCTTTGGTATTATTATCTTAATTGAAATCATTTAATTAAATCACAGATGTAATAATACATGAACCTACTTACGCAACATGCGTTTGGTAAAAAAAAGAGTTGATAGATGTTTATTAATATCTATTTATTATTCTTTGATTTTTTCTGACGAACAAAAATTTATTACTATTATATATATGATCGCTTAACAAATATTATATCATTAGCTAAATTATCAGGTTTATTTACAAATGTGTAAACGTAGTAGCCATAACGATCCATAAAGTCTATCATATACTGACGACCCTTACTCACATGGGTGTACTCAACAGAAAGTGCCTGAATAACATAAGCAAAACTAATTGAGTTTTTTTCTGATATTTCTAAGAATGAATTAATTGTCTAGCTAATTTCCATGCTAAATAACAGTATTTAAGAAATACTTTTATAAAAATAGTCGTGTGAATGGAAAAATATCTGTGTACCAGTTTTTTTTCATTTTACTATAATTATTATAATATTCATGATAAATAATAATATGTTTTTCAAATTTTTCCATGTGATTTGATCGATAAATGGTCAATGAGTACAGAGAAAGGACAAGTTTTGATTAATTACGTCTATTTATATTTTACTTTAATTTAAATAAATCTATATTTAAATTGCAATTATTAACTTCCTAGTGGGGAATTTTTAATCAATCTGTCACGGTCGAATAAAAATTATTTTCATTACATCTATTAAATGATAGACTACTCTTTTATGTATAGAATAATATTGATTCGAAATTCATTCAGGATAATGATCAGTGTCATGCATGTCTAGTAAATTCTGTTATTCCAGTAGGTCATGAAGTACATATGTCGTTTGATAAATTTGTAAGTCATAAAGTTATTGAGCATGGATATCACTCGAAATTTATAAGCATTAAAAATAATAATACTCTCCAAACCTTGATATCAACTTTATCAAACGGAATTGTTTCCAGAATTTCCATTTCATTCCCTTCTACATCAAGGCTTAAATAATCTACAGTTTTGACATTAACTGCTTTTATGTAAGACGCTAAAGGAAAGCATTGTACATCAACATGGGTCCCTTTGTGCGCAATATCTGGACTATTTTCCAATTCATTAGATTCAGAACCATGCGGGATATGAATACGTCCAATATTTTTAGCCATCAAAAAAGACGTCTATTTAAAATATAATCGATAAAAATAAAATAAAATCATTTAAATCATGTATGTATTGACTTACGTTCATTGGACGAGATTTAATACTGAGGCAAGTGGGCGAAAGATACGCTCTTCTATTTTTTTGTAGCATTAAACTAAAGTTCTCTGGATCCGCTTCAATTAAGATTCCAGTCCAATTGTAGAATCTTTCGAGGTTTAAAGTATTGCTCCGTGTTTCGCCGTCGTAAGCACCACATTCTATGAAAAAACCATTCATCTAAAATCATTAAATAATCGAAAATAAATTTTAGTAATCATTACCAACCTCAATTAGGGTCAATTTAATAAATGAATCAAAAGTAATGTAGACAAAATCAGTTCTTCTTTTCTTTAATTATTTATAGAAATAAATTAAAAAGCTAGTCACATAAATAAAATTAAAAGTTTAATTAAGAATAATGTTTCAATACTTTTGTTCATCTATTTAATTCACCCTATTTGATAAAAGTTATTTAAAATTAGTACTTTGTTATTAAAATATTCTTTGATAGCTTGTGATTGACCCATTGAAGGATCCTCGATTTCTGGATTCATCAGCTTCAAATATTCATAAACATAACTATCATTAGAAATTGGTATACTAGTATTATTAATATTCACTGGTCCGATAATCCAATTATCACGAATTTCATTAATCAAAAGAAGGTCAAACATAGACAAATTGTACTTGTTATACCACTTATCACCTTTTGAAAAATTATACCAGCGTTGATAAACTGAAATCACCAATTCATAAGATGAATTGTAATAGATTTGTATCAAATAACTAGCTTAAAAAAATTTTTTTTTTTTCTTGTAAGCAAACTTACAAAAAACATACCATAGTCATAAACATCTTTCATCACATAATGTTCATCACTTGGAAGAATAGCCATTTTTTTTCGACTTTGATGAATAATAATTATGGTAATGATAATTATTAAAACAATCATCATTAAGATCCATTTAGAATTTGCAATCATTTTTGTAGGTAGATTTAATCCGCTGCGGTTTGGCTGTAATAATAGATACACAAATAAAAATAATATCCAAAAAATTTTACAATAATCATTTAATAATTACCATTTTATTTCAATTCCATTGATTAATACATCAAAAAAATTCCGAATGAAACTTTTAAGAATTAAATTAAATTATTTACAACCAATGATCAATTATTTATTAAAAGAAAAAATGAGTAATTCGCGTACATAAAATTTTATTACATGATGATTAATATTTTTGATTAATCATTAAAAAAATAAAAAACAGCACACAATAGTATTGTATCCACGTGTCGAGCTAGACTGAAGGTTCACAGAGGTAGAAGTCAAACGTTTGTACACGCGATCGTTCTAAATTTAAAGTCGACAATAGTGTGTGACTAAGAAGTTAAATCTTACACTACATCCAACACTATTATTCTGACCGAATTTCAATTCATAGTGTGCTAAATACGTGTAAATAATTTTTTATTATTCTTTATTTATTATGAAATTTAAATAAAATCTTCCATAAACCAGTTGCCATAAAATATATTTCCGTACTATTTAAAAAAGATTCATTCTTGCTAATTTAGGCAAAATAAGTATAGTGTATATTCTGGTCTACACATTTTGTCAAGGCCACACAATGGATTCAATCCAATCGAGATAATGAGAAACTCGAGTATATACACCTGGAGTATTAGTCATTATACAAAGTTTTCCAAAGCTTGTTATTCCAACTATTTGATAAAGACAATTGTCCATATCAAATGTTTGAATTGGACCTCCAGAGTCACCAAGACATGTATCTTTTTTCCATCCTCCATATGGATCACCAGCACACATCATACTTGGTGTTACTCCATAAGGTATCGCAGTTGAAGAATTATATGCTAATGAACACTTGATATTGTCGATTACATTCAATTTAACTTTTAAAAGAACATCGCTGAAATCTATCTTATCTTCAAAAAATGAACCTGTCAACATTAAAGCAAATAGATTGATATGTATGATACTCGAATACTTTGAATTTCAAATGTTAGAGTTATTATCATGGTAAAAAAAACATTTGATTTCAAAAAAAAAAAAAAATATTATTGAAATAAAAATATTTTCATACTTTAGGTAAATATATGAATATTAATGTACACATCTCTTTGGAATGTTGGAATAAAAATATAAAATTGAAGCTGTTGTTTGCATAACGTTTTGACACAATGATAAAGCTATTTAAATAGTATTTGAAAGAAAAAAGAGAATTTTTTTTTCAAAAACTGTTTTTTTTTTTAAATATTGAAAATTTAATTTGTTAAGTTTTTATATTTGATTAAAAATCTAGAGAAATAATGTAAAAAAATATTCTAGTTACTATATTGACTCGAACCCCAACCAGTTGCCCACACCACTCGTGGAGTAGTTTCATATTGAGAATAAAGACATGCTGGTTGAATATTGTTATCAAAGGGCACTGATTCTGCAAGCTGTATTAGACCAATATCAAAATAAAATTTTGGTCTTTTAAAATCAGGATGACGAATGGTCTTTTTGATTTTGATAATTTTTCCTGAAGTATCATACAGACTATTGCTACCTAACTTAATAATCCTCGGCTTCCCTCTATAAAACAGATAAGAAATAAAAAAAAATATGATGCATTTAAATAAATCATACAATGATTAATCTATAGATAAAATATTTTCAGCATTGAAAAAATTTATACAAAAATTTTTTTACGCACGTTATTTATTAATTTTATAAGAAAATTCTTCAACTCTAGATTTTTCAAATTAAATTTGAGTACATAAATTTTTTTATCATAGATATTGATAACACTCAGTAAATAAAATATCCAAAATACCTACGTAGTTTTATCAATGATAATATACAGATAATAAATAAATTTTTAACTTTGCATAATGTTACATAATACATTAATAATTGAATATAAAAAAAAAACATTGCACCAGTTACTAGGAGAATAAATATTTTAAATAGTTTCTCTGGTATCGTGTAAATATCACAATTGATTGTAAAACTAATTATCCCTCCTCTTCATCTATCTCCTGTGTATAATATAACAACATAGCTTGTGACAATGTTGGCTTTTCATTCTTTAGTTGAAATTTATGAGATCAATAATACCACCTGTTGATCGTTTTAATCAATATTACTTTGAAACTTTTATTTATAATCAAATTTATTTATTGAACATTGATATTATTTTTTCATCATTAAGATTGTATAGTAGATTATTTAAGACTAAATTTGGCTGTAAAATATACTATGAAATTTATTTATTAGAATTTTAGCATCTTGAAAATTTTTAATTTAAATACAACTTTTTTTCAATGCTAGAAATACCTTTTAAGGGTAAAATTAATCAATGAATGGATACTTACAAGTAATTATGAGTACAATGGGCCGCAGTTAAGACCCAATTATTTGAAATTAAAGAGCCACCACAAAGATAAGAGACATTCCCATCATCTTTCCAACCAATTGCTACCATGTGAGGAAACTCTTGCAAATAAGCAAGTTTGCCATCAGCAATTAAAAAATTAATTCGAGGTCTACATACTGGTGGTAGAGGAATAGCTTCTAAATTTGTTAAACGAATGGTATAAATATTTTTCATCAGCTTATTTCGATATTCTCTACATTCTGAAAGCAGGTATATCAATTAAAAGCACACTCATAATACAGGAATTTATTTATAATATGTTAATAATTATATTATGATAAAAAAATTGACCTACTAATTTCTGATATTCGCTTCACAGAATTATTATTATCGTTATTAAACAAATCGATATTTGCAGCTTTGATATCAAATACTAAAAGTTTCAAAAATATTAAATAAAATACAAATTTAATCATGATTTTAGTATAGCTTAATATTAAAAGAGAAATTTTGCCGTTTTATCGAACTTAAGCTTTATTTACTATACATACTGACTTTGCAAATGAATAGGTTTACTCTATTGACAAAATGAGACATTTTAGTAAGTAAAGTTATTGCTAATTCTTAAAGTATTTATAGACTTGAGTCAATGACATGAACTGAATGATAAATTGATTTTTCTTTGTAGTAAGTATTGTTGTGATTATTATTAATAGCAAATATTTATTTATACATTTCCAGAAATATTTATTTTATTGCATAGTTCATAAATGAAACAATTCAAAAATACAATACCTTGTTATTAGTGAAGTAACAATTTTGTACTGAGTGATAATTTTGTTTTTCATGAATGTTTGGCTCGATAAAGAATGTTAAAAATATCGACTATAATTTTTTCTCAGTACTACAAAATTGTATAAATTCATAATGTTTTTTCATGTAGTAGTATTTATAAGCATTGTTTCCAACATGTAGATAAAAAGAAATAAAAGTAATACAAGATTGTAACACGGTTGAATAAATATATGAGTGAATAAAAAAAATACTTATAATCATAATTTCTAATGTATTATTTCTAGACCGTAAAATGCATAAAATTTATTCAATCAAGCATAATAAAAATATGCATAATACTTTTCTTTGTGATCAAAAAATGGATAAGACAAATAGGATTATTTATTATCAAGGTAATCAAGAGCATAATTTAATCGATGCAACTAAAAAATTAATCGTTAATATAAAATAAATAATTATCTTTTTTTTATGTATACACTTGTATGAATGTTAAAAGTCAAAAAATATCCAAATTTATAAGTAAATAAAAAATTTTTTTCACTGAAATCATGTGGTTAAATATTATCAACTATGATGATAAGACATTCAAGGCTTTGAAACAAAGAATTTATTCACTAAAATCCATCATAAATAAAGCAAGATAATAATTGATGTTGCCAACTACTATCTAATAGCTTTTTAAGATAAAAATATAAATAAATAAACGACTAATTGGATGATAAATATTGCACATCAATCATGAATGATAAAGAAGAAGAGTAAAATAATTAAAATTACACACACGTGAGGGCGCTGTTATCGAGAGTTGGCTCGAATGAAATCATCATCACATGATCAACAAGAGCTTAGTAATCGGCCGACAACAACGTAAACTTCAATCAACTTTAAATATGGCGACATTAGAACGTAATACATCTGATTGTTTTTCAAGTGATTTGTCAAAAACTACGATTTGCAATGATGAAACAATTACTACAAATGAGGAAAATCATGAAGAAGGAAATCCACTGGAATCTTCGTGGACTTTTTGGCTTGACAAGTGAGTTTTATATATTAAAGATATATTTATTTATTAGCCATAATAATTTTGTATGAAATCAATTATACTTGGATTAAACGAAAAAAATAATAAAGTTAAAGGTCTGTGATTACGTTGATTGATTAGAATAATTTTTATAAAATAAATATAAGTTTATCTAGAATTTATTAATATTCATGTTGATTATATATGATGGACAATTGAAAAATGATTTAAAAAAATTGTGTTTTTGTTTTAGGGCAGTACATGGAAGAACTGTCAACGAGTATAAAGAAAACTTGAAAAAAATATATACAGTTTCTACAATACAGAATTTTTGGGCTGTTTATAATAATATACCAAAAGTTTGTGAGATTCAAGTGAGTAAAGAAAATATTGATAGTTTGTATTTCAGCATAAATTTTATGTATATTGTAAAATATTCTTCTTTTATCTTTAGAACAGATATAATTATCATCTGATGAGAGACGAAAAATTGCCTCTCTGGGAGGAGGAGTACAATAAAAAAGGTGGTACTTGGAGATTCAGATGCCATAAAACAGATTCAGTAAGTCAACATGAATGATTATAGTTTTGTTTGTAAAGGATATCATATTTAAGTTATTTGAAAATAAAATTCCAGTAAAAAAGAAATTTTAAAAATAAGTATAAATAAATCGATATTTACATTTAAAGGAATTGGTGTGGAAAGAGGTTGTATTAGCTGCTATTGGCGAACAATTTAATGATCATATCTCCAAAGATGATGAAATTTGCGGTGTTACAGTATCTATAAGAGATAGAGATGATTTAATTCAGGTAAATAAAAAAATATTAGCATTATAATTACTAATCAACTTTCGTGTTTTAATAATAAATTTTTTTTTGTTAAGATTTGGAATAAAAATGCTGATTTAATACAAGAAAGTACTATAATACAAAAAGTCCAGAAGCTAGTACCCGATATTAAATTCCTTGGACACTTTTATAGATGTAAGTCATTTTAGTGATAAGAAATGAATAATTGGATTTTTTACAGTACAAACTTTTATTGTTTTTACAGCACATCAATCAAATTTCGCATACGATCGTTCTTAACAAAAAATATTGTATAATTATGACCAAACATTTTTTACAATCTTTAATTTTTTTATTCGTTGATGAATTTTATTGATAAATTTTATATGCCTAGTTAATAATGTTTATTATATATTCAGAGCATTCTAATCAAATGTTTACGTTCTTAATTATAGTAGTCTTTTAAGAATTTTTTTAATTAAAAAAATATATTGACATAAAAAAATTCATGATTTTTATATCGTTGGCTTTAAGAAATTACCAAAGAGATTAAAACTACGTCATATTTGTATTTTTCTTTTAAATACATAGAATTTTTATTCATTCCTGTTAGGAAGAGTCATCTTTGAATTATGGAATGACGACAGTAATTTATTATTAATAATAAATTTTTGATAATATCTAATATTTAGCTCAAATATTATACTAATTTCATTATAGTACATCTTAGGAAGTATAACATATTTTTTTAGCTCACATGAAAAATTTTTTCAAAAACTATTATGAGATATACAACATCTAACAGTAACTGCCATACATCAAAACTGACTTTTTGCATCTATTAAGTACACGAATGATATTACCATAATTTTGAAATGAATAACTTTTTTTTCATTTTGTGACAGTTTCTAATTTTTGATGATGACTCATTCATTTCACAAAGACATTAAGTTTTTAAGAATTGTTTACGCCAATAAATTAATTCAACTTCGATGAATATAAATTAGCTACTGTTCGATATTATGAAATTTTTTTTGTCTGCGTCTGAGAAATTCGATAACAACCAAAAAAAACCAATGAAGAAGGCTGAATACATTCTTAATTAATACTTTTAGACTAATCGACCTAAAGTCAACGATTTCAATTAGTGTTTAGATATTCATGTAAGTAAAAAAAAAATTTTTTTTATACAATCAAAGTCAAAATGTATTCTTGATGTCAAGGTTGTTCATTAAATAATCATTAATTTTTTTAATTTTTAATAAGTACAAAAAAAAAGAAAAGCATAGAAATCTCTAAATTTATGATCAATTAATAGATCATTAACCGAAACAGAAAGAAATTCAATTCACGTGGGATTGTGTTAAGTGAAAGTTTTATTTCTTCATTATTCTCGATTCAGCCATAATTTGTGTACAATATAATACGAAATACCTATCACCTATTCAGACTATCACTGTGCAATTTAAAGAATAAACGACGTGCGAAAAAGCTTCAAGGTTGATTTTTTTAAATACAAAACTGGACATGTATCATATAATAATCACGTTGAAAATACCACATTCTTGAATGAAACAAAAATCGTATAATTCAAGCAAAACATCAAAAAAAAAGGAAAAAAGCAAGATGATAAAATAAATAAATAAAAAAATGACTTGAAACAAAATAACTAAGAAAACGATTGGTGATTATCACAACATATTTTTTAAAGATATTTTATTTTATTAAATTTAGCTGATCGCGACGTGAATATTTTCGTGGAATTTTTGACGGCGAAAGATTTCCTGTTATTATAAGGATGGCGCCAACTGTCGGGTGCGTGGGCTAAGCCTAGTGTATTCATGTGTCAATAACGTTCTTTACATTCCAGCAGTTTATAAAAATATTTACTTGAACATTTCAATGTAGGTAACAGATAGGTAAAAAAGGTGGTAAATAAAATTTTAAAAGAAAGGGATAACTGGTATTGATTATGTGAGTTTTTCACGAAATCAGTTTTTAAATTTATGTTTTCCACATTATTGTGAACCTGATGTTTGTGTCGAAATTAATAGCATCAATATAGCCATACTCGCACGGTCCAGACACCGGTTTTATATTACTGAGTAATTAATTTAGGCAGGAATCTCGGAACGACCTTTCGAGGACGGAGCCATGGCGCCTGCTTATATAAAACAAAAAAAAGACATAACGGATCACATTTATCTCTTTACTCCTACTGACATTTTTTTTATTTCACTTACTTTTTATCGTCTCTTCATCATTTATAAAAAAAGTATTTGTAGTTTGGTATTTTAAATTATTCGTATTGAGTTCAATTTATTATACATACATACTGTATCTATTACAAATGACGTAATTTGGCTTAAATTAAACTTTTAACACAAAAGAATAACTGACAAACCGGATGTGATGAGATAAATTGTATGAGTGAAATGGCAATCAGGAAAAGGAAGTGTCACTCTTGGTCACTACAACAGTCATTGGCTTCAAAATAATTCTCTTGTTGAAAAAAAATTAGTTTTTATATTTTATATATTAAATGTCAACAATCATTTAATTCAAAAAGATGATATGAAAGTGAAACTATTCTGCAAAGTAAACAAAGCTTGAAAAAAAAATCACTCAATCATTGAAAAAATTGTTGGTATTTCTCTACCAACATGTATGCAAAAAAGGCAAGTTTGTTATATTTGACATTTTGCATTTAACGAAAAAGAACTCATTTTAAAATCAATTTTAAGTTAATTAAGTCAAATATTTTTTCAGTTGTATGCAATAAATAACAATTAAGAGTTACAACTCAAAAAAATGTCTGATACGATTAATTAATTGAATTATAATTTAACTATTAATAAAAATTATTTTAAATAACCTACAATTATATTGTTTTTACATAATGGTAAAAAGTTCAAAGGATGTGCAAAAAAAAAAAGAAAAAAATAAATAGTCAAAAAATACTAAGAATTCTTTAGTACCAATGACGGAATAACCTACGCCAGTGGAATTCCCCGCACTCCGTAAACTTGACCGACAGCTGCGATTAATAGTTGAGGTATGGAAAAAAATCATGAGATCTATTCAATTTTACTCAACAATGTTACATTTAATTCATTTCATAGCCTCTAAATCGTCGTTTTAATTAATTAAGACCATTTTTCTCTCTCTCAATTTACTCCTCCAAATATTTATTTTTAATTCTCTAAATAGAAAACAATTAAAAAATTTTTTCAATAAATAAAGTAAGTTAATAAAAAAAGTCACTCCTTGAATTATTGTGATGAGCAAATAATAATTGGCATTGCTTAATTGTAACAATTAAAAAAAAAAAAAAGAAATTTAACGTAAGATGATATAATTAATGGTATGACAACTGCTGGAAATAAACATTACAAATAATTAAACAATAAAAAAAATTAATTTCTTTACACTCTTTTTAACGGCTTACGAAAATTAATGGACATTCCTAAATCATTACTAAAAGATTTACGAAACACAAATACAATTAACACTTTTAAATTTCGAATAAAAACGTATTAGATGATATACGAAAATATTCTTGACGTTATGTTTTTGTCGAAAAAATCAAATAAACTAACGTTGTTGTTTTACAAGATTTATCTGTCGTCTCTTAATTATTATCCGCGAGTGCTATAATAAGACTTCTTATTGGTTAACATTAAAATAATAAGGAATATGAAAAATTCAGAAAAACAACATATATATAATTTATTAAATAGATAAATTGGTTTTTTATCCACTCGTCAAGCATGCATTTGATGGACGTAGTGTTTGATAATAAAGTAGTCACATGTGTTTGGTTAATGAATAGGATAAAGTTTTTCTTGAACTTTGAATGCAAAAAAATTCTAAATCACAAAGTTATTAATAACAATACAATTTACTTTTATGTGTATGAAAAAAAGAGAATAATAATGAATAAAATAAATAAATAGTTGAAGCAGATTGTTTTTCTCAAGAAAATTTCAGCATAGTAATGAAGAGGTAAACAAAATTATTAGTGACTTCATAAAATTTTTTCTATAATGCGTAAGAATTTTTCCTGCGTGATAAAAAATAATATAATTCATGGAATTATTTATATTTTTTTATGTATTTAGTTTAATCTTTAGACATATCTTTGAATATTTATTTTCAAACACCAACCTCATAATATCAACATAATATCTGTGATAAAATGATCAATTTATTCCATCTCCTATATATGAATATTTACGGATACATTGTGAATAAAATTATATATGTTTAAATGCATCATCAGGAAAAACTCCTAAATTCAATTCAAATGCACTGTGATATGAGAATTTCTATTTTTAAGATAAGGTTTTATAAAACTATCAATAAAATGAACAATAAAATTTTTTTATTGTTTTTTTAAAAAAATTTTTATTAGCTAAATTCATTTTTTATCAACTCCTTCTTATGCAGATGGTGTTGTTCAACTGCATGTGTGAGAAAGAATTTTTTTTAATTAGGAAAAACCAAGATTAGGTGATGAACAAGACTATTTTATTTTTGGAGTCATCAAGATGCTCGAATATTATTCAAATAAATTATGAGTTTGTATAATCACTTACATTTACAATATGTTTTTGATTAAAAAAACTTCTTTGTTTATCAAACAAGTGATAACCCTAATTTCTTTAGATTACTCCAAAACAAACAAATCTATTGTTATTTAATAAAAATTTTTAGCATGACAATTTTTAGATTTTTGACAACTTTCTTTTTGTTTCCGGTATAATTTAAAGCACTTTTACTATTAAAAATATATTAATAAATGTCAATGATCTACTATTCACAAAAGTCCTTCATAAAAATTCATAAAAATACAAATGCACTTGAAGGAACAAAAAAAAAATCGTCTTCATTTTCTAGGTGTAAATATTTTCATACACTTATGCAAATAACGTAATCATGACAGTATTTTTAATGAAATGTCAATGACATGAGCGAAACATAAACTATCCAAGTGTAAATTTATGAATATTTGAGGAAACGCAATGAGCTCAATGGAATGCGGAACGAGGTCAAATAAGTGGACGGTCAAGGTTAAATAATATCGTCCCAAGAACTTAATCATTTAATCATTCGAAATAATTTGTAAATTGTGATTATGTTTTATTTATTAATCATGAAAATTATGAAAAAAAAAATATTTCTAAAATGACACAATAAATGGCTGGATAAAAATTTTCTTAAATTAATGAAATTGATAAAAAGATATCGATAGTTTGTAATGACAATCTTAAAAATTTTTTCACAGACTGACGCCACTTTTTAATCAAATGTCTGTTGAATTGATACGCGTTGTATCTTCGACAATTTCCGAAGGCCCCAAGGCCAACAAAAAAAAAGGATTTTTTTTCCATTCGTTCGTGTAAGGTGGCAAGGCCACGATTCATCAAAGAGGTCGATGTATTTTCAATGACTGTTAAAATTTATTGATTTTAATAGATAAATTTCGACTTAACATCGTAAAGTTACTGACAAAAATAAATTTTAGTATCGTTTTTTATCGCTTTTATATTGTCAAATGCATATATTATTGAACATCTACATTATTAGATTTACGGGATATTTTTAAATTATTCATATTTTCAAATATTTCGATACACAATGATTTGGTAAACAGATTAAATGACCTAGAGATTATACCATTGATTTATTTATAATTTTTTTCACAATGGCATCAATTTATAAATGATTTTTTTTCTATTTCGATTACAATATTTTGAACTTTGACTTAAGATATAAATCAATGATCCGAGGGGGCTTGAAAAATTATAAGAATTGTGAGTTGAATTAAAATTAAAAAACACTTGTTTCCAATGATTCTTTGATTTTAAATCAAATTTTTAAATTCAATCAACACGAGTATTCTTTAAATTAATTTTTGAAAAACCATTTTCATTTTAAAGTTATAATAAATCGATGAAAAATAAAAAATACGATGAAGAATCATTTTTACTCCATAAATAATTATTTAAAAGAATCAAAAAATTTTATTTTAATAAAAATGACACATAATTAATGTAAATATTCAGTTCTATGAATAACAAATAAAAAAATTATCTAAATGATATCATTTTTCCAGGACTCTATTCTTGCATCAAAAAATGTAAATTATTGATCATAAAAAACAGATAAAACATTTATTGTCATCCTCAAATGTTCGAAGATACATTTAGAAATTAAACACAGGGTGCTCTAATCAAGCTTATTACTGCAATAATTAACAGGCAATTCTAGTTTAAAAAAGTTCGATTGCTTTCATTATTTTTTGTTATTATACATCTTGATGATAAGCATTAGCAAGAATCAAGAAAAAAAAATTTATTTAAACCAAACTGATGGCTAATTCCAACCTTATTTAAAAACTATTCTATTTTTTTATCTCGACTAATTCGAATGCAATTTGTCTAGACTGTATACTGACAAAAACTCCAATCATTTTATAATTGAGTTTTTTAAAAACATCAAAAATTAATAGTACCATTTATTACAACATCAGTTTTTATTTAAATTCCGTTTAAATGCAATTTAATTTCATATTCTATTATTATTAATATATTTAAACAAACAAAAATTTAATTTTTTTTAGAATTAATTTTCTATTGTATCTAATATAAAACAATAAAATAATACCAGTTTCAATTGTCATTTAATAATTGAAATGCAGCATTGTTATGAACTGAATTAATAACAAGTCTAGATAATTGTCAAAGGTTCAATTATTCTATAACTGTTGTTTCAATAACAACAAAACAATGCTTATCTTATTTTTAGATCCTTTTTAAACAATCAAATGTATATTTAATTATTTAAATAAAATTTCAGATGGGAATTGATAAAAAAAACTCATCTCAATAATTATTGAAATGACATTAAACTCAAAAAATTATGAAAGTTTCTAACATTGTTATAACTATAAATTTTTATTCAAACAAAAAAAACAATAGAACTTAGTATGCTACATAACTATGAAGATATAAGGGGTATGAGAGTGACAAATGAGCTGATTAAAATGGGGAATTTTAGGCTACTGAATGTGATGACGTTGATGGTTAGGAAGCACAACAGAAAAAAGATTTAGTGACGTCAGAGGCAGAAAAATTTAACGTCTACCGAATTTTAATTTGGGACTGGAGTGAAAAGAAGATGAAGAAGAAGAGAAATACGTACGAGATACGAAAATGGGTGGTGTGAACAAGTTTAAGCATAAACACGACATCAGACCGAAGGTAAGTCGACTAAAAGAGTGGGAGATGCTTCTAACGTGGATCATCAGCACATAAAACCGAACCACCAACAAACTCTAGCTCAGTTTACGTTCAACGATCCAAGTGAAAACAATTGTTTAATTAATTTAATATTTAAAGTATTTTTGTGCTAATTTATGCACTCATTTTATTATTGATTTATTGTTTACTTACCGACCTAAATTGTGAATAAGTGAACCTACTGTGTCTGACAATTGTGTCAAGAACAAATCATTATGAACACAGAAACTGGTAGAATGTGTACTATCATCTTGATACTGGTGACTGGTTTATGGTCCCAAGTTGACGGATCTGCAATTCCCATGTGGGAATTTTTATCTAAAAATGAAAAAGTAAGTGGTTATCTATATTGTTACAAATAATTATTTTATTTAACTTGAATATAAAAAAATTAACTCAAAGATTGAAAACATTTCCCATAATTTCTTTTAACTTTCTCCGAACTATCTAGCACGATCTCGATTCATCTTAGAGTTCGATGTACCTTTATTATTATTCGGATAAATACAATACTCAATACCTGTAAGTGTTCTCGACCGTAAAAAATACCATTCAGTTATCATAAACCTAAACCTATTTTCTACCAATACCTCTTTATTAATTATAAACAATCATTGCAATGACATTGCTATTATAGAATGCTAAAAACAACTAAAATTTTTATTGACAATTTAAAATAATAATGATCGGAACAGGGAGATTTAACAATTCAGTGATGCTTTATAATATTCACCAGTTTATCAACACTTTACTCCTTCCATGAAATTATTAGTTATTTAAATGTTCTTGCATGTATGAATAACGTAAGTCTTTATAAAGAGGAAAGTTCTTTTTTTCTTTTTATTTGAGATAAAATTTATTTGTTTACACTAAAGAAATTCTCTAAACACGACTTTCTCTTGATTTCCGGATAGCCTCAGTATGACACGCTTCTTCAAATCCATGATCTGTATGCCTGATTATGAATTTTTTTTTGCATTCTTACTCGTGCTTTATCTAAACAATATAAAACGAATTGTTGTAAAAAGAAGAAAAAATAAAAATAGCCGATTGCAAGGCGATACGCACCATCAACGACGTGTGACATGCATGTTTAAATTATCCTGTTACACATTGTCGAGTTTCACCGGACGTGACTAAAATTCATGAGGAATCTACTAGTGACATCAATAATCTATTACATAAATTAAGAATGAAAATAGTAAAAAGAATGTTAATCAACTTTACTAACGGGTGACCGAATTCTAGCGGTATTTTTATGGTATTTATTAAATAAATAATTTTTATTTGTTCTAGGTGAGTCATCTCTACCGACTGTTTAGCAAAGAGGTTGCAAGTTATTGCCTTGATTCATCAATGCCGGACTGTAATAAAAATCTCCTCGTTTCTGGTCTTCGACATCTTTCTAATATGGATGAGAATAAACTGGATGAACTTGATCCTTATCAACGAAATGCCAATTTCAAAAGTAATTTTGCTACTTTATATCCAGTTATTTAGAGCTACTGTAATTAACATTCAGAAGAAATTTATGTTATTCATCGATATAATTACAGTTTGGCGAACACTCGTTGGAAACTACCAGCAAAACTCAAGAACTGATCATGAATCTACGGGAAATAATGCTGGAGACGATCCTCTAGGTAATTATTACCTCAAAGATTTTATTATCTCTAGTATTTGAGCACAAGTAAATAAATGTACTGAATCCACCCATATTTGTAGTTTCAAAACAAAAAATTTAAACGAGGTCACTTTTCTTAAAGAACCGTTGGCTCTCTTCAAGATCGTGACTTTCACATTTTCTCTACAAGTTCATGTATGAATTGGAATAATCAATTGAATACGGGCTTGATATTGATATTAAATTATCATTTTTACTAATAATTGAGCTTTTAAAGATTATTTATTAAATTGGATCAAATTCATTAAAGAAAAAATGAATTTTTGAATTTTAGTATCAGGTGAAAGTGACCAAAATAGTCTTGCGGAGGAATCATCACTAACAAAAGACTATGTAAAACCTATAGATCACGAATCATATGTAGTTGGACCATTGGTAGTACGAGTATTCCCGGATGGACGTCCTGTTCCTGGTGATGATCAACGACCGTTACCAAGAGATGAAGATCTGGATGATTTAAAATACTCTCGAGTCCCCTCAGTATCGGAACTTCAAGCGAGTTATGATAGGTTTCCATTAAAAAAATATAATTCACCCCAAGCTAATTTATTAGGATATCCATTTCGAGTTCTTAGATTTGTAAGACCTGTTCAAAATTATTATGGCACTTCAATTTTTCCTGATCGTCACAAACCAGAGATGAAATACTTGCGGTTTTATTGAAAATTCAAAAATAATGTTTAAAAAAACTTTTATTCAAAATTAGTAATTGGATAAAGTCGTAAAATATTATTTAATACTGATAAAGTGCCAGACAACTTACGACAAAATAAGATTATTATCCATTTCAGAGATAAGTTCAGTCACCTTCTCAAAATAATTCATTTCAACAATTCTTATTATTTATTTATTTCTACTTTTTTTAGACTATCATCATCTGTACTGTATTTAGTAGACTTTAAATAGTAAAACTATCATAAATAATTATCATCATCATCATTATTATATAATATTTTCATTGTAAATAGACATTTCATCATTCGGCATATTTTGTCATAATAATTATAATTAATGCTACTGATTTTTATAGTTATAACTATAGATGTACTGAATTTAAGTAATGTGTGATATTGCGTTGAGGCTCGTTACAAAATTAACTCTCGTAATTTTTAACAATAATACTGAAAACAATAACAATTTATTAGTAAAAAGCATTTTCGACGTATTTGCACCATTTGCATTTTTTTAATAAATATTTTATATATTTTGTGATAATTTAATTAAAATACTGAAAACAACTCCCGTTACATTTAAAATTTAATAAATTTTTTTTTTTAAATTATATCATCGTCTTGTATTATAGAATCTGAAAAATTATTTGTTAAAAAATTTTCTAACAATTGTACAAAAAAATACAATAAAAATAAGACGTCTAAAATGAAAAATATTTATTTCTTAACATTATTTGATTTTTTTTATTAAAAGAAAATATATCAATACCTAGCCATTTAGTATATATGTATACTAGTAAAACAATAATATTAATGTATTATTTTTAACCAGTTTCAAAATGTAATTATAATGTCTTTTCTGTTGGGAATATCAGAATTCATCAAATCTATTCTTTTCCTATTTAAGTGAATAAGTAGCATTGTAATGGATGTATTAAAAATTCCTCAATATTAATGCAAAAACAATAGAACTGAAGGAATAGCATAATGACAAATAATTAACATTTTTATTACTAAAATAACTGGAATATATAATCGAAGTTACATTGATGGAACATTTATTTGAAATAAGTGAACGTAATAGTTTTGTTATATAATTGTAATCAGACATTGAAAACTTTAATAAAAAATTATATTTGCAAATAAAGATTTCAAGTTGAAAGAATAATAAGATGAATTCTTAGAATCAAGCATCGTAACTTTATATGAGACAATATTTTCAATAAAAAGTTAAGTACAGTATTCATAATTAAATAACACTTTTTGATTGAATTTAATCTTTTAAATAAAAGAAAAAAGGTTTTTGCCATTGTTATTTATGACTAAATATTCAATCATATTTGTCTTAATAATGGTTCAATTTATATCTCTATAAAGTACAACAGACTAATGTCCGGATGTGAATACTATACATTCGTCGTAATCTAATGATCAAAATAATAAAACAACTTACGACAGTTGACATGATTTACAAGGATTTAATAAAATAGAGAAATTGACGGTTTCAGGGTCTTTCTAATTAGCGGACCAACAGTTTACCCGGACGAAGAATAAATTAAAATAATATTAGCAAAAAAAAAGCAACAAGACCATGACGCCGTGTTAATTACCAACTGAACAGATGAAACAGACAATTGTTGTCGAGAGCGTAAAGGAGACAGTGTCTCCATCTTGAGTGTAACGAATTAATGATATACCCGGAAGAAAGGAATTGAATGAATCCAACAACTCCGGCTATCAACTTCAGTAAATGTTAAAACTCAGAGCTGCATGAAGCTTGAGTCAGATAAAAAAGGGCGGATGATTTTTCCAAGTTTTTTTTAGCGCAGTCGTGGATATTGTAATTCAGTTTAGTGTTAGAGTAAGTTAGGTACGATAAGTGAATGTAAAGAAATTCAAGTATAAATTCAACAAAAAATAATAAACACTTATCTCATATTCTCGGTGATACTTTAATCAAATATTACATTTATTACTTGGTAATTTTTTATATCAAACTATTGTACTTGAATCAAAACCAAGGTGTGCAAAGTGCCGAGATGTCTTATGAAACAAGTAAGTGAAACTAATGTTTTTTTACATTTTTTTAACGTAAAAAAACATTAAGATGTAAAAGCCAACTGTTTTAAGATTCTAAGATGTTTCTATTTTTAATAAATTTTTGTCTACTTTTAGATATGTAAATACTTTGCTGTCCTGTGTTAATTTTTTTCTTTTCTAACAACTTTACATTTTGTTGTTTGTACAAATCTTGTGTCAATGCCCTCGAAGCTTGTACACTCCGAAACACTGATTTAATTGTTCTTGTTGTCTTTCAAAAATACCTTAACCTGAATTGCTATAAGCTGTTTATTTTTATTTAAATTAAGCTGTTAAGATCTACTGTAACAACCAAATTTTGTAAACATAAAGATTTATCGTGTAATACAATCCTATTATTAAGTAATAATCATACAGAATCTTAAAATAATACAGGAAATGTGATGATTGGATTGTTGCCAATTGTAATAAATAATTTAATGTATTTCAGGATATATTTTTGCTGCTTTACCGCGTACCCAGCGTGGAGCTCCTTTAGTTCTTGGTGGTGATCCTAAAGGAAATAATTTTTTATACACTAATGGAAATAGTGTAATCATTAGAAATATTAATGTAAGAATGAGTAATTTACCTGATTGGTATACTTGAGTCATATAACATCTTATTCAATAGTAAATATAATATTACTAATTTTAGAATCCAGAAATTTCTGATATTTATACAGAACACTCATGTCAAGTCAATGTTGCAAAATATTCACCAAGTGGATTTTATATCGCTTCAGGAGGTAACTTTATTTTTAATTGTATTCTTGGAAATAAAACAATAAAATAAATATGTAATGTACCAAAGTATTTCTTTGTAGATCAATCTGGAAAAGTTAGAATTTGGGACACAGTAAATAAAGAACATATATTGAAAAATGAATTTCATCCAATTGGTGGTCCTATAAAAGACATTGCCTGGTCACCAGACAATCAAAGGATGGTGGTCGTTGGAGAGGGTCGTGAAAGGTTTCTTCACTCTTCTTATGAATTGAAAAAATTTTTTATTGTACAATTTACATTACTCAAATGTAAATTTGTCTTAAATAACTAAACATTAAATCTATTGTTTGCGTTTAATGAATAACATTAAAAAAAAATATGCACTTTACTTACTAAAAGTATTTGTAAAATTATAAATGAATTTTTTTCAGATTTGGCCATGTTTTCATGGCAGACACAGGAACTTCCGTTGGAGAGATATCGGGCCAAAGTAAATCTATCAACTCTTGTGATTTTAAGCCTAGCAGACCATTTAGATTAATAACAGGAAGCGAAGATAATACAATTGCCATATTTGAAGGTCCACCATTTAAATTTAAGTGCGTTTTCATTCATATCTAAATCTAATAATGAGCTAGTTATTTGATCAATCAGATCTATTAAGACATTATTTTTTTTTGTCTTAATCTAGAATGACCAAACAAGAGCACTCAAGATTCGTTCAAGCAGTACGTTATGCTCCAGCAGGCAATTTGTTTGCTTCGGCTGGTTTTGATGGTAAAGTTTTTCTTTATGATGGTAATACATCTGACTTTGTTGGGGAAATTGGTTCACCAGCTCATCAAGGAGGAGTTTATGGAGTAAATGCATTTTACAAAAATTTTACGCCTTAATTTTTTATTGTTTATATACAACTTTACACCAAGAAATGATTTAATGTAACATTTAGGTCGCTTGGAAACCAGATGGAACTCAATTATTAACTGCATCGGGTGATAAAACTTGCAAGTTATGGGACGTAGAAACACGTACAGTAATAACTGAATTCAACATGGGATCAACAGTTGATGATCAACAAGTGAGTTGTCTTTGGCAAGGAGAACATTTACTATCAGTATCTTTAAGTGGCTTTATCAACTATCTAAATGTTAATGATTCATCTAAACCGATAAGAATTATTAAGGTAAATAAATATATTAATCGAGAATGATCCAATAATTAGAAAACAACTAAAAATAATTCCATTATTTATTATAGGGCCACAATAAACCAATTACAGTATTGACTTTAAGTCCAGATCGAGAAACAATTTATACAGGGTCTCATGATGGTTACGTAACCAATTGGAACGCAAAGACTGGAGAAAACAATCGAGTTTCTGGTATAGGTCATGGAAATCAAATAAATGGCATGAAAGCTACTGGAAATTTACTCTACACTGCTGGTATTGATGATACTATTAGAGCTATTGATATGGCTACCAATACTTATAGTGAAGCTTTAACTGTTAAACTTGATTCTCAACCGCGTGGACTTGATGTGTATAATGATATTGTCATTACTGCATCAATTCGTCAAGTAAAATAATTTTTCTTAATTTCTAATATACTTTTTCGTAATTGTTAAGTAGTTAAATTGATGAATAATTTCAATGATTTTAGATAAACTTGACACAAGAAGGTCGAAAAGTATCTAAGCTTCCAATCGATTATGAAGCATCCTCAGTGAGTGTAAATCAAGGAAATGGTGATGTAGCTGTTGGGTCATCATCTGATAATAAAGTTTATATTTATAATCAATCAGGAACCAATCTGGTTTTCAAAACCGAATTAGAACATCTTGGACCAGTAACTGACGTTGCATACAGTCCAGACCATAAATATTTAGTGGCATGTGATGCCAACAGAAAAGTCGTTCTCTATGTTGTGCCTGAATATAAGGTAATTTTATCAACATATGACTTGTAGTATCATAGTCTAATAACTCCTTTAATGTTCTGCTTATAATGATTTTTTGGATATAAAGGGAGTAAGTATTGGAGTTTATTTCTTCGCATCTTTCAAGTTAGCAGAAATTATCATATAATTTATTCAAAAAAATCATTGTTAATTAATGTTAATGATTTTCAGCTCGCCCATAATAGGGAGTGGGGCTTTCATAACGCCAGAGTGAATACCGTTGCGTGGAACACAGACTCTACAATGGTAGCTAGCGGAAGTTTGGATACTACGATTATCATTTGGAGTGTAACGAACCCTGCGAAACATACCATTATTAAAAGTAACTTAATTTACATAAACATTTACTAATCATTTACATGAGTCTTATAGCAATTGTACTAAATATAATATTTTATATTAATTCTAGATGCCCATCCTCAAAGTCAAATTACACGCCTGGTGTGGCTCGATGATGAGAATTTAATTTCCGTTGGCCAAGACTGCAATACTAAATTATGGCGCGTTGAAAAAATTTAAATATCAAAAAAATTATAACATATATAAATGATTGATGGAAGCTTTGAGTGAATGAAATTTTACTGCATTTTTTTATTTATTTAATATGAATTGTAGCATACAAATATTGTATATTATTTTTGAATACAATACTTGATATACAATTGAATCATTTTATAATCTATATTTTTGGTAAGTTTTATTGATCTCACAATTGAGTCAAAAGATAGGAAAGTTGTTCATTATCTTAAGTAACCTGATAATCGAAGGCTTTTCTCAGTTGAGAATTATTAAATATCAACAGCGCTAAAAAACAAAATCTATAACAATTTGAACACTATAAGGTTGTAAATCAAACAGTTTTATTAATTAATTATGATAAAACGGAATTTTTTTGTTTGAGAGATTCCTAAAAATGAATTATTATTGCACATACTTAAAAATTATTATTGATATATCAATGGTTTGATGTCCAAATAAAATTGAAAAGGAGTAAAAATTGATAAATTAATAACTAAAATATTTAAGTAAATAACTTTACTAATGCAATATGTTTTTGTCTTTTTTTTCATCAATGGCATTTATTCTCGACAAAAAGAACAAAAAAACTAAAATGGACTAGATATCCAAACAACAGTCATTTCAGGTCACGTCGAGCTATTTACAATTGACTTGTAAAGAATTATAATTTACGTAAAAATATTATTTTATCAGTTATTATACTTGTAAGTATTTTTACTGTTTCATTTTTTTTTTCTATTTATAGGCACATTATGGTGATCTTAAAATAAATCTTAATTTGTCGTTAAAAACGGAAAAAAGACTTCTCTGAGAATTACTATTTTCAATCATACTGACAAGCAAATTTGATCGTAAAAAAGATTTCTTTCGTGGAAAAAATTGCATATATTTTTGATATTAATAAGTTCTTTTTTAGTAAAACTAAATAATTATTTAATTACTACAGTGACTAAAATATAATTAACTTGCTGATAATTTGAATTATTTTTACATATAAATACTCATAAAACGAAACAATAGTACAAAAGTATTATTTGCATTGAAAAAATGAAATTAAAAACATATAATATCTTTATATATTACGATGTATTTTACTTAATTTCATTAATTCATCGCAATACAACTTATTTATATTTTAGTCCATGCTTTTCACAAATCAACTGTAAAACTTTGGTTTTTCGTATATAAAGTTGAATATATTAAGACATTGTAGAAACCTTTTTATTGGATTTAATTATGCCGTGATCCATTATTAAATTTTGTGCATTTTGTTTTTTGTTTACGTTAATTATTTACAAGTTATAATTACAATAACAAACAAATAAACTAAAAAATTTGTCTTAAATCCAAGTAAATTTTAAATCAGCATAATAATCAACTAAATAGGGATATCTTAATTTGAATCTTCTTACTAATAAATGTGAATAAATTTTTAGATAAATTTTTTTTTATTTTAGGGTTTCGTAAGACTATATCGCGGACGTTTCTGAGGTGTCGCAACAGGATGTCTATATGAAACATGTTTTCTGAGAGCATCTCTTGATCTGGACACATGAGAACAAGCTGAACAACTGTATGAACTATTACTATGAGTCTCCATATGAACTCGAAGATTGTATTGATTACTCAATTGTTTTCCACATATTAAACACATTACACTAGTTTTATTACACATTTGATTGCCTCTGCCAGCAGACGAAGTTAAAAATCTAAAATTAGTATCAATACTAGGATTCTTAACGTCATCTAAAATATTTTGTTCTTCATTGACTGAAACATTTTCAATTTTATTGTCAGAGATCAAATTTTTTTCTTTACTCTGTGAGCCATTTTGTGAGCTTTGTTTCTTTTCTTTTTGCGCTAATTTTGCATTTATAGAATAGTAAGGTTTAGTTTTAACACTACAGGGGATTTCTACTTTATCAAGAAGTGAATCATCTTCCACAGATTCGTTAGAATGAGCAATAGATTCGAGTATTTCGGTTGCCGGTGTTTCTTCGTTCGTTTCTTCTTTTATTGTTGGTTCCTGAGTTAATTCGGTGTCTTCGTGAGTGCCCGCTGGATGGATGAAGAGTCCATTATCACTATGAGAATTTTTCTGTAATAAAAATCATTCGTGTTTGTTTAGTTTATTTAATTATCTTTAGCTTATTTAAAAAAAATTATATTAAATCACACTACGGTCATTCTTATAATATTTTGAATATAAATTAATCGCAGCATTCAATTTTAAACCAGAAAAGAATATAAATGAACAGTAATCAAAACTTTTTTGTCTTGTCTTACTTTTTTAAGACTCGAGTATATTCATTTGAGAGATATATAAATTTTAACATATTTTTAGTTACCTTTTTTGCTAAGAAAAAACGATTAGTTGAATGTAAAAGAAATGATGATACTCACATTAAAAATCAAATTTAGAAATGAATACACACGTGTCTTAAAATTGTGCATAAATATAAAGCCAAAATCGATGAAGCACTTTAAAGTCGCGAGAGTTTGAGGGAGTTAGGAAAAAACCATGTAACTTGTTTTAATTAAATAATTATCTTAAAAGAAAAAAAAAAATCATTAAAGAAAATAAATTTGAACGATAACAAAGCCGCTGTTTTAATTTGTTAACTGAATTAAATAACAGAATGTTTTCAAATTATTTGTTTTTTCTTAGCAAGTCTGCACGTTACCAGAAAAAAATGTGCATGAAAAGATCTATTTTATAGAAATATACCTGATGAATTCATTCTATGGGGTAAGGATCCACGGGATGCATCCACTTGCATTTAGTTGCAACACACACAACGATCTTGATCTCGTGTATATCGTTTTTTTTTTTTATTTATTTTATTTTTTTAATCGTCTCTTTTTTTTGTAAATATTTTTTAATTCGTTTTTTTAAATTCATTATCGTTCCTGCATCAACGTCAACGTTATGTGTACACCCGGATTTTTGTTTCAGTTCCTTCAGTGAAGTCTCGAGGAACGACAGTGAATGAGTTTAAGTGACCTGAACAAACAACACGACAGGATAATAACAAATGATATATTAGAAATGATTATAAGCGTGGCTTTTAAATGCTATACTTTAAAAAAAAAAAAATTCAACCTTCATCAAAAACAAAACAACTACATACTATTGTTTTAACGTTTGGGTTAGTTTTAGAATTATTTTTAATGCCCTAAAAAAATTAATTCTCGCGACTTTATTATCTACTTCTAACTCGATTGTCTAGACATTATTATAGTAATGATGCGATTATGATATTATTGTTAATACGTTGGTTACTAATAATTCATTCACTTGTTTTTTTTTTTATATATATATTTATATATAACGTGTTTGTATGGTAAAAGTAATCAAACAAGTAGCATAAAACAAAGCAGATAACTCAGTAAAAAATATTCTTACCCCAGCAATGTCCGCAAGTCCACGTATGTGCAATGTATCTGCCATTGCTAAAAGTGCAGGTAACTGTTCTTGATAAATATTTACTTCTCCATTGTACATAAATGTTACTAGGGCACATAAATTTGCATACTCCATACCTGGTAAAACAATTACTGGGTGCTGTAGATTACTTAAATCCTGAAAAGCAAATTGGTTACAAATAATTAAAATCTTCTAACCATTATTTTCCTTCATTTTAACGTTGATATCTAAATAAAATGTGATGACTCTTTCACTTGCGTTTATTGAGAATTATAAAATTGAATTTTTTCGAGGAAACAATAATATTTTTGTTATGATAACATTTCAGTTCTGGAACAAATTGTCTTGTCTACGAATGTTCAGTCAAATTCAGGCGAAATATGTTGAAAACCAAGATTTAAATTATGATTATAATAAGCTAATGTTAATAAAATGATTTAATTCATAATGAATACCTTAAATAATTCTTTGAAGTAATAACTGCAAGCTGATAAAATAATCCTGTGAGCGCGGATATGTCTACCACCAGCACTAAGCGTAACATCTGTCAAATAACCTCCATCCAATAATTTTGGTAGTGTACTAAGCAATGTATTTTGAAAATTGTGCCATCTCAAGCAAAACTGTTGACCTTCCATAACTGCCTATATTAATAAATGTCCAAATGATAAAAAAATTTACTAATTTATTAATTAATTCAATTATTGACAACAATATAAATTCATAACAGATTACAGATTCAATGAAAGGTTATAATTTTTAAAAAATTCCCTTTGCTTTAATTTAAATAAGTGAAATAAATGAATAAATAATTAGTAGTATTTCCAAGACTTTATACAATAAATAATTTAGTGAAAAAATATAACAAAATTATTATAGAAATGAGTAAATCATAGATTACCAAATAAATAGCAGTAAAAATAAAATTCAAAAGACGGAGAAATTGGCAAAATAGTGCAGTATTAAAAGCATTTTATAATAGTTTATTAATAGTTAAAATACTATTATTGACTATAAGAACTTTAAACTCAAAGGTTGTGTGTACCTACTTGAGATCTGAAAATAGTGTAAAAAAAGTATTAAGGCACGACTTTTATTCGACACAGACGTTTAATGTGAACTATTGTACGTGACTGTGATACATTTAGTTACTTAGTGCTTAGTAAGTCCGAGATTCGAGAAGTGAGACAATCCTATTTATTTAATCAGCCCGTAGGTTCCAGCCAAATCTATTATTGTCTTCAGGTATGGCTGGAGGCTACGAGAATGTATGAGACATTTGGGCACACGCGTCATTCTATTATTTGACTTTGTTACGTATTTTTTTTGTTATTTTTTTTCACTAAATTTTTTTAAAATTTGTTTATTAAGTAAATGAACTTAACCCTTTATAGTTTTAATTATTCTCTCATTCACACCTTTACACAATTGCTGAAAGTTTTATTTACAATAATTACAATTATTATCTACGACACACACTTTCACTTCACCTGACCAATGATCCGTTCAGGTTGCGTTATGAAAAAAAGTATATTTTGTGCAATCACACTATAGTAATGTCGATAAATCAATTACTGGATATCGATAAAATACCGACTAATGATTTTCTGAGTTGATTATATACCGACTGTAATAACATCTGTCAAATTCAAAAAACAAAAATTCTCAAAACAAAATGGTCAATTATTATTCTTTATTAAATTTCGATTGAATAAAAAAAATTATATAAAAGAGGAGTGTAAATTAAGTATATGTCAGATGAAGTATTTATATTATTGTATATTACTAAGAACATTTGGATCTTTGTTAATAAAATAATCAATATAAAAAAATTATAAACATCAATGTTCTCATTCGAATTTAAATTATCCGAATGGTGTGTTTTGTATAAAAAAAAATTCTAAAAATTGGAAAGAAAAATTATTAACTGATGCAAAAATTTATTCAATCAATAATTACAAAACAAACAGTTATTTGTCTTTCTAATATGGATTAACAAATACCAAGATAAGTTGAGCAAACAAATTTTCCTGTTTTCTTTAAATAATGCTAAACTCATGAAAAAAGCAAACAATTTTTTAATATTTTATCAACCAAAATGGTTCTGAATGACAAGTATGTACATATAGCAACCCACGAAGGTGGTAACACCTGCCTTAGCTACGAATTCAATAACAAAACATTTCATTCAATCTATGTTAGGCAGAAGGTGAAGTAGTATTTTGGAGAACGTTTTCAGAATTTAAACACCGAGAATTTAATAATGGTAAACAAAAAAACAATTACACATAGCTGAAAAAAAGCTTTAAACACTTTTTTGGGTTGGCATTTAAATAATTAATTTTTTTGTTGAATTTTCACAATAAAAGCATGCAAAAAGTAGGTTAGAATAATAAATATTTGAGTGAATATCATAGATAAAGCATCTAGTGAACAACAAAACAATTTTCAAATTTTGATTGATTAATTTCAGGGACTGCTTTCAATACTGCGTAAGTTACGTTCTAATCCAGATAAAGAGTTGAGGATTTTATTGCTTGGTTTGGATAATGCTGGTAAAACCACGATTTTAAAATCACTTGCTAGTGAAGATATAACTCAAGTAAGTATATTATTTATTTTAATAACATGTTTGTATCAGTGATTTATTGATGTGAATTTCCTCAAAGGTGACTCCCACTCAAGGTTTCAATATAAAAAGTGTACAAAGTGAAGGTTTCAAATTAAATGTTTGGGATATTGGTGGTGCAAGGAAAATAAGACCTTATTGGAGAAATTATTTTGAAAATACAGATGTTCTTGTGAGTAAAAAATTATTACTTGACTTTTATAGATTTTATGAATGCTTTATCAGTGCGGGTGTTCAATTTAGATAGTATTCATTTCGACTCGAAATACCCCATCAATTATTTCATACATCACGAAGATTTTTTGCTATGTTTTTATGGTTTCAACCAATACTAAATAGTGAATATACCATTTTGAACATTAAAATAAATTATCGTTATTTTAATTAATTAAATACACTTAAAATCAATCTTCAATTTGCAAATGATCACAATAAATCGTTTTTTAAATACCTGATCACCTACATTTATTTTATAGATTTATGTTGTCGACAGTGCTGATATCAAACGATTAGAGGAAACTGGTCAGGAGCTTTCAGAGCTTTTATTAGAAGAAAAGTTACGAGGAGTTCCTCTATTGGTTTATGCGAATAAACAGGATCTTGGACAAGCTGTATCAGCTGCTGAAATTGCGGAAGGATTAGGTTTGCATAATATTAAAGATCGCGACTGGCAAATTCAGTCTTGTATTGCTATAGAAGGAAAGGGGGTTAAGGTATGAGTTGGTTTTCTTTTTGCACTCACTCAACGGTAAATACCAACACGATTCGTTATATGATGTATAATTGAGCATGTAAATATGTTTTGCAGGAAGGACTTGAATGGGCGTGTAAAAGCATTAAAAAAAAGTAACGAAATATTAAATAAATTAAATCCTAAAATTTAATCGAATCGGAATGTAACATTGATAGAATTTTGTACATTTGACACTGTATTTGATGTCTACCTAATATTTACAAAGATCAATAAAGTGTACATATAATATGGGTAATACGATAGGAAGTCCTCTTAGATCATTAAGAGAGATTTCTTATCACTATTGCACCAGCATTACAAAATAAGTGCACGAATTCTAAATAATCAAATCCATTCTGATGAAAATATAATATCATTTAGAATAACAGATTGCACTTATTTTTTTAGTATTGTGAATACAGTCTGCCAATAGTGTACGTTGTTCAATGAGATAAAATAAAATAATAAATTTAAATCGTACTACTGTAAATCATTCAATAAATATTCATACTGAATTACTACTTATTTACGTTTCAGTCAAATCAACACTTTATATATTTAAACATTTTTGACAAAATATTGTTTGTATTCATCAAGTGTTAAACATGATAAAATCTTGTCATGTTTCATTCGTCAGCATAAATTGCTATCAGAATTAGTAATTACTCTTACAAATATCTTATCCCATTGATGATACAGCAGTTTACAGCTCATTATGAATAGCTTCTGTGGTTACACGGATCTCTTCTTCATGGAAATCATTACAATTGACAGGATATTTACTCTATAAAGTGAATTGTAAAAAATTAAATGTATTACTGAATAAAAAAATCCCGAAAAAACATTGCATTTTAATACTTACAAAACATTCATCATTCTCTCTTATAGCACCATAAAGATTCCAAAAGCTAATATTTGTCTTGCTACTGATTGCCCAGGCGGCTGGAAAACTACTGATTTTTGTTAAGCTACTCCGAAGAATACTATCGTTATGATCAATTGAATCTTTCGAATTAATTACACACAGAATGTGGGCTGCACACATTGGAGACTTTACTGCCCATTTATAAGCACGGTATGTCTAATAAAATATTATATTATAAATTAATGTATTATCTATGAACTATATTGAAAACATAATTGCTTACTTTCAAGATAGGTGATATGATATCGTTGTTTATGGTATGACTGAGTCGATTACTAAGCTCGTTTGCATTCACCCTGGACATAATAAATCCTTTCTCAGAAGCTAATTTAATTAAATCTTGAGCATATGCAACAGCAGGTCTAATATATTTCGCACTATCTAAATTCATATTGAGGTATCTTTTAGCTCCTGCATTTACCAGACGTGTAAGACTTTCAGTTGGTTTCAATGGATCGAATAGAGCAGTTTTTGGAAATCCTTGAGACTTGAGGAAACCATTACCAATAAGTTGAACTGTTGTTAAATAACGTGTTTGAACGTTGGGATCAGAAACATGCGAAAACCATTCTGCGACAAAATTAGTCAAAGATTTTATCCATCTTCTTCGGATTGATGGGTTCTCAAAACTTTCTAGGAGTTGTTCGTATTTTATCCTTCCATCTCCATCGATCATCGAACCAACAATGTGGGCTAAGCCACTGTTCTTCCAGAGAGCTTGACCCAGTTCAGAATTTCTGCAATAAAATGATTGGCTATGTACTTTTAATGCGTTTGTGAAAAATGCGAAATCCTAATAAACTTTAGGGTCATCCAGTAATTAATTAATTTTACATATAATCAAAGTAACTGTACTTTAGACTGACATCATTAGCTGTGCATTGGATAGTAGTCATGTTAAGATTGATATAAATGAATGCTTTTTAGTGTTAGCTAACGTTTACGAATTTTCCATTATGAAATATTATTAGAGGAAAATTTATTAACTATACTGAAAGAATAATATATTTTTTTTATCTTTTAATATTTGCGTTTATGAATAATTACCTAAAATGCTCCGATACAACGTGAAGATTTTCTAAAACAGGTGGCATGTACCAAGAATGATCTGAATGATCATGCTTTTTATTTCCACCCGTTCCACTATTAAAGTTTTCAAAGATCATTGGCAAGAATCCCATAATTCCCTCGAAATTATTATTACTATTGGCTCCCATGAACATACTGGCCACATTTATCACACTTTCAAAGTCAATTCCTGGTGAATTGGATTCTACATCATTGGCACTTCTTTCTTGTTGACTATTTCGTGATGGAGGAGGTGTAACCATTTGCAGTAAAGGACCTAACATTGATAGATCCATACCTTGATTTTTACTTTCTTGACCACCTCCACCTCCTGAAGAACTTGATAGAATTTGCCCAATTCCATTTAAAATTTGACCGAGTCCAGCTGCACCGGAACTCTTGTGTTGAAATAATAACATTATATTAAATATTGCTCTTTTATTTAAAAAATTTTTGAATTATTTTTATGATATAATCTACGTACTTTCTTTTCAGCATTCGAATCCATGAATTTACTAGTCCCTGGTGACTCTTCCGAAAAGAATGAGCTGGCAACTTCCATGAATGCACTTGATATATCCACTTCATCCTCTTTTTCAGCAGCAGCAAAGCTTAGTAAAATGAATAATAGACACACTTTCGGCAGTTTCATTTTTAAATCTGTAAAATAAATTTTCAATTGCTTGTATATAATGTTTTATTTTACAAAATTTATTAAGATTTTTCGTATTGTACATAAAATTAACAAGATTATTAATAAATAAAGACATTTAATTGATTTATCAATGAATATTTATTTTTTACAACGGTAAATGTTATAAATATCTCCAAATAAAAAAATTTTCTGGATAAAAGACATCGAAACAATAAAAAGATTATCTAATGATTAATTTATTCTAGCCGGTAGGTATGAACTTATTACTTTATTTTTAAGCTATCTGTAAATATACGATGGGAATCACTATCGATCAGAGTATCGATTTCTTCAGTAAATTAAATTTAAAAAAAGATAAATATGAAAAAGAAAAACTGTGGTCAATGACCTGAGGAAAAAGCCCAGATATTCATGGTCTTAGAATTGGAAAATATTACCAATACTTTAAAATGACTTTGATCCGATGTGAATAAATGATTCAATGTTGTGCGGTGTCGACACGCCGGAAACGTTTTGGATTGTAGTCATTGGATACCGTTATTCTCCAGACGAAATTACATTTTTTATTTCGCTTTACTAATTGACTACCATCGTATTGTTTCAAAAACTGTAATACAACTTAATAATGTTATTAGCTAACTAAACAAGGATAAGTCGGTAATTAAATTAATGATTAAGATAAAAAGTGAGTAGGAAAAAGTTTTTGAACACAATAAAAATTTAAAAAAAAAACAACAATTTTTTATAACAGTTACTAAAACTCAGTTCCATCAAATTTAAATAAACAAACACCATGAAAAACTTTAAATAATAAAAATAACAAATGAAAAAATGTGTTTACATATAAAACTGGTTCTTACTATTTTCTGCATGAACGGATTTGAAAAAAAAACTATCTAAAGATCTATTAATTAATTTTATTGGAATTAATTTTCAGAAATAAAATTAAATTATGTAAAAACAGTAACAATTAAATCATTATGAGAATAAAACGTGATTATTACTGTTAACTAAGAAATAATTATAGCTCATAAAATCTTCATCGAAATGAAATTTATGTTGAATAATTTTCCCGAGATTACATAAAGTGAAGTTCATTGTAATCTATAAGGTCATTAACTCTCTTGAGAAAAAATAGGCTAATTTCATTTTGCGTGCAATAAAATGAACCGTCAATTTTAAACAAATATAAAATCCAGTACTTAATGGAAGTGTATATGGTGTAACATATAATTTGAGTACCGTAATCCACATTAAATTGACATTCCCTATGTTGGAGGCTCGATTCGCTATGTAACGGTATGCAATCGTGATTTTCAACGTGTCAGACGATTCAATCCGAATAAATTTACACGATCAACTAAATGAATATAAACAATGTAGATTACTGATAATTATTTATAGAAACTACAATCTAAGAATTTAAAAAAAAAATAACAATAATAATAATAAGTAATATTTCATGGTCAAAGCAAAATTTTTCTTTAGTATTACTTAGTAGAAATATTATTTATCATTTCAAATCCACTTCCATTATCATAAAAAGCTCCAATTATACCGCTCTATATTTCAGTTAACTGTTCGTTGTTATCAACTTATTTAGATAAGTAGACCTTGAAGAATATGCAAGTTGAATTTTGAATTATTAGAAAAATACAAATATTTCATGCAAAATGTAATATTTATCAATTAATTATTTTAAATAAAAATAGCAATCATTTTAATTTATTATTAATATCCATACTGCTGTATTTTATCTAAAAACAACTGTCATTTCAAAAGATGCTTTGTTTAATTTATTATTAAAGTAAAAAAGATATTAATGTTTTAAACATTTTTTCATCATTTACAATGCATAATTTGGACTTACCTCAATATTAATAAATTTATGGTGATATTTGCTGAACAACTAATTTTAACTAACAAAAATATACGTTTTCACAATTATAAAGTAACGCCAGAGTTCATACACCTGACGTTGCTGTAGCCGGACTGGCGTTCAACGTAGTCCGACAAACGGTACTTCCCTACCTGACCAGGTTCGGGGGCCCATGCATAAAAGCCACTTCTTCACACAATAAAACATTTATTCATTTACTTGGCGGTGAATCATATTGAAAACTGCCATCCCTAAAATTTAAAAAATGTAAGAAAGGAGATCGGTTGATTAGTCGAAGTTTCCATTGATGGTTATCACTTACTTCTTTGACCTAAGATGCGATTATTAATTATTTTTCCATTTAAAATTTCATTTGATCGATTATTAACTATTAGTTGATTCAAGATAAATTATTCGAATGATTGAATAAGTTATTTCGCTATTATAAATGGTGCTAAAAAATCCCTTCTGCTTAAAAGGAAAAAATAAAAGAAATATAAATACCTTCTTGCATTCTTTGTCTTATTTTTAAAAAGTTTAAGAATTTAAGAGAAGGGTGATTTTAACTTGTTCTTTACCTGATGTAAAACCGGCTTAGGACGTCCTCAACTTCTCAATCACCATACTTAAACTTGTTTCAATCAGATGGTTTGTAGAGAATAGGCAATTCTAAAGAAATTTCGTGGGCCTGAGTTGTCCTTAGGATGGAGAAATCGTATACATATAAGAGAATCTTTTCTTTTGGGATTGTATTTATGGGGACGGTGAACTCTGTTAGATATCCTGTGAAGAAGATTAAAAAATTGAATAAATGAAATGATTCAAAGAAAATGTTTGACATAACGATATTACGTTTCTATTATTAAATTACCATAGATACATTAATATCTGACCCAACCAATTGGGTCAGATATTAATTTACTTATAATTTAACTAAAAAAAACTTTTTGTACAATGCATATAAAAGGCATAAAATAAAAACGTGCAATAAATTTTCTCTATATGCATACCAAATAAAAAGACATCTTTAGTGCTGTGTAAAAATTTGTTTTACCGTATTCCACCTTTTTTTTACTTAACAACATAATTAAAAAAAAATTGTAGAAAAAATGCTACTTCCAACAAGTATAGTAGTCTTCATTATATACCAATTCATTACACGTTTATTATCAATCATAAACTCGTTGCACATTTCTATTTTGAAAACGGGAGACCTACGATTAATGCTGAAATAATTTCTAATAACATATAATTTGCTGTTATTAATGTATAAGACGCAAACAATTTCATGCACTCGAAGAAATTATACCTTACCTAGTTATTATTGTCTTTAATAGTACAGATCCGATGACGCATATATGGATCGAAATCCTTTGTCTTATCATTTCTAAAAGGGATAAATTTAGTTAGCTAATTTTATCATTAAACTTGGTCTTTTCCAACTCAGCAACCAACTTCGATTATAGATTAGAATAAAATGTCCAAGTCTTGGAACTCAGGTACAACCTATGAATTAATGATGTACAAGTTTATCATGTGGCCTCTAGGTATCTGGCCACCGAATCGAGGAGAAATATTTTCAGAAATTCGTTTAATTTTAGCCGCTACCACACAGGTAAGATCTAGCTCATCAATATCCTTAACCTATACTATTCAAGTAGTAATTTAAATAGTTAAAAATAAACAGGCTGCCACCTGTATTTGTTTACATTTGGAAATGTGGCATAACTGTAGAGGCGCTGAGGACTTTTTGGACATTTTTGTTCTCAGTGTTTTCTCACTGTTGGCATGTATTAAAGGATTAATTGTGAGATATCATCTAAATGAAGTTGATACAAATGTAACATCTGCTATACAAGATTGGTTTAATTTATCATCTAATGAAAATCCACAAAATAACAAAATAATGATGAGACATGCAAAAATTGGTAGGATTGTTTGTATTTCTTTAATGGCACCTGCATCTGGAGGAACATTGTCTTGGATTGTTTTTGCATTACCATTTGCTATGTTTGCTCCTGAGAATAATACTGAACCTATAAAAAATTTTCCATTACAAACACCATGTACATTCGATTTTGCCACTACATCCAATTTTTATTATGTGATTTTTGTTATTCAAGTTTATCAGTTGATTACTACATGTCTTGGCAACTGTGGCAATGATGTTTTTTTCTTTGGACTTGCAATGCATGTCTGTGGACAGTTTGAAATACTAAAAAGTGAGTTTAATTCAGTGGAAAATAAAAGAGTAGGGATTGAAAACGGAGAGTATTTCAAGAATATTATCAAGAGACATGTACATTTGATTAATTTAGTTGAAAAACTGGAAACTACGTTTAATATGATTATTCTAACACAACTGATCATGAGTGCTATTTTGATTTGTATTATGGGTAAGTTTTTTAAAAATAATATTAATATGTGTTCATTTTTTTTAAAATTACCAGACTAGATTATTTTTAAAACTAAGAAACTCACCAACTGTACATTGTCTTCACACAAGATATTCTAAACAGCTTTACATTTTTCAATCACAAATATTTCAACTATTTATATGTACGTGACGGTATTCACAATTTCTTTACACCAAGTCTTCTCTAAATAGAAGTATTTTGCATTCACATATTTATGTTTGTTGTTCTGTTTTCAACATATATTTAAAGAGGAAAAAATTAAAGATTTAGGATTGAATACTTGCAATTAATTATTAATGTGTAAATTTCTTTGTTGCAATTTAAGGACTGCAAGTAATCATAGCACTAAACATGGGCGATGTTTTTTCTGGCATCAAAGCCAATATAGTTCTGTCATCATTGATGTCTCAATTATTTTTATATAGTTACGGAGGTGACTATTTGACATCTCAGAGTCATGCTATCGCTGATGCAGCATATGAAAGTCTCTGGTATAAATATTCCATCCGAACTATGAGGGATATTGGATTTGTAATATTTCGTGCTGAAAAATCCGTTTATGTAACAGCAGGAAAATTTTTTTACATGACTCTAGGCACTTTTATGGATATTTTAAAATTGTCTGTGTCTTATATGTCGGTTTTACGGGTGGCGATGGATGTGTAGAGTATGTTACAATTTTTAATCAATTGTATCAGTGATTTCAGATTAATTATAAATTTTTTTCTCTTAAAGCGCTCAGATTTGTATAGAAGAATTTACTTATCTTGTACCGAATAATTTCAATAAAAAAATTAAAAAAAAAAAAAATTTAGAACAACAAATTTCAATAATTGAAAAAAATTAAACAACTTTGCTTCTTACTATTTAAATTTATATAAGTTAATTACAATTCTTTTACAATATTTTGTTAATAAATTTTTATTTACGTTTATTTTCAAAAAATTGCAGAATATATTTGTTTAATAGATGGAAAATTTGATTATTTTTCCGTGTATACTGAAATAATAATCATCATTTTCTGATAATATTCAATATAGAAAAATAATTCGTTGCATTTAGATAGCATAAATTACAAATGACCATTCGGTCTATAGAATAGAGAATAATTTGCTGAGCATAAAAAATTATGCGCGATATCCGTGCACATATATGCAAATATAACATGATAGATTATCATAGATGGCTTTACTGAAAAAAAGAAATTATAAGCTATAAGATAAAACGATTATTTATATTAGAGAGCGAACTTGGAAGAACGGAAAGAGCCTTGATTAAATAGTGGATATTAATATGTCGATCAAGAAGAAAAATGATCAAGCTTGCAATATCTTTTTAACATATTCAATTCCGATGTCTATGGTTGGTCTATGGCCACTTGCTGAGAATACATTGTTCCGTAAAGTAAAAATTATCTTCTGTATTTTGCAAATGGTAGGTAGAAATCTATACATTATTTTAATTTTAAATAAAAAAATTTTTTCATTTCTATTATGATTTATTATATTGTTCACTCGATATTTGTTATGTATTCATTAAATATATTTTCTTTTGGTATTTATTAATTTTTTTTTCACTCATAGTTGATAACTGAAGCAGGAATAATATTACATATCATCAAAACCTGTAACAGCCCCAATGACTTCATGGATGCAGTCATTATTTTATCATTCGGCATCATGATTTTTACCAAAATCAGCAATTTAATTATATTCAAAGAGAAATTTGTAACAGTTTTAAACTCTACATACGTAAATTGGTCTACAACTGAAAACGAACAGGACATGAAAATAATGAAAGATTACTTAAAAGGTTTCAACAGAATAACTTTTTTCTTTTATGGTATTTCAATACCTTGTATAATGCTTTATTTTTCTCGACCTTTTATTCTTGGTATCTCAGCTTATTCAGAAAATATCGGAAATGAAACAGTAACAGTAGTACCTTGTAATTATATATTCCCTAGTGATTATATATTTGATAAAACAAGTGAATTTTTTTATCGTGGAATGCTATTCAATCAAATGATTCAAGTAATGATTGCGTCTTTAATAAACGTTAGTACTGATCTGATGTTTATATCAATTGTGAGCCATCTTTGTGGACAAATTGAAATTTTGATCCGTAACATGAACGAGCTAGGTAAAATATCTCAAGTTGATCAATATCTTGATAATATTATTAAAAGACATCAGCAATTGATGAGTTTAATTTATATTCTTGAAGATATTTTTAACAAAATTATTTTCATTCAAATGATATTGGGCTTATTTTTTGTTTGTTTTGGAGGTAAATAATACTAATTGTGAAATTTTGAATAAATTACTTATTATTCAAAGTATTTTTATGAAATTTCAGGAATGAGCATACTACTTAACTTTGAAAGTGGTGACACTGTAAATCTGGTAAAATGTTTAATGATAGTAGGATTTATGCTAATGCAAAGCTACTTGTATACATATCCAGCCGACAATTTAGCAAATTTAGGAGAAAAAATGCTGAGAGGATTATATAGTAGTTATTGGTATGAAATGCCTAATAGATTAACGAAAAATTTGGTCTTCATGATGATGCGATTGAATATACCACCTTATCTCACGGCGGGTAAATTTTTTTACCTTACAAGAATATCGTACACTTCAGTAGTCAAAACCGGTGCTTCTTATTTATCTGTGTTGAGAATATTTCTACAACGAAACTAAAATCTACAATATGTACTCATATATTATTCAACTATTTTCACAATAATAGCAACAAAAGAGAATAAATATAGTTTCATAATAATATAAAATAATATTTCGTATTAATCGATGATCAATAATAAATCAATTTATTTATTATACATATTGCAGCAATTAGGTTGCACAATTATATGATCCAGAATCATTGTAATGAAGTAAGTAGAGTAAAATATGAAATTGATGCTTTTATTACCTTAAAAAATTTCTATTTTTTTTATTATTTGAAATTTATATGTATCTTTGAATTTCGTGTACATTATTTACCTTACTGAAGCTCACATATGACATTGTATACATCTTTCCAGCAGTCAACATGCAAGGTTTACGACTTCTCATCATTATTAAAATGAATAATTCTCTAGTTTTTCTAGGAAGATTGTACCATTTACCATCATATCTGTATAATTAAACCAAAAAATATGTCAAATCAAACCTATTTTATTATTACTATTTATTTAAAATAGAATAATTACATTAATTCTTGGATAGACTGGCTGTAGTCCATCAAGTTCTGACCAGGATAGCTGAGAAAATACAAATGAACAACTTGGCCAATTGTGTAGATACCAAATCTCAGGGCTTCCGAAGTTTCATTTATTTTTATTACTGTCTGAAAAAAAAAAAAAAATAATTCATTTATTAAAAGAAAATTTTTTTTATACATCTACTTACATAAAAACCAGTAATACTCAATGCTACAGTATTTATCATCACTATGACAAGTAAGCATGTAGTATAAGTAGATTCAAGAATTTGGCAATACTGTAATGTAGCAATATGTTGTTTGATAGATTTTCTGATTAAGTAATTAATTTTTTTACTAGAAATGTCATCTTGTATTTCATTATTTGTCATATTACTTAAATTTTGTATTCGATATCTAAAAAAAGAAAGTTGAATAATTTTTTACTCTAAAGAAATTAAGTTTTGTAGATGAATCAAAAGTACCCAATAATTTTAAACATACTACAAGCATGTTGAACACAAATGAAATACGTAGAATCAAACGCAACAATAACAGTTGATGGAAAGGGACTGACCATATATGCATGTAAAAGAATTGGCACTTGGTATGTAATCGGATCAACAAAATACTCTGTCGGATATAAAAGTATATTGGATCGAGATTCATTCAAAGGCACAAAATAATCGAGAATCTTTGGTGTTAGAGGTGTAGTTAAGTATAATAAAGTAACCGTATAGATAAAATCTTCACATGCAAATAATAAGATTTATCAATTTATAAGCACTGAAAGATTTTAGAATTATCCAAGCTTACATATGTAAAAATGGGTCACTCTTCTGGTGTTTTGTCCATTTTTGTGCAAAATTTTTATTTCGGTCTTGGATAAATCTGATTCCCAGTCATGCTGAATCCATTGTAGTAATGTTTTCACCTAAAACAAATATAACATTGATTATAATTATTATGGATTTGAATAGATTATTTAGGCGTTAAAAATTTTTTAAATTAGAGAAAATTTTTAAAAAATATTTAGAGTACTTTCTCCATGTTGAATAAACAGTTTATCATCTTGGTTAATGTGAGTGAATGAAGAGCCAACATTGGTGCACACTCAACAATCATATTCAAATTTTTTCTTACAGTCATCACCTTAAAAATCTGAACAAAACACTAATAATTTTATAATATTAAATAAATATTGTTAAATTATTGTAAACAATTATTATTACTTCAGGAACAAATAAGCTTAGGATTGCAAGAGACACCACACTTCTCAAAAGCCTCTTTATGGAAAGTTGTTGAAAAGGCCATGCTCCAAAAGACAAAAGTAACAGTTTGGTAAGTCGCCAATTAGAATTCTGAAAAAACTCCATTTATATCAAAAGTTTGATACTCTCTAGCGTGTTTAGTTTTAGTAAATGTATCAAACGGCAATACAACGTATGTTATTATTATTATTAATTCTATTGAAGACAAAGCACGTGCACATCAAAGAGCATAATGACTCCTTTGTACAAGTAGAGCTGTCAACATTAAAAGGTAAAATAAATCGATTTTCAGCATTCGTTTTGTCTTTCGTGATGTAACTTTTTAGGGAATAAAGCATCAAATTTTTAACAGTTTCTTTATTGTTCGATTATACCATTGTTAACCTATAGAACTATACAGTAGATAAAAAATATCAATGAATATTTTGAATAGGTTTCAAAGCATCTACGAAGGCAGTAAGGGATCTACAAAGTCTGAGAATTAAAGTTGCTAAAACTTGGAAAAATTCAGAAACATAATGGTAATAAATTGTCATTGCTGTAATATTTTTATTATTTCTACATTTCAATTACTTCAAACATATTAAAGAGAAGTGAGAACCATGTAATATGAAATAGATAACTTCAATACCTAAAATAAAAAATTTCATTTTTATTCAAAAACAAAATAAAAGTATTTTTTTCGTACCTTGCTGAAAGTTTCTATGGATAGAAGACACATCTTACCAGCTGTTAATTGGCATGTTTTATTACTTCTTATCATTATCAAAATAAAAAGTACTTGTACTTTTGGTGAATGATGATACCAATTTCCATTATATCTGTTTCATTGAAAATAGTTATACGGTTATATCTTTTTGCAGACTATTTTTTATTTTAATCCAAATGTTAAGCTCGCTTTTTTGATGCATGAATTAAACTTACACTAATGTTTGAATAGAATCACTGTGATTTATTACACTTTGACCAGGATAATTAAATAAAAATAGATGAACCACCAATCCAAGTGTATAAGAACCAAATTTCAAAACATGAACAATTTCATTAATCTTCACTATAGTCTATATGTCAAAAAAAAGCTAAAAGTATTTGAAAGAAGTACACGTATAATTTTTTGACTCTTACATAAAAACCAGTGATACTCAGTGCTACTATGTTTGCTATAATTAATGGAAGTAACATCAAAAAGTAAGCCGATTCAAGTGCTTCACAGTATTGTATGATACTAATATGTTTTTTAATGGAATTTTTAAGTAGTTGATCTATTTCTTTATCGACCTTGTGAGGCATTTTCTTACGTAAAACATTCATTTTTTCAGATAAATTCTGTATCCGGATCCTATAAATATAAAATATCAATCAACTAGATTTATATTTTGTTAAGAATATTTTTTAATATTTTTATAAATTTGTTAATACCCAACAACAGCAAACATGCTACAAGCATGCTGAACCTGTTTAAAATATGCTGTATCAAAAGCAGACTGTACAGTTGACGGAAAAGGACCAATCATGTAAGCATGGATAAAAATGGGTATATAATATTTTTTTTCATCGATAAAATACTCTGTTGGAAATAAAAATTGAATGGGCCGTGATTCGTTTAAAGGTACTAAAACATCTAGAATTATAGGAGTTAAAGGCGTAGCCAAATAGAGAAGAGTAGCAGCACCCATGTAATCTTTAATGCAAATACTAATAGTGAGTTTGAAAATTTTTTTTATCATTCCCATACTAATTTTATAATTGACTTACATGCATAAAAATGGGAAAATATTCGAGCATTGCGTCCATACTTTGATAATACTTGCATTTCTGAATCTGACAAGTCAGATTGCCAATCTTTTCTGATAGTCTCAAGTATTGCTTTTAACTACAAAAAAAAGTTGAAAATATTAATCAATGAACTATTTGATCTTAATTACATATATTTCATGATAATATTACCTTTTGTGAGTTAAAAATCCAATTAGACAATTTCAATAATGCACCAAAGTGATATACAATAATTTGTACCGATTCAGCCACACTACTAACACTTCCCCATATGATGGTCAATTTGACAATCTAAAAAAACTCATCTATCAAAATTTTGTGCTCCAAATCAAGTAAATAAATCTCAAATTGTAATTGTAACGAATGAATTAACTTAATAAATAAAATAATATATAAAAAAAAAACTTATGTAATGATATTTTGAAAATTTCTTTACTAATTTTATTTATTACTTCAGGTATAAGTATGCTGATAATTAAAAAGAAAAGTAAATTGCTTCTAAATTGTGAAGTTTCTCCATTTAACGGCCATACACCAATAAATGATAATAGACGATGAGTGAGTCGCCAATTTGGGTGGTCAAAAAACTCCATTATTGACTTCAGAAGCTTTGTAATGTTTATTACTCACAGTATTGTTTTATGTCAAAAACTACACAATGGAACTAATTAAAAATTCTACGAAAGTCGGGCTTAATGTACGTCAAACAGCATAATTACCCCTTTGTAAAGTTGTGATAAATTTAACATCAATGAGTAGACTGGATCGATCATGTTTTGCATAATACCATAGAAAATGATACTTCTTTTCATCATTCTCTTTGTATTATTTTTATACAGTCGAAAAGTTTTCAAGACAAAAGAAACAAAACCTTCAGTGATATGGCTACTGTGAATCACTCATCACAGTCCAGGCTAATTCATGTGACCAAGAGGATCGTAAATAGACTGTCAAATTGACACATTGTAAAGAGTGTAAAATTAAACAACTGTGAAGATGAATATTTAAAAAATTTTACCAACAAAACTGTAATAACATTTAATGCACATACTACTACTTATACCTGTTGATGTCGATATCACCATAATATTTTTTTATCATCAAAAATCGATGATCTAACTGGTAAGTCGAATGATTACCTAATCGAATCTCTAATGTGTTGTATTACTATTTTTTAAAAAGCCATGCCAAATAAAAAATTGATAAAATAATGGACATAGAATTAAATAAAAAAGCAAAATGTATCTTTGCGATTATTTAATAACAATTATTTAAAATAATTAGTAATCTAAAAAACTTATTTCTAGATCGACAATGCTATTCAGAACAATTAAAAGATGATTTAATTTTTATAATATTATTATTTTCGTGAATGCTATTGAAAAGAAAGAAGAACTGTAAAATATGAAACTGCTAATTTTATCACCTGAAAAATATTTTCAAAAAATTTAATGAGGTATTGATATATTTATTTTTATATTGTTGGACAATTTATTATACTATACCTTGCCAAAATTTTCAATTGAGAAAATATATAATTTACCAGCTGTTATTTTGCAAGTTTTACTACTTCTTATCATCGTCAATATAAAAAATATTCTCATTTTCGGAGATATATTGTACCATTTACAATCATACCTGAATGATTAAAATAATTTTTAATAGCGTAAAAAATTATTAAAAATACAATGACCTAAAATTTATTTAATTTAAAAATTTTTTTTCTAGGAATACACAGTCAACTTACGTGAATTGATAAATAGATTTACTATGATCTGTCAAATCTTGACCAATATAAGAGTAGAATAATAAATGAATAACGCATCCGCATGTGAAAGATCCATATTTGAATGCTTCCGGAGGATCATTCAGCTTTATTAAAGTCTGAATGAAATTTAACTTTAAATATTATTGATACTGTTACAAATTGGAAGTCATAATTCTTACATGGAAACCAGTGATACTTAATGCCAACGTATTATTGATGATTAAAGATAGCAAAGGAAGGGTATAAAATGATTCAAGTTTTTCACAATATTGCAAAATAATAACATGCTTTTTGATACAATCTATCAATAATTGATGAGTTTTTTTATTAATAACGTCATCTCCATGAATTTTAGTATCAGTTTGATCTGTTATTATTTGCATACGATGTCTGAAAGTAATGTAATTATAATTTTAAATGGATTAATAATTCATTATTTGAAAAACTCTTTCCAATAAAAGTAAATATAAATACCTCATTACGGCGAACATACTGCAGCCATGTTGTACACAATGAAAATATGTTGTATCAAAGGCGACTGTTATGAGCGATGGAAACGGGCTGATCAAATAAGCGTGAATGAATATTGGCACTTTATATTTATCTGGATCAACAAAGTATTCAACTGAATACAAAAATTCTATTTTCCGTGATTCATTGAGAGGCGCAATATAATCAAGAATTTTTTGCGCAAAAGGTGTACCCGTAATTGTTATGGTGCATCCAAGAATAACCCCTTTTAATATAAATAATAAAAAAGGTTGAAAATTGATTTATTTTTTACTATTAATGCAAATATCATACATGCATAAGCATGAGTTAATCTTCTGTCATTTTGTCCATAATTTTGCATGATTTTTTTTTCCATATGAGACGGATCAGAGAGCCAATCTTTTTGTATATATTCGAGAATTATTTTTAACTATGAAAAAAATTATCATTATTATATAGACAAAAACAAGATACCATATTATTTAATTAAATAATTTATTTAAATCCTTTAAGATTATATACCGTATAACAAATAATTAAAATGAATACCTTATGTATATAAAAATAATAACTTAACATTTTTAATAGAGACTGCAAGTGCAAAAATAACATTGGTCCACATTCAGCAATCGCACTAACATCGCCCCATACACTGATCATTTTTATCACTTCAGGTATAAGAATGCTTATAATTGAAATAATAACTACACGACTTAATAATAATTGAAAATAAGTTTGTTGGAAAGGCCACAGACCGAGAATTATAAGGAGCGACTTAGTAAGCCGCCAATTAGAGTTTTGAGAAAGTTCCATGTCCATCAAAAACTAACGAGTATTTAACACGAGTAGGGTGACACATACGACAGACTCTATAATTTGAATAGTCGATAATACCTATGTCGAAAGTACGGTTTATAAATATTCAAGATTCGATGGAGCTTTTGAATATAAAGAGAATTGAAGATTAAAGGTTTGTTGGTAAGAAAGTTTTGACATTTGTATGTTTCATGTGATAATTGATTGTTATATACTTTTGTTTCAGTATCGAAAGAACATTATACTCTTATTCTTTGTTGCAGTTCAATCTTTAGCAGATACAAAGACAAACATGACAAATTTAAAAAAAAACAATGTTATAGATTTAAGCAAAATATAATATATACATATATAAATATTAATTTGAGAGTTTTTTGCGAAGTTGTAGCTATGGTGCATTAAATAAAAGTGACAGAATAAACTGTCTTGGTTATAATGAATTTTAAAAATTAATATGCCAACTCTATTTGTACAGGATTCACTAGTCTGAAAAAAAGAAATAATAAAAACACTCACATTTATCAAAAAAAAAAACGTTGTCGCTGAGGAAAATCAGCAAGAAATAGCAACATACCTGGAATAGTGATATGATCGTAAACTCAGGAAAACCACCAAAGAGAAAGAGATGTCTTTCAGTCTTCATCTGAGGCTCTTTTCTAATTATTTGACCAATTGCTTCTAATAAGAAATATTATTATATATATTTTTCCAGTTTCTGAACTATTGACAATAAATTTAGATAGTTTCCTTTTATTTCTAATACAACATTTCAATTAATTTTAAAGTACTTTTTTATATTCATTTTATTACTTCTTTTCTTTCAACAATAATCATTATTTATTGTATATTTTCTACAAATAATATTCCTGTTGAAGAAAATGATTGTATTTCAATGACAATAGATTATGAGAAATGAATGAGCATTCCTCTCGAAAATTCACATTGAACTAACAATGAATTGCGCTTAATGCGCATATTCTTCTTTTCTTTTCGAATTTATAAATTTTATCTGTACTTATCAGAAGCCTATAGTTAAGAAACTTTGTTTTCTACTCATAAAAGTCCAAACCCTTTATTATGTGGTAATGTTACATGAAAACATTTTCAAAACTTTTCTTACCATAATGATAAAAATAAAGTATACTGTTGAATAATTGATAATAAGCTTGCAATTGATAGTTGCTATAACTGGTTTTATGGTCATTATTGAGAATAGAAAATCAATATCTCAAATATTCCTAGAGAAATGCTGAGACATGATCGAAAGTAATAAACAGTTGAAGCAAGTTCACAAAATGATTAAAACTAAATTCAACTATTCAAATTGGAATATTGAGACAACCTATGCCTTGGCATTGTATCGTTCAATTTTCCAAAGTCTAGGAATTTGGCCATTTCAATGTCAAAGTGTCATTAATATGTGCCTAATTTTATTTCACTATTTTTTGCAGGTATTTATTAATTGCGATATTATAATTTTTACTTATAGTTGTGACAAAATTGAATAAAGTCAATGGTAAACTATTTAATTCATTTTTAATTACTCAAAAAGAAGAGCACATATTCACTATAAAAGCGTCTGAAAAGAATTTTATTATTTATAATATATTATTTTATATTTCAGATTACAATGATAATAGAAATATTGGGAGAAGTAGTGTATTATAAATCAGGCATCGATCCTCAGATCATATCCAACTTATCATGCAATTTTCTTACATTAATAAAAATCACATTGATACGTTTTAAACGGAAAAAAATACAACAAGTGTTAGAATCAATCATAGATTTATGGAACAGTAAAATAAATCCAGACTATCTCATGCTAGTTCAATACAAAGCAAAACTTGGACGAAATATCTGTATTTATCAACTTGGTTCAACATATTTTGTTTTATTTCCAATGATTATTGGAGCTCTACCGATTTTTGTTCCCAGTGATAATAGTACTTTCAACGAAAGTGAACCAGTATTGAGATCTTTTCCAATACAAACTCCCTACATGTTTTCAAACATTTCCGATTGGTGTTATATTTTAGTTTTTATTCTCCAAATATTTCAATTATTCTCAACTGTTACTGGAAATGTTGGTGTTGATTGTTGCTTTTTTGGTATCGTTATGAATTTTTGTGGCCAAATTGAATGTCTCTCTTGTGATTTTAAAAAGTTTGATTTAATTAAAGATGAAGGAATAATATTGAACAATTTCTCTTCAATTGTTCAACAACATAATCGATTAATTAAACTCGCTGAATATCTTGAAGAAATATTTAATTTTATCATTTTTTGTATTGTTGGATCTAATGTGGCACAAATATGTTTTTATGGTAAGAATAATCACTATTAATATTAAAAAAGATATAGATAAAACTTTCTTTTCTTTTTGTCATCAGGAATTCAATTATTAAGAAGTCTACGTCATGGGAATTCGGTGATAGCAATTAATTCCACCCTTTGCATAGTCATTTTGAGCTTTCAAATCTTTTTATACAGTTGGGCAGGAGATCAACTTTCATCAGCCTTCGAAAGCTTTAAATTTAGTTCATTTAACTGTGGATGGGATGAAATGCCTTTAAAATTTAAGAAAAATTTGGTATTTATCATGATGCGCACTCATAGACAATTTAATCTTACAGCAGGAAGTGTTTATCGAATGGATCTAGATAATTTTAAAAATATTATGAAAGCTATTGGCTCATATTTTTCTGTTATGCGAACAATGTTTGAATCCTAATAAGTAATAAAGATTATTAGTATTATTATTATTAATTGAATTCTTTATTATTTCATTTCAAATAAAATTTTTTGAATGAATAATTTATTTTCGGAACTTTTCTTTTAAATGTTATTCGATCATCCATTAAATCCTAATATTGTTAAATTATATTTTTTTAATTTTTTAGAAGTTCCTTTAGTTCTCTTGAACAGATGAATGTGATTGAAATTTTTTAATATACAATAATAAAAATATTATTATATTATTGAATATCACATTGATATCATTTTAACATAAATAAAATTTCCTCACAATTATTATCCAAAGATGGTTTCACTGCGATAGTTGAAAGAAAGACTGATGGAAAATCAATCAATTGATAATATACCTTTTCTTACTTACGGTATCTATTGTTATAAGAATAATTTCTCATAATCATTTTAAAATAGACATAACTAAAACTAAAAGTTTTAATGTGCACAAACATACAATTTTGAACTTATAAGTTTTTTACTATTTTCATGTTCGTTTTATATGCAAATTTTCTAAACTTTTAGTTAAAATTTGCAGGTAAAGTTTTATGTTTGTATAATGGTTTAGACTGTCAAGTTCCGAAAATAAGTATGTACATAAAATAATCTACAATATAATAAAGTTTTATCCATGTTGATAAATTGTAGAAAATTTTTGTTCATTGGATATGAAGTCTAAGTCTTTAAATCTAGCTTGGAATAAAAATACGATCTACGCTTTAGGACTTTACAAACTTATTACTCAAAGTTTGGGGATTTGGCCCCTGAAATGTCATGATATTTTTTCAATAATGCGATTGGTATTCGTAGTCTTAAGTCAGGTATGATTTTAAAATGGATTATGGATATTTCTTTTCATTGTATTTAATAAATAATTATTTATCAGAGTATAATGGCCATCAGCTTATTAAGTGAAATTAATCTAGATTGTGGTGCAGTCAATGATATTATTCAAATGAGCTCTTTAGCAGCATGCAACGTTCTGGTCTTATCAAAAATATTTTTTATCTATCGCTCTAAAACAGAAATGTTGAAAATTCTTTCATCAGCTATCGAAGAGTGGCAATTTGTAAAAAATTATGCTGCTTTTAAAATCATGAAAAAAAATGCTACACTTGGTCGTCGTGTTTGCATTCTCCAAATGGCTTCAGCTTATCTAACTGTCGTTCTGATTGCACTTGGTAGTTTACCAGTCCTAATATCACCGATGAATCATACAATCTCTGAAAATGTTACTATTGCATCATTTCAACCCCTTCCGTTACGAACAACTTGTTTTTATGGTGAAATGTCAATAAGTTTTTATGTAGTAACTTATATTTTTCAAGTGATCCAGCTTTTAATTACTTGTACTGGTAATGTCGGTTGTGACTGCTTCTTTTTTGGGATTACCTTACATATTGCTGGACAATTTGAAAATTTAGTTGATGAATATAAAAATTTTTGTGTTGATACAAGTAATGATGATTGTGCAAAAAATCTTGCTCTCTTGATTAAAAAACATCAAAAATATCTGAATTTTGCTGATTATATTGAAAAAACATTTTGCTTAGTATTGTTATTTCAACTATCAATGAATATGTTTCAAATTGTAATGAATGGTATGTACATCAATAAAAATCTTTATAACAACCCTGGTGAAAATTTTACATTAAAATAGTCTTGATTGATTCTTTATTTCACATGATAAATAAATGACTGCTTTTTACAGGAATGCAGATGCTTATAAGTTTGAGAACTGGAAATACTGCAAATGTTATAAATATTGTAATAATTTACTATGTATTGAATATACAAATTTTTTTGTACTGTTATGCAGGAGATCGTTTAACAAGTGGAATTGCAAGTTTACAAAATGCTATATATTTTAGCCCTTGGTACAATTTACCGCCGAAGATGAATAAAAATGTAATATTTATCATTTTTAAAGCAAGTAAGACTTTTCATTTGACAGCCGGTAAGATTTTACATATGAATATTGATAATTTCAAAAATATTCTAAAAGCAACTTTTTCATATTTCTCGTTTTTACAAGCGATGATTGACTAAATAAGTGTATTATAAAATAATAATTTATTAAATATTAAAATTTTTTTTGATGGATTGCTATTAATTTTATTTTTTTTAACTTACTCATTTATTGATGTTTGATGCGTCTTCATAAGTATCAAAATATTTTACAGAACATTTCCTTCAATAATAAAAAATGTGCACTGCTGATTATAACTTTTTAATACTCATTATTGAGAAACTCATTTTTATTTGTTTTATTTATTCACTATGCAGCCAACAGAAATTGAGTTTCATGAGTTATTACATCTAAACGGACACAACAAAACAATAATAGAACCGTTTTCCACCCTGAAAGGCAAGGGAACGAATATTTCAGTCTAAATACATTAGATTGTATGTTTCTAATTTTTCTACAAATTCATATTTCTACATGAAAATTTTGATCTCGAATTGAAGCTTATTTCATAATGCAGTGTGCGAAGAACAAATTTGAATTATCTAATTGATTTTTTTAATAAAACAATTAAAAAAAAATTGAATGATTATAAATTGATTCGCCGCGCTTTAACGCCAAGCTGGCCGCTATAAAGTTATGAAAATAAATCATAAATTATTCAATTTTTATTCAATTTGCGCTCATCAAAGTGAGTTTACATAGGGCTAGACTAAAGTCAGAAAATTTCCCGAAGTTGATTTTACGCGCTCGCATAATGCGGTGGAAAGTCGAAGCTCGATGTCAACAGAAATTGAGTGGGTAACAGGGAATTCGTTCGAAAAATGATAATTTTCAGGGATGCTCTAGAAAAAAAAGCATTGAAGCACCAAGAATTTTGAAAATATCTGATTCCTCACTTCCAAGCAAGACAGAGCAAAAAATATAATGATCCATATCCGTCTGAATTATCAAAGGGAAGACTACAAGCAGAGAAGCGAGAACAGTATAGAAGTCCAATGCTGTGTTAAAAATCCGGACGAAGTTTCGGTCAGCTTGTCGGTAATCTCATGAAAGTTGTGACTATAAGTCTTTGAGAGGTACATGGACTACGAGGATATCAATGAATTCCTGAGAGCACGAGCTTTCCACTGATGTAGTTAAAATTATGATCCGAGCGTGATTTATGCTAAAATTATCGCCATTTCCGGTATCACCTTCATTTCTACGAGTTTTGAAATGAATTGATATTTGAGGTCGAATTTTAGAGCACTGAAACGTACAGAATAACCCCCAATAATCAAAGTTACAGAATTTTCTTTTCTAACCTCAAAAAATGCAAAAAATCGTATTTATGATTGGATTATGAAATTAAGGATGTCATTGGAAAGAGGGGGAGAAGACGGTTCCCAAACACTGGCTGTTGATTGTATTTAGTTGATAAAATCAAGAGATATTCCAGAAAAACTTCTAAACATAAAAATGTGCATAACTTCTATGCATATGATGCTACGGAGTTGATCAAGGGCTCATATGAAAGATCTGGATCTAAGTAAAAAATTTGATCCCCCCTATAGGATATCCCCGTCAAAAATGCCGTATCTCGCTTAGTTTTCGAGTTATGAGCGTTTAAAGGTTTTTCTATGCTTCATCGCAGCATAGCTTCGTTTTTCGCCTATAACTCACGATCTATAAGAGGTCCATGGATTATAGACATATCAATGGATTCCTGAGAGCATGAGCTTTCCATTGATGTAGTCAAAATTATGATCCGAGCGTGATTTATGCTGAAATTATCGCCATTTCCGGTTCCCCCTTCATTTCTACGAGTTTTGAAATGAATTGATATTTGAGGTCGAATTTTAGAGCACTGAAACGTACAGAATAACCCCCGATAATCAAAGTTACAGAATTTTCTTTTCTAACCTCAAAAAATGCAAAAAATCGTATTTATGATTGGATTATGAAATTAAGGATGTCATTGGAAAGAGGGGGAGAAGACGGTTCCCAAACACTGGCTGTTGATTGTATTTAGTTGATAAAATCAAGAGATATTCCAGAAAAACTTCTAAACATAAAAATGTGCATAACTTCTATGCATATGATGCTACGGAGTTGATCACGGGCTCATATGAAAGATCTGGACCTAAGTAAAAAATTTGATCCCCCCTATAGGATATCCCCGTCAAAAATGCCGTATCTCGCTTAGTTTTCGAGTTATGAGCGTTTAAAGGTTTTTCTATGCTTCATCGCAGCATAGCTTCGTTTTTCGCCTATAACTCACGATCTATAAGAGGTCCATGGATTATAGACATATCAATGGATTCCTGAGAGCACGAGCTTTCCATTGATGTAGTCAAAATTATGATCCGAGCATGATTTATGCTAAAATTATCGCCATTTCCGGTTCTCCCTTCATTTCTACGAGTTTCAAAATGAATTGATATCTAAGGTCGAATTCATTGAAAAATTTTTTTTCCATTTAATTAGGTATTTACAGCATAATACATTTATCATATCGTATATTTCATAATACTACTGGAAACATCCATCAATGAAAACTTATTAATCCATGTCGATTATATTTTCCGTTTGTGATTAGCTTAGAAATATTGAACAAGTGCATATATATTAATGTTTATCCAGAAAAATCTATTTTTAAAATAAAATTGTTCCAATAGTAATTATTCAAACAAGGGAAGATATACATAGTATCATAACGCCAATATCAATCATAAAAAAATTAAAATTTATTCATTTATGATAGTAAACAATACATTTATTTCACAGTTTATGAAATTTTTATCATTGTGTGTTAACATATTCATTTTGTCGCTGACATGATCTGAAATTTTCTTTCTAAATTGAAATAATAGCTGTGTATTCATAATCGTGGCAATTGTGTCATTGTGTAAAGTGATGGATAAATACCACATATCATCAATTTCTATAATGTAAATAGACTGGGGATGACAACCGACTGGAAATAAGGTAAATAAATTTTTACTGAAGTTACCTTTACACAATCACCCTCGGTAATTTGGAGTAAAATAGATAAAATTGAAAGAGAAAAGATCAAACCCTTAATACTCGTTACAACTAATTAAACCATTAATATATTCGCTTAAAATAAATCACCGTAAAGAGCCTAAAAGGTTATAACTATTGGCAAATTAAAATTTTATTATTACCATGTAATATTACTTAGTATAGACTTTAAACATTTTTCCTTGTTCCGATGTGGTATTGAGGTCGTGACTTTAAATGCTAAGAAATTCAACGATGGTTGGTGCATATTAAAAATTTATCAGCAAAAAATTCACAAGTTCAAATGTTTGTTCATGATTCTATCTATGCTTATGCACGATGACCTTCGGAATATGTAATGTAAATTGTCATTGACCCGGACAACGTTTAAGACGCTTTAGATAAATAGCATTAGAGGCAATCATACAAAAACAATAAGTATACCAATAAAGTTATAAATACTGTATTATTATAAATATTTATTAATGTATAGATTAATTAGCTTATTTTAATTCATTAATAATCAAGTATTCATTTATTTCATGTGAAAATATTCTAAACGATAATCGGGCCAAGACTTTAATAGTCTGTATTCATTTTTATGTAGAATGACAAACAAAAAGATACACAAATAATTCATTAGTACAAAAAATAAACATTTTCATCAGAGCAAATAAATTATTCCATCTCATTTATAATAAATTATAACAATATTGAACCATACATTAATTTTTTGTTATATATTTTTAAGAACAATCATATTGAGTTTTTTTATGAAATAACTTTTCATTTGTTATCACTAACATTTTGAAATAAATAATAAATTCAACTCAATTCGAATTAAATGTCTATTTCGCATTTACTTATCGTCAATAAATAGGTCCTTGACATCGTATATCAAGGATGAATTTATTTAGGGGTGGCTTGCTAATATTACAGATCTATTAACAGAGTAATTATGTAATACACAATTATTAAATAATTGATTAACTAATAAATAATCATACTTTATAAAGAAGTACCCTCGTAGTAGTTACAAGAATTGGTAATTAAAAATACATTATTATTTATAGTATCATTCGTACTAAAATTTAACACATAAAATAAATAAGATATGCGTAATTAAAATTATTTTTTAATAAAAACTTATAGTACTTTTTATGGTACATAAAATTATTCAATTAATATAATCTATTATATATATATATATAATTAAATTTCTGTAAAATATACATAATTTCATTAAATTCCTACTAATGAAACAATAATATTTGTTAACCTGCAACTAATGTTCTTTAAAAATAAAAATCGTATTAAAAATATTATTTATTTTATTGTTAGGCAAAGATTATTCGAACTTTTTGCCATGAGCTCCTGCAGTTAACAAGTGTTTCATTAATTAAAAAAATATAAAATAGATGTTAATGAAAGGTAATGAAAAATATTTAGATAATACATATACAATTTAAGTCATTATGATTATAATGTTTCTGACTAGAAACTTGCAGAATTCAACTGCAGGAGCTGTCAAGAGTATTTTCTTGGCAGTTATAATAATTTTTATTGCTTCGATTATTATAAAATAGCTATTCCTAAGCATAATCGTTTTTTATATTTATTGATAAGAAGTTCCCGGCCACTGGCGAACCTTTTTCGCAATAATTACAATAAATTAATTTTTAGTTTTTCCGTGAACTCAACACTTGTATGATTATTATGCGACTATATTGTTGAGATTATGTTTCTCTCGATAGTTACTGTAGCTAAGAGCCAAGGCACATTGTTGAATATAAATTTACAATTTTATTACTAATAAACCAGTTGGTTTTTTGTTCATAGATGATCATCCCCATGAAAATGGCCATTTCTATTTAGAGGCTGCCGCTCTGGTACATCGCTTGGCCGATTTCTCTTGAAAAATCCGCACTAAAATAAAAATAAAACTCAATTTAAAGATTTAATATAGAAAAAAGTGAGAAAATTGTAGAATAAGGAAAATGAAAAAAAAATTCTATTTATTTAAAATGTAATGTCAAATTTTATAAAAATTAAAATTTAATGAATAACTTTTTCAATCATCATACCTTATAAAGTAGGAAGATCAGTAGCAGTAAAATAACCGTTCCTGCGCACGCAGACAAAACAACAACCCACAAAGGAACAGTATCTGATTCAGCCAGACGAACAGTTGGTTCAACATTCGTATACATTTCATGACTTTTAACCATTTCTTCGGCAGGTTTACCAATAAATGGCAGTTTTGTAATTCTTGCAACCAACTGTGTGGATATCTTGACCGGTTCATTAAGTGCAACTTTTTTCAACGTGGTTCCTTTTATTCGATATCTAGCACTTATTGAAACCTCTTCATCTTTTTCCAGTCTACCCAATGTACATTTTAGCCGAACACACCTGGCAGCTTCACACAAAGGTAAAATTTTTTCAGACTCACTCTCTGACTCCTCATCTGGGTCAAACAATATCCCATCTCCTTGATACATTTCTGCATGACTTTGGTATTGTCTTAATTTATAAGTATTTTCTGCACTTCTTTCATATCTCGAATGACCATCTTCATAATTTTGAATTTTGCCATAAGCATCCGCTTCTTGACTATAAACCTTGGTACCATGTCGTCGTTCAGACATATATTTTTTTTCATGATGCGTTTGAGTTTTATGAGTCTCGATTTCTTCTCCAGCAGTCTGTTGCTTCCATGAACTATCATGAGTCTTAAGAGTTCCTTCAATAAACTCTTTATCTCCATAACTGGCTGAATCACCTGATCTTCCTCCAACATTATATGTTCTCGTCTCTGTGTAAGACCACGAACTTTGTAGAGGAAATTGTCGGTCATCTGCAAGACGACAGTAAACTTGACCATCATCTCCTTGAATTATTTGAGCTTCAATTTTTTTAAAACTACGATCCACTGTACTCGACTGAGTAAAGTAACTTTGTTCTCCATAACGATCTCTAAGAGGGAATATCAGGCCATTTTTAAATTCAATATACTCTTTACCATCTTCAGATACTCGGACTCTACCAAGAAACTGAAGATATCTATTGCCTTGTTTATAATAGTTATCATATCCTAAAGTACGTGACAATGAATTGAGATAATTTTCAGTATCTTGAGTAAAATTAAGTCTATGCGCTATCTCTGGTCCACTAGATGTATAAGTATTTTCATTTTCATAGTGTCTCTCGGTTCCATAAACATATTCTTTGTTACGTATATTTTTTTCTTCTGCTCTTCTTTGCTCTTCCAAAAGTCTTTCTTTATTTCTTTGACGTATCTTTTCTTCTTCTAAATTTTTGAAATATCTTTTATCATCGTACGTCTGTTCTACTTCAACATTTCTGTTTATTTCTTCACTGTCAACTGTTGAATCTCTTTCGCCTGATCCACCATAAATAGCGTAAGTTTTATTTTGCTCTCTAAATTTATGACTTTGCCACGTTTTTTGATTGTTATCGTTTGATAGATCAGCAGATCCTAAAAGACCTTGATCTTTAGATACATGAACTATTCCAATAGAATCATGACCCAATCCATGAGTGCTACCTCCAGATTCATGAATTATCACTCCCTTGTTATTACTTTCATTAACATTGGATTCTCCATGTGTCGATGACGTAACCTTTGAAGATCCACCACTCCAACTACCGCCTTGATGATAAGTAGTCTGTGCTTTTTCAATGTATTTATTAAAATTACTTTTCTCTGTTGAAAATTCATAACCTGTATGAACATTAATATTCTTTCTAGAACCTGCTAAGTTCTCATGAACAATTCCCGATGTTGTAGAATAATATGAATACTGTTTTCGCCGTTGTTCAAGTTTGAGACTTAATGGATTTGCGTTGGCGGTAGCACAGCTTAATGGTCCTGTCGTTTCGGGCTGTTCCAACAAATAAACTAAATCGTCCTTGGCTAAAGTTGCTGCTGGCCAAATCAGGAATACTTCTGCCTCTTCAATTCTTGATGGACCTTGGTTTCTTATTGTGTAATTATGTGTAAATGCTGGTCCATACTCAACGTCTGTTGTTGCGTTAATAATCGTATAATTATCGGGATCATAATATAAGTCTTTGGGTTTACTTTCTCCTTCGATGAGTAAATCTGTTTCTACCCAAATTTCAAGAGACGTATGTCGAATGTTATCACTCGTCGTTTCAGTAGGCTCTGGGTTAGTTGAATTAACATTCATCTCAAATTCGTATGTCGATTTTTCATTATGAACGTCGATAGGTTGTAAGAACACAATAAAATGCACAAGGTTTCCTTTAGATAAAGGATTACCAATATCACATTTGAGAGTATTATTATTTGATTGTTTTGGGGCTGAACATTGTACTGGAATTTCTCCCTTGTCAATCCTTTTAATCTTGATGTAATTAACGCCGGGAGGCAGAATAAGATTATAGGTTGCTTCGAATGCATCTTCATTGGCATTTTTAATATATATTTCAAGCTCATAAGGTTTGCCTGAGCCAAAGAGATACTTGGTGACACTGGGTGTAACAGTTAGCTGTAGATCTGGCGTACAGATATTGTCGGGACCACAATTCTTGCGGATAGATAGTGTATCCTTTTTCGATGAGGTCGTCGCGAGTACTGGCCTGAGAAGGATGCGTGGATCGCGTGGACGCTTATCTGACCAGCGTTCTTCTGCAAGACTCATTCGCATCTCCGCATCTAAAGAAGTTAATTTATCACGGATGCTTGGAGTAACGTACACCTGAAAAGTAAAAATATGATAAACAAGTGTTTTGTATTTTTTTTTTCATTGTTAAAAGTACCACTTACATAAAAATCAACAATATGTTTCCAGCCTTATTTAGTATTAATAAATTTCAAAATTTTTTAAAATATTATACTTGAAAAATTTATCATAAGAATTCATAATTACAAGGTGGCTTGAAAATTTTAACAAATCATCAATACTATTTTATGATATATCATGATATAAATAAATATTAAAGAATTTAGTTTCTCAGACTTTTTAAATTCATCAAAATTAATTTTTTAATTATTCAAAAGGCTGAACTAAAATTCAAACTTGTAACCTGTCTTTCATGCTGCTTCAACATTAAATCGTTTGATAGACTTACCCTTACAGTCCGGCAGAATTGTTCATTGCGATCAACAGTTATGGTATGATTTAAGGTATTTCTTCCTTCATGTTCCAAAAAGAAAAGTCGAGGACTCTTTGTCTTCTTTACATCGAGAACATACTGAACATTAAATTCATATGTAGAAGACACTCCATCGCCAGTGTATTTGAAACAAGCCTTCAGCGGAAGACATGTAACACGTGTTGTATCAGACAAGGTACATTCTTTGTCATCCAGAGATATTAATTTGGAGGAAGATCCAAACTCCACAAATGTATCTTGAGGAACCATCTTTATTACAGGTCTTGATCGGAAAAACATAGCTGTTCCTGACTCATAAGATCCAACCACCATATCTGGATAGCGATTTCCGTCTAAATCAAGACCACCTGCGATTGAGAACCCAAAAGTTCGAACATTGTTGCTAAGATCTTCAGCATGTATCACTTGGGAATATACGTCGAGTACGCCTTCATGCGAACCATGATAAATATATACGGCTCCACGACCTTCAGGTCCAGCATAAGGTGCGCCAACAGCGAAATCTCCATATCCATCACGATCTACGTCACCAAGAGAAGCTAAAGATAACCCGAACCGACCTCTATTGCTCTCTCCATCCCTGATAGGAATAACAAAAGACAATTTGTAAACTTCTTCAATGTAATAGTGATCCGTTGATCAATTAAATTAATTACCTAGTGACAAATTGTCGATATTTATCTGGTCCTTTTCCATAAAATATGTAAATACGTCCAGTTTCGATATTCATTTCGGGATTGTCTGGTATTGTATACATCGGTGCTCCGACAATCAGATCGTCCAATCCATCACCATCAATGTCTCCTGATGCCAATGCGTAACCAAAGTACGCTCCCATTTGCTCACCAGTAATGTTTTGATGATTCGTCATATTAGAATCAAGCAAAATTACCTAGAAAAAATTTTTTTATTTACATTTTATTTAAGAACTTAAATTTAATCAGTTTAATAATGAAAATAAATTATTCATGATCACAAATAGTCATTTTTTATCAAGATTAATGGTAATTCAATGACATGGATTTGAAAAAGAGGCTTTAAAGATTACACTATAAAATCTAATTAGATTTTCAAAATTTGTTTGTAGCTTGATTTTCCATTTCAATATTCATCAAAATTTGAAATTCTCTTTGAGTAAATTAAAACTTACTTTGCCATGAAGGCTATACCCTCTAGGCATTCCTACAGCAGTTCCAGTGTCACCATTGCCAATAAAGTCTCCGGAAGTTAGAGAATACCCAAGATAACTGTCATCTTCTTCTGGCGAGCCTTCTTTGGTAAACATTACTTTGCCCCGATTGTTTAGCATTTGGGTGTATGTTTGTCCTGCAAATTCAAGTATTATTAGCATTCAATAAATCACTTATTGATCATCTGGTCAACAAAAACCATCATTTTGGTAACTAAGCATAATGTAAGGCGCTAGATTAATATTGTAATATTATTTTAGTAATCGCCGCTGTAATCACCGTTTATCAAGCATCAAACAGCTGTTGAAAGCGACTGAGTCACTCGCCAATATTTCATCCTGGCTAATTAGTCGAAGTTCCCAATAGCTATAATTCATATTATTCAAATTTATTAAATTCGTTGAAATTGTATTACTTCCATGATATGACTGCCAAAAAAAACTGTAAGAAAGCTTTGCCCACACCTGTTAAACCTCAACTCACCTGGCAGCATATTAAAATATTTTTAATCAATAAAACTACTACTTGGGTTATAAATCCACTTTAATTTTAGACTCAATTCACACACTGAGGTTTTTTGTTTAATTTTCTATTCAATTAATGAATAATAGTTAATAGTAGTTATTTTGTCTAATATCAAAGCCATCATCAATAACTCGCACAGTATTCGTTAATAAATATATAATTAATTATGTAATTATTTATTTTTTAGAGCTACACTGCCAAGCAAGTGTCAAAAGGCACAAAGGGTCATTACAGGAGGGTCAAGTACATGTATCAGCACGCAAATCTAGGCTTTTAATGAATTAAATGAATCGTAAATATTGTGGGTAAGCTTCTTAGTATTTGAGACTAATAAAAAACGAATTATTTTTGAAAATAATTAACCCAAAATTTAAATGATAATAGTAATTATTAAAGTTTTAAAAAATAAAATGTATAAAAAAGTTTAAGGCTCAAAATTTATTATTGACAATTCAATAGTTAAATTATTTATATTCTAAAAAATATTCAAATTACCGGTTATGAATTTTTTAACAATTTGTTTATTAGTTAATAAATCCTTATTGAGAGAGTCTTATTTATGTTTGCTATAAATAAAAGGGTAATTATATCCAACAAACTATTTGAATTAATGTTACTGTAAATTAACTGCCGAAGTCAAGATATATTTTCCATGTATTTTTAACAGTATAAAGTATAGGAATATATCAAAGTAATTATTACTTTTATCTGATAATTTATTTCTCAATTATTAACTATTTAAAAATTGAACTTTTCATTTGTTCAACTTGTTAATTAATTATTTCTTCTCTTGAATGCATACAATTTTTATCTCATTAATTTTTAAGCTTATAATTTTTATGAATATTTCCTCAAACTTGTTTATTAATAAGTAATGTAAATTATATTAAAAAACTAAAATATTAATCCGACGAAATAATTTGTTTTAAATTAATCTAATCTGTTGGCTGATAATTCAGTTAACCCTCCTCTAATTAAACAACTTAGGAAATAAAATGTTAATTAGCATTTAGATCTGTGGGTTTTTCAAACATTAGCATATTAAAAGATCAGTTATACGAAATAGGATGTTTACGGACTCCTGGTAATTCATGGTGTACCTTGAAAAACACCGAACGAGGCATTTCCTGGAGGTAGGAAAGGAAAATTTTCCATTCTTCTCATCACTGAGTACAGCTGACCTGCAATAGTTTTAATGAAAAATCTGTTCGCTATATCAATTTTTACTTCCTACAAAATAATCATTTGCACCACTGGTCGACATCTTACAAGACATCTATTTTATCTTAATCTGTAGACATTATATACAACCATTTATTCATTATTTATAAATTTATTAAAAAATAAATACATAAGTAATTTACCTTGCCAATACCAACTTCCAGGTGCTCCAATGAAAACTCTCTCTCCATCCTGTAACCAAGAAAACATGTTGTGTAGTACATATATTTATGTTTGTGTAATAAAAAAGTTTCTTAATATATTTCTTAGCATGTAAATTATCATTTCTGCCCACATGATTGATCCTGAGTGGGCGAATACTGCCATGTATTCGAGGTGAAGTTTCTAATAACATCAAATACAAATATGAATAGAAAGTGGAAGTGGAACTAGGTGAGTTTGATGATAATCATTTTTTAAAATACGTACTTTACATAGCAATAATTAGGGCATCAACTAAATTATAATAAATCAATTAAACAACCAGTTATTTATACTTCTTCAAATCCAATAAATTGGCATAAATAATATAATGAAATTATTTCAAAACTAATTTTCATTATACATATTTTTTTCTCAATGACAATATATTTTTTTGCTGTCGAATAAAAAAGAATGAAACATTGAAGTAAACCAGAATAAAATTTTCTATGAAAATGACTGATAAACAAGTCGAATCAATTTTAAACTTAATTAGGTAAAAAGATAACTGCTCTTAAGTACCGCACTTCAAATCATCTTTCTTAAATAACAAACCCATGGATTGTATTCCAATCTGTTTTGGATCACGTTCACACGGATGCTGCTACTTTTCGTAGATGTGTATCTTCGGTTCATCAAAGAGAATTAATTTTTTGTTAATCAGATAGAATTTATTTCCAAAGATATTCTCACGCTTCAAGTATCAATATTTATGAATATACATTATTTAACTTTGACACTCGACATATCGGACAAAAAAAAAATTAGTATACGTGTGCATATAGTATCCTGGTGCGGACTTTACGTTTTGATATTGTTGTTTCTACACGGAGTGCCGTCCATTGTTCGAAATCGTGCACGAGCCAATCCACAATGGGCCACAAGATCACGTCCAGTGTAAAAATATTATCCATGTTTAAAGATAAATATTGCGAAAAGCCAAAAATAAACACAAGGCATTGCAAGCAATAGTTTGAAGAATTTCAAAGAATTCTTTAAAGGTTGATCTGGTACCACATTTATCTTATTCTTTTATTTAAGAATAGGCTCTAAGTTTTATTTCATGTTGTGCTTTCCGTAAACATCAGCTAAAAGTTTCCATTATAAGATCAATTATTTTTATATTTATTTGAATAAATTTTATTGCATAAAAGAAATAAAAGTTTTGTCTAACGGAAAGAATTCAAAGAATATCAAACTCGCAATGCTTGTCCATATAAGGTACGAACATTTTGTTCTGTCACCGTGTCCATGTTTTCTTCTTGAATAGGGACTACCTACGCGATGGGCGCTTTTCTCCATCGTGATACCACTTTATATAACATATCATGGCTACTCTCTTTTTTCCATTATGTAAGCGAATGTGAGAAGACATCTACATTCCATTGGATTAAATTTTTAATCAAGAAAATTACGCTTCAGGTACAAGAACAATTGGTAGTTGATGGCTTTTTACCATTCTATTTTATCGATATCATCTGATAACATTGTCTTACAAACATGTATTTTACTTGAGACATACTCCAAACCTCTAACCAACTTTTTATGGTATACCATCATATTCGATAGTAGTTTTAAGTCCAATTTGAGGAACTTCAATTGTTATAATTCTCACATATCATCTGTCTTGGTTTTCTCCATATTCTTGTTTTACTTCATAAAATGAATTGTTTAAAATTAATTCTAAAAATAATATTGCCGATGATAAATTGAATAGATCATAAATAAATATTACTCTTTATTTAGATTTTGTTTGTATTGGTAAATCAACCTGTAGTGTATTATCATGTAGGATGGTATATCAATGTAAAGTAGACAATGATTTATGTCAACTTGACGATAAAATTAATTTTCAAAACAGACAATAGAAAATCTAAAATCCTTCATTTTAGTATTTTTGAAGTCTCGAGTTTAAATATTTATTTATAATATTCTGTGACTCTTGAATTTTTATTTCTTCCATTAAGAACATTTACCTACATTTTAATATTGTCAACACTCCAAGACTTTATTTCTCAAAATCAACAATCAGCTAAAGTAGTATAACAAAGATACACAATATTTTCATACTCATTTATTTATTTATTTTTATTCATTAGTCAATTGTCATTCAACTTGAAAATTTTTTTTAAAATAGATTTTCATTCTACTCCAACTGATCTTAAGTCTATTCGAAAATGAAATGATCATTTTATATTTTATTTCTTTTTTATAAAGCTTATCCATCATATGTATTGATACTTATTTATTTCAGTATTTTTTTTTTCTTATTATCTAATATTTTTGGTCATTATTGGTATTCAATACAGTGATAGATGAACCTACCCAATTCTTAGAACTTCTAATTAAATAAAATCTTAGCTAAATTGAAAAACTTTGTGAATCTAGTTCTATATCTATGTATATTGATGATCACAAGTAAAAAGCTAATCTATTTCCCAGCTCCTCCATGAAATTTGTCATGATTTATTACAGGGTGATAAGATACGGGTGACATTCATGGCGCCTGGAAAATTAATTAATCACCAAAGTGTTGAGTTAAGGCCACCAGCTACTGAATAGCTTAAGAAAATAAGTCGAATACATATTAAATCATCATAGTAAGTTTGAACAATTGTTTAGTTAAACTTGTAAATTGTAACAATTGATTCCATAAATTATATAGCACAATATCATTTTGAATAAACCATTACAGTTTTTGCTTTTTGTTTTCATTGAAATTGTATTCGGTTTTACATTGTACAAAGACACACGTCCCAAATAAGAGCATCAACTGATTTAGATCTTAAAAGAAAAAATGTATAAAGTAGACTCTACGTTTATGTAGTTGACAATATGCATGCGAGTTATAAATTGTACTCTAAGAGCGTATACATATCCTTCTACCTACTTTACCTTTGTATACATATTTGGGTGGTATTATAATTCAATCTGTGTTTTATCGTCTTACTTCTTCTCGATAGGTACCAAAACATTCGCTCGTGTTCTTCGTGTAGACAGCCTTATTTAATCTGCAACCATTGTTCTTGTTGCAAATTTTTCTCTTGTAAACACAAGTTGATTTCTCTGTTGGCTTTATTCCGGCATCACATTTTTTCATGTCGAAGAATTAGAAACATTTTTGCGCTATGATAATAGTTTTTTCTCTCAGTTATCTTATGCTTGACTGTCTCTTAGTGATTACAGAATGATAGAGAATTTTGAGAAGATGATAAATGGCTGTTTGATAGGTTTACATTACCGTATTGGTAGGATGATGATATTTTTTAAAGGGGAGATTTAGAATCACATATAAATATCATTTCCGAAATTCATTAAAGTATTACCAGTGTTTTGATATGAAAGTTATTATGTTCAAATTTATCACAATTAATTATTTATATTTAATCCTCATTTTTTTTTTAATACCTTAATATGGACCTTTCCAACAATCAATTAGACATTTTTATTACATTCAATTAATCTTACTTTTCTTTCTCCGCAGGTTATGTAAATGAAATCTAGTGGTTATTAACGATATCAAGACTCAAAAACTAAGCGTAAGAAATAGATGAAAAATTCAAATAATTTATTGAGTCACTAAAAAGTAATTTTAAACCTAAGACCCTGAATGTATATTTGTTAAAAGAATTAAAGAAACTAAATGTTCACATTTTATGCTTATATATTTACATTCGTTCACATGGCACAAGAGTAATGTATATGCGAGAGAAGTTGTATTCAAATGCGTGATACAGGCCAACTTGAACCTTACATCTTGGCCATTTTTGGATGAGAATCAACCCTCATAGTGTCTCAACAGCTCTTAACTCTTTAGAAACACGCTTGACTTTATGTAAGTTGCTTTGCTACGTTTGTATAAAGTTCTTATTTACGACGTGTAATTTACACTACACGACTTTGGTTTTTTACTCTACGCAACTGAGGCTTTTTTTCTTAGGAAATAAGTATTAATCGTTGTTTACTTACTCGAGACACTGCAGCTCCCAAACCTGCCTGACAATACCCTTGTCTGTGGTATCCAAAATTTTCTGAAAACATTATTGCATTCATTAATTCACTGCCATTAATAGTTAATTAATAAATGAAGATATTTTGATGATTATGAATTCATGTTAAAAATAATATAGAAATAAACTCTAAACCACTACTGGATTTTTTCTTTTCAGCTACATTTGATTAACATTGAAATCAATGACAGATCTTCATGAGTAATAAAAATAAGGCATAAATATCAGAAAAAATGATTGGACTAAATTAATTATTTATAGCACTAACTGGAATTTATAACGCTGAAAAAGTATTGAGTATTAATAAACTTAAAATGCAATAAGTATTAAATTTCATTCAAAAACTTGCAAGTAAATAAATTGAAACCAACATGTTTTTTGCTGACTCAATGGTCATCAAAAAATATTCATACTTATTTTTCACTTTAACTAACAGAAACAAAACTTCTTATAATAAATAGACAATTGTTGGATATTTATGAAAATATTTTGAATATTGTATCGTAAAAATTTTTTTCAATGAATTTAAAGTTAAACATTGCAAAATAGTAAGCATGAATTGATGTTCATTTGATATTTCACAAAAAATGAGTCATTAACTGGATTATTTTTAAACTACGATTAAGTAAGATATATTTATAGAATTTATTTAAATTAGTTGGTGAGATATTCGATCACGTCATACTATTATTACTGATTTCTGAATTAAATCCAATTACAAAGTAGTTTACAGTATCCCGTGGCAAAAATTTACACTGCATTCTCTTCAAATTATATGCAACATAAATTAGAATAAAAAAATTTTAATAAATTGTACGTTTAGTGATGATATGATTGATAAATAATAAATAAACTTACTTGTTCGACATGGTGCAAATTCAACTGATGATGTAAAATTTGTCACCCAACAAGTACCTACTGGATCTCTTCTATTTCCAACTATGGATGGCCTAGAACTATCACCAAAGTCTTTCTTCGATTGGGAAATAGAGAAGAACACATATCTTGGTGCACATGCCTGAAAAAATTTAAAACATAAGTAAAAATAAAAAAATTTACAAGTATAGTTATTTCATATCTCAAATATTACAACTAACAGAGGAAGATTAATGTAATATTCATGTTTTTCAACTCAAAATGATTCTTTCATTAGTGCTATCGATTATTCCTCTCCATTATCATTTGTTAGTTTGTATTTGTAAATTTATTTTAATCATCATTTTATACTTTTTATCAAAAATATGTTTTATTAAACATATTTTATTTAAGCATAAATATACCTTTTGAAAAATTATTGATAATTGGACACAAAAAGTTATTTTAAAAATATCATTCATTTTTCATTAAAAAGTAATTTCATGAGCTACCTGATTTCATAATATTTGTTAAAAATATATCAATTTGATGTCTGTAAAGAAAACTTGAAAAATTTTATATTGTAAGTTATTTTTAAGCAGATATCATCCAGTGTAAATAGATCGTAGTTTATCTAGGACAGTCTGAAAAGACATTTGGTAATTGATGAATTGCACTAGTCTCAATTATTGACATTGAGACAACAAAAAGATATAGATGACCTCAGTCATCAAATAAAAAAACTATGATTACTGATCTTTTTTTTTATGGGAGCGCTGAGCTAATGAAAGCTCGTGCTCACGCCCCGACACATGTTGAAAGTTTGAGTTATTTCGGGGCGTAAATAAGGTCAGTTGAGATCGTCTACACTCGATTTTCTTCGATGGGATGAATCGTCAGCTTTTTAAGTAGGTAACTAATCATCTTTAAACTTTTTTTTTTCTATGCATTTATTTGACTTTTTAAGTGAATCTAATCAAAGTATATTTCAAGAGCCAATTTAAATTACTTTTCGTTTTTTAATTAAGTCTAAAAATATCCGTATTTCCTATGAATTTTGTATCATCATTGATGAAACCCAATTTATTCCTTACTTCCTTTTCAGTAATGTCAGTGATTAATTTTTTTTTATAAATTTTAAATAAATCTGCGCCATTCATATCTGACTCAATAATTTGTTTTCAACTTAATAAGCAGAAAAATATTTATCAATGAACTATAAAAAAATTTTCATAAATAATCTTATCTACTAATGTGTCAATTTATTTTTGATTAATTGAAGAAAAAAAATTTATATATCATGAAGCTTGAAAAAAAATGCATCAAAAGCTCTTTCTGAAGACCATTTCCATCAAACAAGAAGCCCAAAAATTACTGAACTTCCGAGAAACCTTTCCCCTAAGGAACTTGATCGTACTCACGTAATATAACGTTATATTATATTCCCATAAAAAAGCTAATAATCAAATAGTAATAATTTTTTTCCAAAGTTCTGAAGAAACTATATCTGACTTGATAGAAAGAAAGCACGTGCTTTTATATACATTGTATACATGAGTGTATTTATATATATAATGTTTTAATTGAGTCACCTTTTGCGGTGACTGACTCATAATATTATTTATAGGTGAGACAAATGATCTTCAACTGTCTTCAAGTACTGGTTACAATACACTATATATTATAAAGGATACATTAAACCCCGGAAATTAACTACTCAGATTCTATTTCATACATTCAAGTAATCTTATCGGCTTCATTATGTCAATAGCCACATTAAAATGACTTTCATTCAAAGGTTGTCGTAAATCAAGCATTGACATCAAACCAAACTATTTTTACCAGTTTCAGTCATTTAGGTAGAGGTAAGGTCTAAAGGTGAGGGGTAATATGTTTGGATGGATGTAATGATACAAAAAATGAAAGGAAGAATTTGAAGATTCAAAAAAATAGTTCGAGTGAGTTGCTGTTAATGTCAACCGGAGAAAATTAGAGAATTAACAAAAAAAAGTAATGGTTCAGCGAGACTTGCAATTTGCTCAGTGGACAAAAATTAAAACACGAAATGCTATTGTCCATTGAAGTTTTTTTTCTTTGCTTTCTGGCAAAAGTTTAACTGTTATTATAAAAATACTGTATTTAGAGAATGTTTACAATTACAGTATAAGATGAAATTTAAATTGCTCCTCGGTTTGTTGGGTATTTATTGTGAAATTGAGTTAATTGGTAATTAATAATTTCACTGCACCAGTTAATTGAGAAACAGCCAATTATCACCAAGACTCACCTACATTTCATCGTTGGGTGTTCGTTCGTCTCACCATATTACTCACGATTATATCTATAACATTTTCTAGCCTTCGACTCAAGCTATTACCGTTCTTTTCTATTTATATATGATCATTTTGTTTCAGCCTATTACTATTTTCATCACCTCGATAATCAACTGATAAAAGTATTCTTTCAGATAAATAATCACCAAATATTAATTTTAGCAAATAATTATTTTTTCTGATTACAATTTATTTGTTTTAATTTTAATGACTTTAGTTAAAACTCAAATATTTGTAAACTGTCGAGCTACTATATTTTATTATTTTTGTTCTATTCACTTGAAGACGGTCGTAATATTTTTGTATCTAATATTTTTAAACATCGCTTAACTAAATAACTACATATTATCCAGTCAGGTATGATTTTAATATCCGGAGTCTTCAATTGCTTTCGTAAATAAGTACGGACGAGCCCGGATACTAAAATCTTAAATGACAATTAAGGACTTTAGAACGATTATTCGAATTTTACTCATTTCCGGTGTGAAAAAAAAAATTTGATTTATTTTTCAAAATGATTTCATTGTTTAATGAAAAACCATCTTAATTACATAAATTAACATCAACTTTAATTTATGATGAATGAAAGAAAAAATTTACAGAATGTTCTTTTTGCATTTAAATTCCCTAAATCAAGTAAATGTTGAACTATGCCTTAACTGCTTCAAATTATACGAATTCTATACCACAATATTTGCGGCAACGCCTTGATGATACTACGCAAATTATTCTACACAAAAAGAAGGTATATCCATTTAATACAAGTGAAAAGACACAGCCTTAGAAATTTAAAACATCTGTCGGCAATCTAGAGGCTGTATCTAAAAAATACAAGAGATTCCGCGGTTATTGCGAAAAGAAATGCAAGGGCAGAAGGTAGAAAAAAATTATCTGAGTGTCGGAAGAATCGACAAACAGTAGAATAAATTTGTCTGCCACTGACTAGAGAATTACACATAATAAAGAATGAAACCTTCTTTTAGTCCCCAATTTTTTTAGCTTTTTTCTTGATTGAAGAACCAGACTGGTTGAAGAAAATAAAAATAATTTTTATTGTGAATGGAGATTATAATAAATTGATGGAAAACTTACTATAAATATTTCTTATTATAATTCATATATTTTCATTCATTATCTGTTTCAATATTATTTAAATAAGTTTCTTCCTTCATATGTTTATTATTTAATGAATTTATTTAGAAAAAAAAAATAAATCTTTTGCAATTATTCAAAAGAAACAATCCTACGCAAAATAGTGATATTAGTACCCAATTCATAAATCTCTATTCTCATTCAGTTAAAAAACAATAGAAAGCTTAAAGAGTTAGCAAAATCCTTTCTACAACTAATGTAAATCATTAATAAACGTAAATTATCATATACGTGACAACGAAATTCAAAACTCGTCAGTAAAACGCGAATATAATAACTTTAAATGATGAATGCTTGAATACTAAACCACACTAGTACGTCATGAACTTTTGTTCTCACTGAATAGAGTATCTTGTTACTAATTCACACGTTTTATTATCTACAGTAGTAGAGTAAAAAATATGAATGTCAAGATAAATAGACTGTTGTTGCTTTATAAAGACCACTTATCTACGTACAAGGTATGGATAATAGCCATTGATAATCTTTGCACTGAATTATGTAGTCTAATTGGGTTTTGCATCACATTATTGTTATTAAATTACAATATTATTCCACTTAATAATATCATATGAAAAGATAGTAATGAAAATGTAGTCGTGATATAATTGAATTTATCAGCTAGAAATGCTTTAAATATTTGATAAATCTCTAAATGACTAAATTTCAAATTGTAAGATTGAACTTATTGCTTTTACATTGATTACATTAGTCAGCTTAACTATACTAGATATCCTCACCAATTTGAGTTAAAAATACTTCAGAGGTAAAAAAGCTTTTCATTCTATATCCAGAATGCACGCGTCATTTCTTATTTGAGATTGTTTATTTTTAAGTTCAAAAATAGACTTAAAATGGCAGAAGAGAGTAGAGAGTATATTCTGGCAAAGCGGAAAGAGGGTACAAAGAAAAAAATGAAACTCAGACACGTCTTCAACTCAAAGAAACTCTAAAGCTCTGTGTTATGGCGACAGTTATTCTCATGCTAATGTGATCCTTGTAATTTGTGATGAAAGAATTTCGTCAAGAATTTCACCAGCTTTTACTCGAGACATCCCGACTTTTTGTAGTGTGAGATTTAAGTTAATTGTGTATGCTCGTACCAGTATAGGTCCTCCGTCTACCAAAGAAGTCGACACTGTTGCTCCAAACCATTGCAAAGTCTTGTTGTCTATCTGGATGAGGTTGTATGGTTTGTTTGGATTTTTTATATAATTATTTTCTGCAAAAAAAAAAAAAAATATTATTAATAAATATAATTTGTAGAAATAAGAAAAAATTGATTGAATAAGTAATATCAATGAATAACATTTCTTCAATCATTCATCAGTAGCTTTCTTTTTAAATTATAAACTAGAAAGTAAAAGATCGCTATCAATAAAATATTGACTTGATGTATATTTTTGTTTAGCAAACTAATGAATAAACCATTATTATTGAATGAACTTTAATGATAATTCATTGACAACGACATTTATAAACAGTCGTAAAGTAAAGTAAAATTACTGATAAGAAAAGTGCATTCTAATTATAATGCATAAATAAATGTAATTATCAACTTATTTATATCGCTGTGTTTATTAGTCAGTGTTAATTTATCTTATTCAATTCTTCACTGTGTTGATAAGATAACTGTCTTTCACTACATGTGATATAGTTTTTTAGGATTTTTCTACCTTTTACAGTAGCATCAAGTGGAAACAGAATGATCCGTTACCTGTATAAACGATCAGATGTACTTATCTGCCAAAGGTAGGAACATTCTGATGTTTTTATTTCTTCTTAAAGTGTTTCCACGTTATAAAACAAAAAGATAATGGGGTGAAAACTCATTGGTAGAGTACGTCATGGAGTTAAGATACAATAGTGTCGAGTGCATCTTACGGTTTCCTCTATTTGGGATTGCTAGTTTTTATTGAATGTTTCACATAACTTGGAAAAATAAATACAAGACCATCGAGATGACAGACGTAAGACGAAAAAGAGGAGAGAAGATTGCCAATTCCGGACAAATGAGAAAAGTGAGTGACCTGTAAGGTTGTTCCTGAAGTCCAGTTGTTAATCACTACGTACTTGGAATAATAATATGTGAACTCATTCAAGAAATAACTGAATTTCCAATCAATTGTCTTAATTATTAATGAAAATTTATTATCTAATTTATAAAAAATTTTTTAATTATTTTTTATAATCAATTTTTTATAAATTATTCTATTGTATTGCAATATAAATATCAATTCCTTACAAACTAATTTAAATAACTGTAATATTTCCTCATAATAATTGATAAGCAGCTGAATATGAATCTATTTAAAAAACAGTTATCAATTGAAGATAATAATGAATAATTATTTTTCTTTATAGACTAATTAATAATTGTATCTAATGGATTTCATTGAGATAATAAAGCTCAACGTATATCATTATATTAGTGCCTTTTGCTAAATTTTATTCGTATAATTGTCTACATTAAATTTAATTGATTCAATATCTGTATAAGATAAGTTAAAATCAGTATTAATTAAAATGAAATAAGTATAAGTGAAAAACATTCCATAAGTAGAATAGTTTTTAAATTAAATTAAATTAAATGAATCGACAAGTTAAAATGCCATTAACAATAAATAAATAGTACTCAATGTAAAACAAACGTATAAAGTATTATATCATCAAATATAGTTGAGTTAAAATAATCAAACAATTTCATTGAAGAAAAGGTAATAAAATTACTTGCCAAGAACTACAAGTTCTAGAAAAAGATTAATTTGAGTTGATGCTTAACGTGTTTCAAATTAATATGATAGTTAATAAGCAATCTTCATCATAAATATTTTTTCATTAACTTATAAACCTTGAATTTTATTTTAAATTAATTCAATATAAATCCTAAAATATCACGGTTCAATTCATCAGTTTCTAGAAGACAAGAATATTGAAAATAATTACTCTCTAAAAGAAATAGACTAGAAACGTTCGTGACCAGTTTCTAAAATTGTTTCATTAATTTAAATTTTCTTCTGTATTATTTTTTATTTCAATGTCATATCATTTATATCCATTGATAATTAAACTCTAAGCAATAGATTTATTCAAACCTATACTGAAATTAAGTAAATAATGGTAATTTACTAAATAAAAGATTATTATACTAATTTTTCTGAGGAAAAAATATATTTCAATTTCTGTACTTGAATAAATCTAGTCGTCTGATCATTGATCCTTTTACTACTTATGTAGTTTTACCATTGTGTTAGAATAAATTTATCTTCTATTTTATTTCTAATTATACGATTCCAGCTATATGTCTCTAATATATTATCTATATCCATTTTATGCTAACCTACCGAATTAATTAAAGAGCTAATTGACTGATTAATTTAATTTAATCTAATATAAATTTGAATCTAAAAAATCGAAAGATTTAAATGTAATAGAGGTCAATAAATTAATCGAATGCCTACTACGAATGGTATAAATCTGATCAATTGTAATTAAGATTGGCAATAATACATTGCGAAAGGCTAATAGCAAGTCAAATCACAACTAATTGATTGTAATAAGTATTTGAAGCTTAAAGATGTGTTTTTTTTTCTTGCTCTCAATATGTAATTGTATGACGGCGTTTAAAATTTTATTAAAACAGAAACCCGGAATATATAAAAACAACGACACTAAGTTCAACAGCACGGTGGTGCAAACTGCCTAAAAATAGATTGCTCCACATTTAAACGAATGACCTGGGATTTACAGCGCCAAAGATCAGGGTTTGTGTACTGTTGAAAGTTAAATACATAAAAAAGGTATTATGATGATTCAGAAATTCAATCTAAATATATATTTAAGTGTGACAAGAAGCCGAAAAAGCTTCGGTTTATCTGATTTTTGATTCTGAATCTACCTGAATGTTGAAGTTACACCATGACATCCGGTGATATCAAGAAATTATTCAAATATCATCTTTTATAAAGTTACATAGCAAACTCATGTTTAATCAATCAACTTGATTGTAACTGTGATTTTACTGGTGTACATACCTTGATGATCAAATTCCACAGGAACACAACTGTCATCAACTGCTACATCACAACGATAGACGGCACCTCCTCTGTAAACATTTGGTTGTGATGTCTGGGCTTCCGGTGCACCAACAACTACCCTGAAAAAAAAAATTATCTTAAGTATTCTGGAAATAATATAATATAAGCGAATTTATATTTGCAATTCAGAGATAATACAAATAAGAAATCAATGAAATTAAAGATGTTCTTTTTATATAAATTATTCGACAGTTAAAACTGATTAAAAGTTTGGAGAATAAAAAAATGCAGACCACAAAAAATGTCTTAAAAGTATAGGATATCTTATAAAAAGTCTGCCAAGACTGTATTTCAAAGTTAATAGTTTAAACGTGAGCAAAGCCGGAAGTGAAGCCTTAACATGTTTTGTTTTCACGCGGTTTGCTGTTTTATCGCCAGTACAAGCTTACATGATAGTTAAAAAAAATTTCCCAGACGTTAGAAAAACCAGTTTGTTATATTTTAAAACGAAAACATTTATCAGCTTATCTTGTATTTTGAAGCAAAATTTAATCATTTTTTGACCAAAAGCTGAAGATACACTATCTTTTTAAGTTAGAAATTTCATTTCTATGGATGATTATTTTTTTTATTCAATTGTTAATTCATCACAAGCTTTCCATTAATTACATTTCGACGAATCAAAGTTATAAATGTACTATTATCGTCTTGGAAGATGTCAAACACAGTCTTCTCCAACAGCAATAGTATATGATTAAAATTCTCCTTCGCTTAAATTTGCTACAAAAATTTATTATACTATTTCCTTATAGCTTTACGTGATAATGATTTCTAAGCAAAGCTAAGAGCCACGTCTTAAGATTGACGTTAAATCTTACGTTCGCTTTACTTAGTAAGCTTTTTCCTTAATAAAAATTTCGCTTTTAAAATGACAAAAGATTTATTAAAAAGATTAAAGTCGATCAATCCCGACCGGAAATGACGGCACAGATATCCTCGCTCAATCCATTCACGTGCTTTTACGTCGACTAGAATGTAATGAAAGACGACCCTCTCTCATCAATTATATATTTCCTTCAAAGACGTATAGAGAATGTTAATGATACTACAAAAGCCGATAAGATATTTAAACACCTCGGAACAAGTCTTTGTAGCGAAAATTAATTATTTATTATTTTCTATCAAAATTCTCTGTTGAAACTAAACGGAAGGTGACATTATTGTCACATTTACCAACAATTTTTTTTCAACACTATTATATTATTTATCCAATTAATAAATTGGTGTATCTTTTTTCGAGTTTTATGATTAATTAACACATGAAATAAAATATTAAAAAATAAATATTCAACACACTGTTTGCAATAAAATACTACGTAGCACATTTACACTGTTAATATAAAACATATAATTTTTGTATGCACTTGTACAAATAATAATAACACACATTGATTCACAGTGTATTTATTATCATAATCTTAATTAATAAAAAAACTGTCTGATGAAAATAGATATTTTTTGATCATACTAAAACATCAAATAATACTGTAATGTAATAACTATTGCAAATACTTAATAGTTAGCTCATACTTAACATATACTATGTTCAACGAAATCATCTTGGTGTTCATCATATTTTCACATCTGCCACCTTTCAGCCCGCATGAATGTTCATACATATAATAATGAACAGGAATTATAATGATAATATAAAGGTCCCCTCATTTCAACTCATACAGACTAATTTAAACCGTGAATAAATGAAAAAAAAATTACACTGCACCAATTGTAAAAATTTTCCATTTACTCTCATGCATATTGATTTTAATAAAGTTATTGAAGTCTTGATGAGCATGTAAGTTGCAAAATTGGTTGGTAGTTGATGGCGGAAAAAACTAATTTGTTTTTACACGTGTAAAAGTAATATTTACAGGCCACCCAGTATTCAAAACAAATTTTTAAAAAGGTTTTTAGAATTAACAAATTTAAAATGTGCGGATGGCGTGGGTCCCCTTTTCTTGACGCAACGGCAAATCATTGTAATGCTGACCTTGATACGATAATTACCTTCACTGCTCCCTTCAAAACCATTTTGTTTCCCTCTTACTGCAGCTGGAATAGCCTTTTTCACATTATATTCATTTTTTTAAGTGCACGAACTTCGTGAAAACATTTCTTTCATTCACACTCTAATTATCGTTTAAAATTTAAAACAATACTTCTCATAGAAATAACTCTTTTGTAAATAATTTATTAATATTTAATTTATTTTTCCAATAAACTTGCCATTAAGATTATTCGTAAAAACGACGTTTAAAGTACTCGCAAATAATCTCATTCTGTTAACGAAAGTCAAGGCTGAAATACAAAGCTGTTGAATCCTCTGACATTTAGAGAATAAAATGTAAAATAATATCATTGTGAAAATAGTTTAAACGTCAATTTAAATTTATCAAATAACAATTCATGTGAGAAATATTGGGGTTACTGCCATCGCAATAAAGTTCAGGAAAGACGACTGTATAGCATTCAATGTTTATCTACAATAGCATCCTTGCTCTTATCACATTTTTCGCACTCCTTAGATATGTGCTTCACCAAGTTAATGACATCATTATTTACATGGTTTTAAACGCGGAACGGAATAATTGACAGTTTAATTGGATCTTATTCTTTCCTCGGTCATTTATAGACAAACCAAGTTATCTAGTGAAACAAAATCATCGATTTATAGATTCTATACAATTAATTAAAATAATTGAAAATACAAACATACAGAAATTATATTTATAAATGATTCAACTCATAAAAATATTTTTTAATTCTGAGAGTAATCATAGTATTTGAAAAATTCAAAATGATAACATATAGGATGTTATTATTAAGGAGCTATAGATATATTATTATTAAAATTACCTTTAATTAACTTATGAATTTTTTGTTAGACAAGACATTGAATACTGAACGATAGAGAAGACTAAAATCTATTGAAATATTCTTACAAGAGAAATAAAAAAAGACACTATTTTCATTAGAGAAATAAAAAAAGACACTAAATTAACTCCAATGTCTTTCTTGTTCAAATCATTCATAAAAATACGTTAAGAAAAATCTATCAACGATGACAAATATGTGTCTGATGTAAGAGAGAGGCATTTATTATGCATATGTATGCTAATTATATATAGGTAGTTAAACATTATGAGGAGGCTTTTACATAATCTATAGAAAAAATTGACACTTTACCTTGAATTAAAAAAAGGGTAATCCAATTAACAGTATCATTCTTCTGATAATTGAGATAGTCGATAAATTAATCGAAATATTTTTTTAGTCATGAATTACTATTCATTTGAAATGTTGTTAAAAAATATAAACATTGACAGTGAGGTAATGTTTATAAATGTCTATAGTTTGCAAAACATTTATTTTTATTACATTTAATATATAAAAATGTATCTTGATGATTTATATGACTGAAAAACCTACAAGACTGTTTTGTACGAATCAATAAAAATTTGATGATAATTGAATGTCTAGTTAGAAGAATAATACTACCACAATAAAAAAATATTGTTTGTGAATAAAAGTATTACCTCATGTAAAGTTTACTACAAGTGAGCTCATTTCTAAATTTAAATGCAAAAATATTTATTACATTTTAAGCAATTAAAATTGAGCAAAAAAATTAAAAGACTTCTATTTATTTAATAATTATTTAAATGAATACTTTTTTTCCTAATCAACTGTGGCTATTAAATAAATAAATAAAAATATAACCATATAACTATTTTGTTTATTGTATAAATTGATTGACAATCATATCTGTTGGATAATTTTTCAATTAAATCTTATATTTTTATCAGGCTGTTAGTGATTAATAGATGTTTATAAAAATATTACATGTTTTATTATCATAAATGAACTATTAATTTTATGTTCAATAATTTATAATTGCTTATTTGTAATTTTATTTTCTATAAATTTTCAAATTATTTATAAAAAAAAAATATAATCAATTCAAATTTAAATAATTAATAGAAATTAAAAAAGATCGAAACAAAAGAAAAATTTTTTAAAGACCTAATTTAAAATTAATTAATATTTTCAAAAAATATATCGAGGGAGTAAATTGATATAATGATATATGATGCCCTTATTTTTAATATCCATTAAATATTTACGCCAGTTACCACTCCTAAATGTTCTATTTACGGTACTAAAATCCATAAGCATACATAATAATAAAACTACTTAGAAAAATCATTTTTAGCTATTCCAGCTGCAATGAAACTATCCGACTCAAGGATCCATGGCATTTTCTTGTTGTAGAAAAAACCATGTATCTTTCTGTCGAGTACAGACCATCTTCTTCCGATGCATCTATAGTACTAAAGTAGTCAGAAGGGGAAACAAATACACTGAAACATAAGGGCGTACAATAACAGATATTTATGACCTTGAGGATCCGGCTATCATTCAGGAATTATATATATGATAATAAATTACAATACAAACTCGAAATTGACAATATTCGAAAGGATCTATCAGAGCAAACTAATCAACTAGAAAGCTTAGTTTATGCGTCCATATAATGCACAGCATTACAACGCTAGAATAAGAGTGATTATTATTTTATAGCAGATAACAATTTTTTATTACATTAATGTAATCTTTTTTATAAAAACGACTATTTTGAGATAAGAATCATGAATATTCATCAATTTTTAGTTTTTCTTTCGACCCATGTAATTGCAAAAATACATTATTACCTTCCTTCTTAAATACGTAATCACATCTTTCATTTTTCAGATTTCAAATAAAAAAATTAAAATTAATTATTTAAAAAACTCATATTTAATTTACTAAAGTTAAGTATTTTTTGAAAATTAAAACAAAATTTTTTAACCTCTTTTTTACAAATTAATTTTACCACCATTTAAGAGTATTTTATATTTAAATAATAATTATTTTATTGTATTCCAGATAATTTTTGGGCCAACATCTGTCAAATTAGAAAGCTTCTAAAAAATTGGCATGTCTCAAACTTGTATAATTACTTGTAACTTCGAATGCCAAAAATACCTATCTTGTGGTAAAGCCACTTGAAATAATATCA